CTGGCAATGGAAAGTCCCTCACTCTTGTCGATGACGTTCCCAGCATCTGGATCACATCCTCAATTTTGATGGCTAAAATTGGCTAAATCTGCATTCTATTAGCGGGCTAAACCTTGTTACTGTCGATGGTACCTTGCCCCGGCTTGCTGTAATTCCCCACTTCACTAATTTCCCATTCAAAAATCAATATGTTTGATAACCATGGCCTTGATTTATGTATGGTACAGTAAATCCCAATTAGATCCCCTTCTGGGTTGGCGAACCCCCCATTGATGTTCATTTAAACTACGAGTATCATGTGGTTGAGAAGGGAAAACATGCAGCTCCGGGGCTCCCGATTACAAGATATAGGAATGTTGATAAAGCCGTGGCCTCAAACTACTTCCTGCATCATTCGGTAGATGAATACCCAAAAGAAAAGTTATATCAAACTCAAGTTGCCAAAGTCTTGGTGTATTTATTATTTGTTATTCTCAACCATTCTCAACCTATCTTAATCATTCTTAACCGACATTTCGTCCACCGTTCAGTTCAGCAGCTCTCAGGTGGCTCCGCCACGTCATCCCCCAGCTCTTCTGCGCAGCTGCGCAGCAGCTGCTGCCAGGTGACGTCATCCATGGCATCACGCCGAAAATGGGGTGAAAATCTGCATGGCTTGATGAACATCTGGAAAAAAATTGGAGATTGGAAGCTCAGAACCTCTAGGGTTTCGTTGTTTCAGGTGTGGTCTCTGGCAGAGTCTCTGGGTCCGACAATTGTAGCAGCTGTTGTAGTGGAGACTGGTTTGCAAGTCTTGAGTGTTGGCAATGGTGAAAACAACGTCTGCCAAATGACAGCGAGCGTCAATATCTTGACTGCATTGAGACAACAATACCGGTGGAAACGACAAATGTGGCAAGATGTGGCAAGAATGGTGGCAATGGTGGCTATATTTTGTTCGCTTCAGCCTCCAGCCGTCATCGGAAAAACACGTGAAAAATGGCCTTCGGAAACACAAAAATCTGATCGGTGCTTGAACCACCCATCCCCACAAGGCCACGAAACGATCATGAGAGGAGTGGGGTTTGATTAAAGTTTAATTAATGATGTTTAATGTGCTGAAATATCTGAAATTAACAAATAAACTTGAATCATAAACTTTACTGTTGATTAGCTAATAACTAATACTGTTGATTTAAGTGAACTTAACAGTGCAATTAACTATATAGTAAACAGTGAAATATGAAATTATTAACCAGTGAAATTAACTAATACTGTAACAGTGAAATATGAAATATGTCAAAACGCCGGACTGTGTTTCCTGCACAAAAACGTCATTGTTTTTCAACACCTCCAGGATAGCACAGTATGGGTTCAAGGCCCTCACCGATTTCAGTTGGTCATATGGCATACTGTAGAGCTTCCCAACCAAAAGCTTTTGTAATGCGGCACACCTTCAATAATAACAAAACGTGGTACACCTCTCTCTCCATCGCCAACCGAAAACCTATCCGTCGTCACGGCGATCCGGGAGCCGCCTGCACCTTTTGCAGTTCTTTCTTCAAGGTTCGCTTGGCCGTGTCGATGGGATTGGGATCCTCCGCTAACAGCTTCCCCTGAAGCTCTGCGTCGGGATTCTCCTGTAGCAAGGGTCGGGTCTCCGAGGGAGCTTTCAGACTGTATCAGATCTAGTCATAGATAATATGGCTTGGAAAACTTTAAAGATTCCGAATTTGGGTGTGATCAGGTTGGATGATGTTAGGTGAAGTTAAGGTGATGTTGCTGTTCATGTGAATCAAACAATTTGAGGAAAGACTGGGAAGTTAATTGAAGTATAAATTTGGTAACATGGTTTATGATGTTCCCCCCCAAGTCACATTGGAATCAGAGGATGCATTCGTATTCCAAGATTAAAACTAACTATTTATCTATTTAAAACCCAATCTTGGGTCATAATCGAATGCTCGAATGCTCCATGAAAATAGCTGCTTGGCCTCTCAGGGACTCTGATACAAATCATCTAGATCTGAAGAACTGTGGCCTAAACGACCCAAGTTTCTACATAGTTGGCTCTACAACTCTTGGAAAACCAATTTATCAAGGGATCCAGTGACCACATTTGGGAATTTGTGGCTGAACATCATCCATGGTTGGCGTCAATCATTTTGGATCCGAACTGGTTTTACAAACCAGTTCCATGTTCAACCCAAACAGAACGGCACTCCATCATTACTTTCACTTACTTTCTATTCATTTTCGCCATTGCTGTCGTGTTGTTGTCTCGAAAGCCATGGTCCTTCTTTTGCTTCAAGTTGTAGGCGTGCTTCAGCAAGGCCAAATAGTCTGACCATACGGGCGCCGCCTTGGGGTGCCAACATCTGGCGGGATCGAAGAAAAGACGATGACTCTGCGCAGTTCACATGATATTTCATTCAATCGCCCTTGAGGGATCACAAATCACTAACAGATGTTTAAGATTGTTTAAGTCTCCCGATATTCTAACGTTGTATTTTAATTTAGTATTTTACCAAGGCTGTGACCTCCGTTTTCTTCCAAGGAGCGTCCGACGGGTACCCCATCACACCGCAACCCCCATTTTTTCCCCCAAATCCTCCAAGGTGCCCTCCAATCGCTGCCCAAGAGATCTATGGCACGGCCGTAGGAGCGCAAAACTTCTTCGAGGGTCCTGGGAGCTGGGGAAATGGTCGAGCTGCGCTCAGGGCATAGTTGGATGATGTTAGATGAGTTACCCTCTGGTTATTTAACATAGCCATGGAAAGATCCACCATTTTTAAGAACGGTAAACCATCTATTTCGATTAGGGCCATCTATACCATGGCGAACTGTTAGTCATAACCAGAGGGTAGATGGGCCATGGTCAAGTTCCAGATGTGGGGGTATGGTCACCTCAGCACTTCCGTGGAATTGTGGGGATGACCGGCCCAAACAAAAAAATGTAAAAATACGCTATGTTTTGACTGCACAGATGGGCCATGGAGTCAGTTACCTGATTGATAAATGATTAATTAGAACCAATATGAACCAATCATAATCTAGTTAATCTAGTTGTAAGCGGATAAAACTCAACCAGTTGACTAACTTCATGAATCTTTTTGTAGGCGCTATCTGGCTATCTACGCCGAAGGCATGAGGAAACACATTCACAAAAGAGACATAACTTGATGATCTTGATGTAACGAAGAATCCATGGATGGATATGATGGATATGATGGATACAGTATCACCAAGGGCATGGAATCCATATGGAATCCATGGAATATGGCTCACCATGTATCACCCTGCAGCGATTTTTAAAGCACCAACCACTGGGTGCTTTCATCCCGGTGGGTTCCATCAGCCCTGGCGTTCGCATTGAAGCCAGGCTTCTGATGCCTCTTTGAGAAGTTCAGGTACGACAGCCACAAGTCCATGTTGGGCCTCCACGAAGGGGGACGAAAAAGGGGAGGGGATGGAGGGGGGAGGGGCCATAGGGCCGGGGGCTGGAAAATCATCAGGAGTTTCCAAGGCCTGGTTTATTATCAGAGGGTATTGGAAAATGTCTGGTTGACAGTTGAAACTCCAGCTGTTTGAGTGCCATGGTTTAATAGAAATACTATCACGCGCTTCAACCAATCCAGTGACTATTCTGATGAACTCTGAAATTGGAAAGAATCAGAAACTTGATAAGGTGCTCAATAACTCGAATTTCTATAAATTTCTATGCTCCCGATTGATCAACGAGTTTTGAGATCCCTTTAAGCCCGGCAAAGTCACACGGAGCTCCACCAAATGTCCCTTCAATATGATTCTGAGATTCTGTGCTGGTGAGGCTCTCCCTTGAGTCGAGGGAGCAAACATCAGAAACAAGGTTAGAGAGAGATTTAGAGGCAATATGATCATAGGGTAAGAGGGAAATGGAATGAGATAGTCCGTGATCAAGATTACTTCAATCTTATGGTCATTGTAGTTGTATACCATGAGAAACTTATCAAATGACAGCCCCAGAGGTACCAGCTTCAAGGGCCCAAAGATTTTCCAAGGTGCACTTGCTGCAAACAGCGACTGTAGACTCCAAGCGCCATGGCTGAGTCCTGGAAGTGAATGTTGTAGTTTTTTCCTTATACAATGGCGCATAGTATGGTAAAGGATAAGCAAATGGTATTACCTCAGATTCTGATTCAAGCCAATTTGGGAGATGAGTTGATGAGATTCACGATTCACGCGCACATGGGCCGTAAAATGGTTCCTAAAGCACCAGAGAGGATTCCGAAGGTTTCTTTTGGCCGGGTTTGATATATTCCTCTATCTGTAGCATCTGATCTAGGCCTAGGCGACCAACCAAGCTTCACCCATCTTCGCCCTCCCAACAAACGCCTTTCAAAAACATGTGGTTCAGTACGCCAAGACCATCCCAAACAGAAAAACAAGCTGGTTATCTACCAATTCAAACGCCAACATCGTCACCCCAAGAAAGAATCCTGACATAACTTCAAACACAAATTGATCCCCCCAAGCCCCCAAGTACCAAAAATCATCAAAAATCCACCCAGCAACCAGCAGTAACCAGCCCATTTTGCCACGAAAAGTGGCAACCCTCCGGGCAGCGGTTCCCCACCTGCATCTCGGACCACTCGGCATAGGCCGCCCAGATTCGCGCCGCAAAAGGCAGTTGCTTCACAGCTCGTTCGAAGACCGGCTCAGCCTTGCCCTCCTGGAGAAAAACCATGTGATACCATGTGCTTGTGTTCTCAAGTCATAAGTTTGGCAAACATTGATAAATTATACCCTCTGGTAATTTAACGTAGCTATTGAAAATGGTGATTTATAGTGGATTTACCCATTGAAAATGGTGATTTTCCATAGTTATGTAAACGTTTACCAGAGGGTAATAAAGCATGATAAAACCCAAAGCCATAAAACCATGATAAGACCCATTGAAACCAAATCAAAAACCCAATGTCAAGCGTAGGGCTGTTTAACATACCATAACCATCCACAACCCCTATATTTACAGTTATATTATGTTATACTATGTTAATATTGGAATTTAGATATGGGATATACTAATTATATTAGTTACAAAGCCCATGGCTCACAAACGATATGAGCGCCCCCTCGCGATGGCCAACACAGGCGAAGTGGAAGAAAAATGCTTGAACTACTTAAACTCAAATCCGGTGATTTACTGATTTGGGGATGATGAACTAGCCATTTAAAAATTTAAAACTAGAATGACTCAATGACCCTTTTATCATTAGGTGCTAAACCGATCTTTTACAGATTAACCCACATGAAAAATGGTGTAAAGTGAGGTTTAACCTATCATTTGGTTATTTAAGATAGCCATGGAATATCACCATTTTTTATAGGTAAACCATCTATAAATGGGCCATTTTCCATGGATGGCTACGAAAAATATGAAAGTCAATTGGGATGATGACATTCCCAATATATAGAAAAATAAAAGCCATGTTCCAAACCACCAACCCACATCAAAAATGATCATTACCCATCATTTAGTGAGATTACAGATTACAGATGCACCCACCATTATTAGTAAAGTTTTACATTGATTAAATCATGGGTAATGATGGATTTAACCATGGGTTTAACCATGGGTTTAACCTCACTTTACAAATTAATTGCATCACCATATTTAATGGAAAAAACCACTATTTCTATGGCCATTTTCAATAGCTATTTTGACATAACCAGAGGGTACCTATAAAAAATGGTGGATCTTTCCAAACCACCAACCAGGTATCATGGCTACGCCTCGGTCGTGCCACGCCTGGATCGCCTCACGCAGCCGCGCGTCCCAGGCGCCCAAGTCGTAGGGCTCCGCCTCCAGGGCGGCCTCCAGCCTTGGAAAATGGGGAAAAAAAACGCCCAAAAGGTGGTTTTAGATGGTATATGGCAGTGTGTCAAAACCCTTGTACCCCTGTAGTTCACATCAAAAATAGCTGGGATTTATGGATGTTCATCCCACTAAACATGGTATTAATAGGTATTGATCCATACCCATATTATGGTACAGTACCCCCATTTTAGGATCCTGAAATATCCTGAATTTCCCAACTTTTCTTCGGAGTTCGATGGACTTTCCGAGGATTTTCTTGGAAATGTTCAGTTATTTTTGGATGATTTTCTCCATAAAAGAATGATAATTTTGGTGTCTTGGGAAGTCTTGGGGTGTGTTCGACATTTTTGATATTTTTGATGATCACTTCCTGATTTGTTGGGCATACTCAATTGTACCAATTGGCTCGGATCAGAACTTGATTCATTTGATTTGTTTGACTCAGTTGATTTCATTTGTATAAATAGTTGTGGCAGATCTGCTTGGATTATAAATGAATTATATAATCTGACTTGTATTGGACTCAGTTTGGTTGATAAAATTCATAGTTGTTTGATTATCATAATTATCATCGATGTGATGGGTTCTGATGTATTATGACTACCTGAACGTATCTTTGTTGATCGCATGATCTTTGATCTAACTAGTTACAATGATTCTTCACGGGTGATAACATTATGTTTCTTTACTGGCGATGATACGATATCACCATGCCTAAAAAAATACAAAACAATACCAAACAGCCATCCATTTCCATGTTTCAATATGTTTCAATGGATTGGTTTTCTTGGGCAAATCACCGGAAACCAACCATAGCTGCTATCCCATCTGGTTATGACTAACAGCCAGTTCGCCATGGAAAGATCCACCATTTTTAAGAACGGTACGAATCATCTATTTCGATTAGGGCCATCTATACCATGGCTAGCCCTGTTAGTCATAACCAGAGGGTAGGGTTTTCCTGCAAATTGTCCCTTAAACCATTTCCATGTTACATGGAAACGGGCCCCCCCCAACATTCCAAAAACAAAAGCGACGCTTTGACGCGCTCCGCAGGCGGTTGCACGGACAGCTGCGTGCCTGCCTTGCAGGGGTTCATGATGCTTATCAATGGTGATTAGTAGTGATTAATAGTGAAAGTCACAGTGATTTTGATAGTTAATAGATGTTAATAGTGATATTAATTAACAGAGATTTAGAGATCTTGATGGTGATACTTGAAACAAATGCTGATTCATAGTGCGGGAGAAGTAATGGTGATTATTTAACTGTGATTTCCAGTTTTCTAAACGAATTAACCCACAATCAATCTGAGTAGGAAATAGTGACTCAGAGTGGTGAAGCCTTGATCAATATTTAACGATTAGGAAAGCCACAATCACCTTGAAGCATCTTGAAACCAACTTGATCAGCAGAGAGTAACCCATGATTTATAGTGATTAATGTTAATATTAATGTATCATGATGTATCACTATCTAAGCCGGCAAGAATGTGATACGATTTTGGGCAAATCGGATTCGTCAACAGAGTTTCTGTCAAGCCACCGGCGGGATATGGATTTGCCGATTTGCCATGCGATGGGCTGCAGCTTTGAGTGCGGCAGCTCAGTCGTCCCAGCAGTGATGGTTGAGAAAATATGGGAATGTCATTCTGAATGTCATACTACATCAAATCTGAAAAATTACCAAAGTTACAGGGCAGACATAGTTTCCCCAGACTCAATTCTGTGTTTGTGTGCATTCAAGCTTCTGGGTGAACTAATGAAATGGGCTTGCCGGCTTGCCCCTTGAATTCCTTGCCAATGAAGATCCAACCATAATTTATGGGTCTGTGGCTGGTGATTTTGCCCATGCTAGGCTCATCACTTGGAATCATCGAAGGGCGTATGGAAAACAGAATGAAACTACCGAGCAAAATGAGTTTCAATGGCTTTCCATGGTATCCCATTTCGGGTTTGCTCCTCTATTGTTGGAAATGAAAGAGATTCAGCCATCTCTAAAATCCATGAAGAAAGATTCGCCAAGTACAAGATGTACAAGTTTCATATACCATCCCAATGCCAATGACAAAAATTGGACGTATGCTAGTATGCCCACTCAAAAAAAAAAAAACTTCAATCCATTTTCCCAAGCTCTAAAAAAAATCCCCCAGCATTTTCCCCCTTGGGGCGTTTCCCCCAGCCTTCACCAGGCCAGGTTGGACGACGCCCGGCGCCGCCGGCGCCGCCGGCGCAGGCGCAGGTGTGGCGGGTGCGGCTTTCACCGTGGCGGAGGCCAGGGAGGCACCTGGGAATCAGTCGCCATTGGTCATTTAACATGGCAAGATGGAAAATGAATGAAAAATACCATCTTGAATGGGTAAATTATAGCACATATACTATCTGGTTATGACTAACATAGCCATGGAAAGATCCACCATTTTTAAGAACGGTAAACCTCTATAAATGGGCCATCAATACCATGGCTATGTTAAATAGCCAGAGGGTAAGTGTAAAATCATCGATTTCTATTAGGGCGATTTCCATGGTGCTGTGGAAATTACCAAGGGGTAGCTGCAGGAAACCGTGGGTTTTTTGTTTGCATCAAATATGGGGAAAAACCGCTGGATGTTCCCTTGAGCATCCATGAAAGTTCACTGGCTGGTGGTTGGACATGGCATCCACCCACGAAGGTTGATTGGGGGGATAAGATTCGCAGCGTATCAATTGCAAATGTCCGCGAATATAGAGGAAGCAGAAACAGTGAACATGAATTTTAGCATGAACGCTAGTCTTTATCTGATACACCTTTTGCAGTTCGGAAGTTCTTGTGAATTTGTGACAGTAAAACGGTAATTGTATACTTCATAGTTTGAACAAAGGGCAAAGCATCAGCAAGAAAACATGTTTATTCTTTCTTGCAAACACCGAAATTGTCAAAATGATGAGGAAACCTCTGCTTGTCACTTCTTCCGGTGATTCTCAGGTTACACCAAGTTTGATGTTGCCAGTCTGTGCCAAGTAGCTCTTTGGTGTGGTCAAGGCCATGGCTCTTCGCAATGGGTGTCTTGAATATATTATAGATCAAATGGCGGCGAAATTGAACTCCCTGGGGTGCCAATGGTTGATGTTCCACATTTGGTTCCAGGAAAAAATATGTTCTGGGTGAATCGAGGGCTTCGAACAGATTCAGAACCCTACTAGTTTCTTTTCTCAGCGGCTGAGATGGAGTTTGATGGCACGTGTGTCTGTAGGTGGGATGAGGGGCCGACTTGACCCTTTCAGAAGATGTTTTTCCCTTCAAACCATGAAGAATTGGGAAGCAGTTGAGTTGACTCTGTTGGCAGGGCTGTCTGGAAACCTCTTCTGCACATCTCAAGCATTCGCAGGCCCTGCGCGCTATGGTACGCGCCCTGCAGAGAAAAATGGCCGGCGAAACGGCGACATGTCACGTTTGATGAAGAACACGCTTCCAGTCATCTTCCGGCTAGTTTCATGGGAAACCCATGAGAAACCCTCCCCGAACACCAAACGCACCAGGTCCCTCTCAAACACAGCAAGAGAACAGAATTTACCGTAGCTACGCCGTAGCGAAGTATCGAGCAGCTAAGTTCCGGTATTTCTTTTGAATTGGATCACGTGTGACCTGCAACAATGGCGTTTGCATATGGGCAGTATGTAACTATAGTCCACAATTTCACCTCCTGTCGGAGCTGAAGTCCGAACCAATCCCAAACTACTGTGGTCTGTAATAAGCACATAACCATTTGACCAGGCTGCCCTGAGCAGGGCGGGAAAATGCTGTCTAAAGAGGAAAAACATGCTTTTTTTTCTCCCCCGGCGGCTATCATTCACCTGTAATGGACTGGGCCTACTAAATATCCCATAATCATCCATCAATCAACATAACTCCGCGCTGAATTTCGGATTAGAATCATTAGAATCCCCAAAAATAGATTTACCATCTGGTTATTTAACAGTTCGCCATGGAAAGATCCACCATTTTTAAGAACGGTAAACCATCTATTTCAATGGGCCATCTATACCATAAAAAAAAAGGTCCATGATCATCCAATTGGGCCCCCATCGAGCTGAGTAGCAAGAGTCCCACGAAGTGAGAAGCGCAGCTGGGCGGGCCTCAAAAAGAACCAATGGTATGATATCGTTGGATTAATCATGACTGGTTGGTGGCTGACCTACCCCTCTGAAAATATCAGTCAGTTGGGATGATTATTTCCAATATATGGAAAGGTAAAAAATGTTCCAAACCACCAACCAGATGATTAATCATAGCAACATGAATTGTGAAGTGTAGTTTATAATTCAACAGTGATAAGTGGTATCAATAGGTACTTGTACTTGTAATAGTAAAAAAATGTAAAATCCTCCCGTATATAGCAATAACATAGATAGTAAGAATGACATAACAACAAAACAACAAGAGTAAAAAATAATAATCACAATTCTAAGTAGTAAACCATGATGGCCCCTTCGGTTTTCGCAATTCTGTCCTACCATGTTTCCTGAAGCTAGCTGGGAGAGTTTCTTCTTGAACATTCAGGCTCCACACATTGCATAATGCATATAAGATTATAATAGATTATATCCTGGGATATCTATGGATATCTGGGATCATATTGTTTTTTTGATATCATTTGATGTCATTTGATATCACTACTCCATATAATCCTGGCATAGCCTGGCATCAAATTGGTTCAACACAAAAAGCGCAGGCCCGGCGTGATGAGATCACGCCTAAAATCCCAGGCCTTCTTCCAGGCTCGACATGGCGGTGACATGGCAATCCACGAGACTCGGTCAACTCAATCGTCCACTGGTCTAATGATGGTTGATGATGGTTAATGATGGTTAATGATGGTTAATGATGGTTAATGATGGTTAATGATGGTTAATGATGGTTCATGATGGTTCATGATGGTTGAGATCTATATGTATACTGGTTGGTGGTTGACCTACCCCAACCTGAGAAATCATGGAGTGAGTTCGTCACTTGGGATGATGACATTCCCAACTCCCAATATGATGGGAAAGTCATAATCCAGCCATGTAAACCAGTCACCACCAACCAGCAATAGTTCACTGAGCTGATCAAAAACTTCCCAATTTGGTGACCCGTTTTAGCCATGGCCATGTCAAATTTCAGCCCGAAACCCTACGAAATTGAAGCCATGGGATCATCCCCAGAAAAGGACCCACGAAATGTCTGGAAGACACCACCAAATAGTGCTGCTGCTGCTGATGATGATGATGATGATGATGATGAGTTTGTGTGGAAATATGTGTGCAGTAGGTTGCTGAACTTGATATCAATATTCTTCATATAGCTTCGGAGCAAGAACAAGGACCCTAAGCCCAGTGAGCCCTGGCGAAAGTCCTCCCCCACCATGGTCACCGCCATGGCGGAGACTATCACTTCCGGAATGGATGTAGCCGGTCTGAAACTCACCGGTTTTCAAGCCCAAATCATCCAAATCATCCAAATCAGATTTCAGTCCTTAGTCCTTAGTTTCCGTTCAATTTGATGTTACTCCCCATTCACCTTTCAGGATGTCCAAGACTTCCCCAGACAAATTCGAGCCGCGAATCTCAAACCACCGAGCTTTTTGTCACCAAACCGGCGCTGTGGACGCCCTCGGGCGTCCTTGGTGAAACTGGCGGGGTGTTGCACCGCTGTCCTGCCAAGGTGAAATTTGGGATGGTGTCTGCGCCGGGTTTGCCACAGAAAGCATCACAGAAAGCATGGAAAGACTATATGAAAACATGTTGACTCTTTTGTTTTTCCTCCACATTTTCAGCAATTTTTCAATCTTAAATAACCAACATTAACCAACATTAACCAACCCCCATCAGTGCGGACTCCTCCGCCCGGAGCAGTCGTTAGAAGAAAGCAGGCGTGGCTAAGTGACTGGTCTTCCCGGTCTTCTTCGAGGCTTGCTGCTCCATGCTCTCCATGGAACTCACCTCACAGGTCACAGACTGAGGAAAGCCCGACCCAATGGATTTCCGATGCAAATAGAATAAAAATATAATGTGCATTATGTATATATATATTTATTTATTTATTTATTTATTTATTATATTTATTTATGTAATTATTTTGTTAAATATAATTATTTATCTATTTATCTATACTTATTTATTCATTCTATATGTATACTATAGTAGGTAGGGGGAAAGGAAAACTTCGAAGCTAGGAGGATAAGGAGGGCATTGTTCAGCCAATCTTGATGAAATGAGAACAGGACCACAGGACCCCAATGCCTCGATCAAACAGGTAGAAGATGCAGCTTTTTGTTGGACGAACATCTACCAAACATGAGAACATCCAATCTGAATTGGTCAGAGCGAAGGTCAAACCATTTGAACATAAGGATTTGTGTGTGGAAAATTCGGGCCACATGCAACAACTGTAATGGTTGACAGTGATCTTCGTCGTTTATACTGAGAGATTCCGTGAAAATGGTAGGGTACTCCAAGCTGGTTAATAAACCTTCATCAGCGGTATTGGCAGCACTGCTCAAAGAAGTCACCTTTCCTTTCTTGATCATGTTGTCGATCTTTTGCCACTGCTGATTCTCACTCATCTTCCGCTTCTTCGCTTCCTTTGTTGACAGACGAAGTATGGGACATGGCAAGTCAATTGGGAAACTTGACGAAGGGGAACAGTAAGCCTGTGAAAACGGCATGAGACCTGCCCAACATAGGTTTAGTTCTGGTTTCTTATGTTTCTTCTTACTGGTGGAAAGGGTCGTCACCCTGAAAGACCGACATCGAATCCGACTTTACTTCAAGTTGGATGTGTTCTCCAATCCTGCAAGGTATTCGCACAGTATCATATCCCAGAATCCCTCCGACAGGGTCTGAAACTATCTGAAACTTGGTATTGCAAAGCAATCTATCCCGCAGTGTTGCACGATCTAGATGTCGGAACATGTTGGAGGTGGCTACCAAAATATCCTCCCCCTCACCCCTATCAGGGCCCTATCATGTCACCGGTCATGTGAGTTTCTCCTCCCCAGCTCTCAGCTATGACGGGCCAAGACTCCGCCGCGGCGCCCTTTTTGTTGGCGGCCACGCTATCCTCGTTGATGGCCTTCTTCTTATCCGCGCCCTTCTTCTTGTCCTTATCCTTCTTCCTGAAAAGGGCGATCTGAGGGAGACGCAAGACCGCAAGACCCAGGAGCAGGAGATGGCCGGATTCTAAAGCGTTGTTCTCAAAGATGATCAAGGGTGGCAAATGGAACAGAATTTTGAAATGCACTAAGACGTGGAGAGCCCATTTTTTTTTGCATAGCCTGAGTGGCCCATCAGGCTGAGGCATTTAGCTCTGTGAGCGACCAAACAATTCTAGAACAAATCCAAGACCTTGTTTTAGAATCTTCAGAAAAGCATTTGACTGGTTTTTACCCTCTGGTAAACATACACAAAACTATGGAAAATCACCATTTTTAATAGCTATATTAGTTTACCAGAGGGTAGGTTATCCTGTAGATTTCCCACCAATTCTGGGAATCCGTGGGAGCTATATCAACACTTAAGTTCACTAATGCCGATGTGGTAAACCCTGGCTGCCACAAAGCATCCCCAATTCATCACCATTTCTATGGGATCTGAACCATCTCCAAATGGTAGCTTTCTGTAGGTTTATGATTATCCATTATTTTCCAGTATTATCCACTATCATCCATTAGTGTCCCACTAATTGCTCCCACATTACTTGACCAATTCTTTCAGTTTTCCACAGATTAGAAAAATTTAACATAGCTATTGAAAATGGCCATTTATAGTGGATTTTCCCATTAAAAATGATGATTTTCCATAGTTATGTTAGTTTTCCACAGGAATTACTGGGATTGCAAAATGGGCTGTGACGAGGATCTTGTCATCCTCCTCATCGCTGTCATCGCTGTGCGTTGTCATCATGGCTCCACCCATCATGGCGCTTGGGAAGAGCTCATCATAGGCGTCGTTGCCTTAAGGGTTGATCCATGGCGTGGAGTAGTGAAAGGTTATAATCATATTATAACTATATTATATATGCATGATTATGCATATACATAATATATATATATATATATATACTTACCTATTTAAGTTTTATGCATAATTATGTATATATATACCTATTTTATGTATAATTATGTATATATATATATCTATAATTATATACATAGTTATATATGTATAATTATGGTATGCGTGTGTGATTACAAGCTCAACAACGTGACTGAAAGAAATCAACAAATGTAATTTGGCCAGTCAAACCTTGCAAGATTCTGCGAGTGATTTGGGATCAAAACTCCACAAGCTGACTGGAGTAATTAGCGAAATATGTGGCTAGTTTTTGCTCTTGTTACAGGACAATCTGACCCACCCCGGCTAACCAGTCAAAACCCTGCATGCATCTTAAAAGAAGCTAGACTATATCATCACATAATAAGGGGTAATAAGAGGCATACATAACACCGCCCCAATAGATCAGAAAACAAACAATTTCCGTTGAAAATAGTGAACTGTAAACTGACTTTAAAGTTGTCCAACCATTTTCCAACCCTTTTCCATGTCCAACTACACCTACTACTGTAGTAAATTCCCGTTGTTCCCCTTTTCCCAACATGTCCAAGACATGTCCCGCCAAGACGCCTGGATTGCCCATGCCCTGTGGTCCGCTGCTGGCTTTGGCCTTTCGCTTTCGTGGGTCCTTCTCCACCACTGGCGTCTCGACCTTCTTTCGCGGTGGCACTTCCTGCGCCCGAAACGCGGAAACGCCCGAAACTTTCCACTGGGAAACTAGATAAACATGGAACTTTTAGATACTTGAAAGCCATGGTTTCTCATATTCATGATTTCAGGGCGGAAAGAATATTTGTCAAATATTTGTCAATAATTAGCATAGCAACTTCCCTGACATAAGTATATGTTTATAGTGTTCATCATTTTAGGGGGAATATAACTGTCAGTTACCACGTATACCATATCAAGTATATTCGATTATGCCATGAAATTGTAACCCCTGACTTGTCAACTACAATTTTTCCATGTCATTTGTTTGGGAATAATTCTCATCAGTCCGTAGTTATCATCGAAATTGCCATGATAATCCATTATATACATGTAGATGCAAAATAGTGATACATACGTATCTACAATTTCTATATACTGAATATGGCGTATGATCATGTATAATCTATAGATTTTCTGATATGATAACAAAAAAAAAACTCATATCACCATATTCATCATATTCTGATATATCAAAAACACCATATATATATCCATATATCATTATATCATCATCATATGAGCCATGGTCAATACTCACTATATGGTTGATGGTCATCCCATCCATAATATGGATCCTTAGAATGGTTATTATAAATCCCTATGAACCATTGGATGACTAGCCGACTAGCCCCTATTAATGGTTGTTAACCATGAGTATTTATTACAGTTATCCTTAAAATTTCCAGCCTGGGGCCTGGTGAAAAAGTCCTGCCCTGGCCACTCCCCGCATCCTCGTAGTATCCTAAGCCTTGATCACCCAACTTGAAGACCCAGTTCTTCCCTTGGCGGCATAAAAAAAGCTCGGTAGCTGTGAATTTTTTGTGCTTGTTTTCAAAAAAAAAATCTAAGTGCTTGGATAGAATGATAGATTAGATATATTTATAATATATTTATAATTATCTATACAAAAACGCCAGAAGGGCTTGTAATATGTATGCGTTGAGAGTCTCAATTCTATTGCTTTTTCAGACCTATCGAAGTAATGAACTACCCTCTGGTAATTTAACATAGCTATTGAAAATAGCCATTTATTGTGGATTTTCCCATTAAAAATGGTGGTTTTCCATAGCTATGTTAGTTTACCAGAGGGTAGTTGATGGGGTGAACCTGGGATGGGGAAAAAAAAAACGATCCATTTCTGCCCCAGCGGCTTGCGCTCTTAAATCTCTTGGCGGCATCGAATCGCCCCGTAGGTTTGTGGAACTGACCAGGCTCCAAAGTCGATTCCTGCCACGTGAAACACGGGGAGCTGTCTGATGGCTGCAATGTGGAACTTGTCCCAGGTTTTTTTTTCCGGAAGGGAAAAAAATACGGAAAAACCTGCCAAAAAATGCTGGACAGCATCAATGTGTTCACGTATGATGTAGATATTATCTGAAAACTCACCCAATGAATCCAGCACGTACGAAAGTTCAACCGGTTTGCGGCAAAAGTATGGATGAACAGATGAACAAATATCTTTCAAAGCAATTACCCTCTGGTTATTTAACATAGCCATGGAAAATCACTATTTGTTTTAGGTAAACCATCTATAAATGGGCCATCTATACCATGGCTATGTTAAATAACCAGAGGGTATATAATTTCAATCACAGATACCCAGATGCGACTCGGTATCTGCTGCAGTTCTCCAACAAAAAACACAAAAAGGCGTGGGATGGTATGGGTGATTTTTTTAGGCCCACAACACCATAGATGTTGTTCATTTTTAGCAGCACCCAACGAATTAACATTGATATATACTTAGATCATCTTATATCGAAACCCATCAAAAGCCTCATTTTTCCTGGGGGAAGGCTGCTGGTTGTCCATTTAACCATATAAATTTCCATATTAATTTCCATGGTGAATTCTGGAGGATTCTCATCCATTTCTCTACCTACCTACCAATCGCGACCAATCGGATGGTCCTCCACTTCGATCTCATCCAATTCCAATTGACCCTTGGGAGTTTGGCCTTGGACCCATTGGACCATTGGAGCACGGCGCCCAGCCGCCCGGTGCCATGGTGCCATGGTCATTGATGGTCATCCCGCAGAATCCCAGGATGATCCAGGGGGATCTAGGAAGATATGGTTGGGAAATGTTGGGAAAATATATGGTTTTCATATAACTTCATATATGGTACATTCCATTTTTTTCATGGTGGTTTAATGGGATCTAGGCAACTAAGGTTCATCAAGGCTCCTTCCTATAGCTATGAGAAACAGCCATAAACAGCTGTAGAAACCCCACTTCCTATAGCTATTAGCAGCTATTCTCATCGCTCCTGGCCGAGCTGCGGTACTTCTCATCGCCCGCATCGTCAAAGTAGGAGGGCTTTTTGACCTGAAACACATGGGCCCTCCTGACCTCCTGAGTAAATGTCACCCCAGGATCAAACCAGTAAACTACTTAGATGAGCCATGGAGTTACAATAGTTGATCAGTTTTGTAAATTGGATCAGAATATATTACATAGTATATTATACATATATTATTACCATTGAGGATATCACTTGGGTTTGCAAATCCCCTGCAACTCCACCCTGGGCAAACTGGGCTAATTGGGCTGGCACGACGCCAGTTTCCATCGTGGCACAGCCCCAGTTGGATTAGATCATTTCACAATGGATTTCAATCTTACTGGATAATGTGAGTTGCATATGATTGGATTGAGCCTTGAGCAACCTATGATTTACCTTTTCATTTCATCTTCAGTTAATGTTTCATACATGATTTCAATATGATGTCAGACTCAATCTTGCAATATACATAGTGTCTTACAACGTACAATGTCTTGCATGTGTGGTAGATGCCTTACCCCTCCGCCCCCCTTTTTGTCCGCCTTCTCCTCTTTTTCCTCCTTTTTCACCTCCACCTTCACCTTCTCCTCTTTGATGCCTTCCTTCTCACGCTTTGCGGCTTGCTCTGCTCGCGCCTTCTGCACGAACTCCTCAGCCAAAGCATGGGATTTCGGTGGTCAGGTTGGGTTCAGCAGGATCCCGACTGGGGATTGGCCATGCTGAGTTGGCACTGCCAACTGCTTCCTCATCCCAACTGCTTCAGGTTTGTTCTGCTCAAAAGCGGGTCCGAACTATGGATCTCTCAGCCTGCCAGAAACAAACGGCTGGCTGTAGAGGTCTTCCATGTCTAAAAGGTGAGCGCTCCAAGATCAACACATCTTACAGCTATCCACCTCTCCAGTACAAAATGGCATGTGTTTATCACCTCGCCAAAAAACTATGTGCCAACAAGCGTAGAAATGGTCATGTTTATCGCTTGAACTTACCCTTGGGAATGCTGCATGCGGAAATTGGCTTGACTGGATGTGGTTGGATGGGGGGTTCATTCTGTGTGCTCTTCTGGCTGGTATCGGTCACACCGTGAAAATCACGATGTTTGCCCTCGAAAAGTCGAAAAGTCGAAAAGTTCACATGCCAGGAGATTTTGGTTCGAAAAGTCGAAAAATTCGAAAAAATCGAAAAGTCGAAAAGTTCGAAAAATTCGAAAAATTCGAAAAGTCGAAAACTTTTTGGCTTTTTGACTTTTTGCGAAAATTTTCCCTGGAAGAGTGATAAACCCCGTGGGTTTTGGAGGCATTGGAGCACAGGCAGTATCCACGCACAGGGCTTTTTATGGTTGTTTGGTTGCTCTTTCCCGGTCGAATGGTTGGTTACTTTCCAGGGGAGCAGGAAACTTGCAATCAGTGTATCTGTATCAGGATTAGATTTTGTGTTGCTCATGTAATTAGTGGGTTTCTCTATTTTTTTGTGTTGATTTTGTGGGTTTTGAAAGCTGGATACTGAAAACCCACAGAATTGCTGAGCAGGTATTAGGCTCAGGGCTACCAGGGCCACTGCTGTCACTAACTGTCTTGAGTTGCAACCAATTTAGAGGCCAATGCAACTCAGCTTGCCACATCTTGCTACCAGTTTAGGGGGCAAATAGCACTCTCCAAGCGTCTCAAGATTTGTTTCCAGCTACTGTGCCGGTTTGAGGAGTGAAACAGTGTTCGGCGCAGCCAAACTGAGGCTTTCTGGTTGTGTCGCAGGAATTCCACAGGGATGGGGCAGCATGACCCTGATCAACCAACAGGGTTTTGATCAGTTTTGCCTACAACTACTAACTAGGAGCACGGCCTCTAGAAGGCCGTGGGTTTTTTGTGATCAACGGGGTGTCATGGATCATATTTGATGCGCTCGTGCAAATAGGAATTTGTTTGATGTGAAATTTAAGGCCGTTAACCCCTTATTCTGGTGCAGTTTTCAAAGCAGGCATTTCGCCTAGACGAAACTAACATTTTTGTTTTTTTGCCGATTCTGAAACTAATTCGACGTGACATGTTTTGCGTCATCTTTTGACGCACGAATGGAAAGTTCAAGAGTACCTACAGTAGCGTAGCATGACGCATGAGTGGAAACTTCAAGAGAACCTACAAGCGTAGCATGACGCATGCATGGAAAGTTCAAGAGATCTTACAGTAGAGTAGCATGACGCATGCATGGAAAGTTCAAGAGATCTGACAGTAGCGTAGCATGACGTATGCATGGAGAGTTCAAGAGAACTTACAGTAGCGTAGCATGAGGCATGAGTGGAAAGTTCAAGAGAACTTACAGTAGCGTAGCATGACGTATGCATGGAAAGTTCAAGAGACCTTACAGTAGCGTAGCATGACGTATGCATGGAAAGTTCCAGAAAATCTGCAGCATGACGAAGGAATGGAAAGTTCAAGAGTACTTACACTAGCGTAGCAAGACGCATGAATGGAAAGTTCAAGAGTACTTACAGTAGCGTAGCATGACATATGCATGGAAAGTGCAAGAGAACCTATAGTAGCCTAGCATGATGCATGAGTGGAAAGTTCAAGAGAACATAAAGTAGCGTAGCCTGAGGCATGAGTGGAAAGTAGCATGACATATGCCATATGCGTGGAAAGTTCTAGAAAACATACAGTAGCGTAGCATGACGCATGAATGGAAAGTTCAAGAGTACTTACAGTAGCGTAGCATGACGCATGAATGGAAAGTTCAAGAGTACTTACAGTAGCGTAGCATGACGCATAAATGGAAAGTTCAAGAGAACTTACAGTAGCGTAGCATGACATACGCATGGAAAGTTCAAGAGAACTTTTAGTAGCCTAGCATGACGCATGAGTGGAAAGTTCAAGAGAACTTAAAGTAGCTGAGCATGGCGTACGCATGGAAAGTTCAAGAGAACTTACAGTAGCGTAGCATGACGCATGAGTGGAAAGTTCAAGAGAACTTACAGTTCAATTGAACTTACAGTAGCATAGCATGACATATGTGTGGAAAGTTCAAGAGAACTTTCAGTAGCGTGGTATTAGGCATGAGTGGAAAGTTCAAGAGAACTTACAGTAGCTTAGCATGACGCATGCATGGAAAGTTCAAGAGAACTTACAGTAGCGTAGCATGACGTACGCGTGGAAAGTTCAAGAGAAATTTCAGTAGCGTGGCAAAAAAAGAATAACAACATATATAAAAGTCCACTGATCTTGCTTGGACTTGACATGTGCAATGCACTTCATATTCAACAAAACTGGACTTTGAAAGTCATGTATGCGTTCTTGATAAAATAATAACAATAAATAAGTAAGGAGCAGTTGCATAGTTCTGAGTTATCATGATACTGATAATGTATATATTGTCAATATATATATATATAGTATATATATAGTATATATATATATTGACTAGCGTTAAAAAAAATATAGCATAATATAATACAATATCATATATTTAAACATATGATATAAAATAAAATAATATAATATAATATCATATAATATAATATATGAAAAAATATTATGCTATAATATAACAATAAATAATATATTTCATAATAACTTAAAACATAATAACAGATCCTATATAATATAAACTAATATAATATAGCATAGTATAATATAATATTGTAAAATATCATCTGGTACGATATAAGATCATAGGTAAAATATGTTTATACATAATATGTTTTAGTTATAATGCAATAAAAAAAATAATGCACTATAACATACCGGTAACATCATGGGATGTCATATAGAATGATATGGTTTTGTGATGTGTTGTGTGTTATAGAAAAATATTTCATAATGTAGCATCATGCAACTTAATGTCAAATTATATAAAATAACATGGTATAGTATTATATGTGTAGCCTTACCGGGTATATTATTACTTTATTTACACATCCTAACAACTACCCATCTCAACCCAAATCGATGCGGCCTTTTTCTGGGTTTCTGGCTAGGCATTTTCGCGATCCACAAAACCTGGACCTCGCTTGCCTTCTGGTGGAGGATAGATGATAAGACCGGAACCCTTGCGTACTCAGTTTGGTGTATTGTTTGGGTGGTTCAAACGCAACTTTTCGCTGAAAACTCCAACCGTGGTAGAAAAGTTTCACCCGAAAAGTTGAAAAGTTCACATTCCAGGAGATTTCTGCTCGAAAAGTCGAAAAAATCGAAAAATTCGAAAAGTCGAAAAGTTCACATTCCAGGAGATTTCTGCTCCAAAAGTCGAAAAATTCGAAAAGTCGAAAAGTCGAAAAGTTCGAAAAATTCGAAAAATTCGAAAAGTCGAAAAGTTCACATTCCAGGAGATTTCTGCTCGAAAAGTCGAAAAATTCGAAAAATTCGAAAAGTCGAAAAGTCGAAAAGTTCGAAGAATTCAAAAAATTCGAAAAGTCGAAAACTTTTTGACTTTTTGCGAAAAGTTTTGCAATTTTCGCGCTGTGCGATTACCGGCGAGAAGAGCGCTTAGCCTAAATGGGGATGCCCCTAAATCATCCGTTTTTTTGGTGATTTTCATGGGTTTTCCATTATAACCTGATATATTTCATATAATCCATATGGAAAATCCATAAAAATACATATAATCCATGGATAATGGATCCCAAAATGGATCGTTTACAATTTTCATGGCTTTTATATATCCTTATATTGTAAACGATCCATTTTGGGATCCAATTCTGGAATCCCCCATGAAACCATGGGCCATCTCCGAGAGTCGTTGGCGTCGAAGGATCCTGCCCCAGAGAAGATGTCGTTGTCGCTGTCGCGAGCCTGTCCCAAGGTGCTGCTTCGCATGGTTTTTTTCCAGTCCCCTAATATCTACTGATTGATGGTTTTAACCATCTTGAAAAATATGAAAGTCAGTTGGGGTTACTATTCCCAATATATGGAAAACCTTTTTGGCTTTGTTATACCCTCTGGTTATGTCAACAGTTTGCTATTGAAAATGGCCATAGAAATAGTGGATTTACCCATTGAAAATGGTGATGTTCCATAGCTATATTAAATTACCCGAGGGTAATCTCAGTCCCCAAATATTCAGCCCCTATCGGCCCCTATGATCCCAAATATGTGTTGATAAAAACCCTACTAAATCCATGGTTTTTGAGGTGTTTTGTAGCACTGGCCGAGGCAAAATGGAAGATTGATTAATCATAGCTGGAAGGTGGGTGAAGCACCTTGCTCCCCAGCAGCGAACTGTTTCTTGATTTATATCCAAAACCTTGGCTCCAAAGCAAAACATAGCTCTGGACAAATGCTCAGATGCTCAGACTCTGCAACATGTTGACCATTCTTGATGAACATCAAAAGACATACAACATCTTCAAAAAAGAATCAGTGGAACATTAACCGTTAGTTATATGTAATTATATTATATAATTATATATATATGTACTCCATTTACCTAGTTTTCACAAACTATGGCCCATCTTGGCGCCTTGACCCTGGCAACATCCACCTTTTGCGGGGCATAAGCGCTGACGCCTTGGGTGCGTGGGGCCGATCCCTGGAAAGCTTCAAAAAAATCCGAAAAGAAAAGGGGATTTCAAGGGGTTCACCAATGAACAACTGGATTTTGACATCATTTGACATGATTACGAATATGACTGATATGACATTTTTTGGGGCAGATAAAGATTGATAGAGTCTTCTTTTCCAGCATGTTTCATCGTTTTTTCCCAAGATCAAATCCGTCAAGGGCTATGCTATCCATTCACCATCGAAAGCACGAACACAATACAAACACACTCAACAATGATAGGCCCCTTTTAGAACCAGATAAGTTTAACAAGTTACATACCAAATCATACCAACCATACTCAGGAAAATAGAGCGTGCTCAGCTTCACTACCACATGACCCCCCACTCCAGTGCTGAGGTTGAGCACTTTGTGCCATCTGCTTTTCCTTCCGTTTTTTCTTCATCTCCGCTGCTTTTTGCATGGCATCCCGGACCTGGAACCCTGGAACTTGGTGGATTGGTAGAATGTGTCTATCGTCGTGTTGCCGGAAGCTGGGGCATTCTTATATGTCAAAGGAAAAGGGCTCAAACATGAGTTTCCTATCTATGAATGCTGGAGAAATGAGATGTAACAGTGTAACAAAATCATACGTGGTATCTGTGTCTGCTCGTCTTCCTAGGATGTGTGTTGAGCATTTGTTTGGGATCAACTGTTGCTGCACACCTAATGGCATCATATGGCATCTATATACATGCACAGCCTGTTCTCATTGACATCTCCTGGGAATATTTTGTAAGTTTGAAGAATCTGGACAACTTTTCTGGCCCGTCCAACTGATTCTGCCCCCCAAAAAAAGGAAAAAACATATATCATTTAATTTTGTTGATCGACATATTCTTTTTCTCTCATTCTCATTCCCATTCTCTCTCTCTCTCTCTCTCCCCATCGCAATTGAACATAGTATTTCATCAATGTAGATACGGCACGGATTAATTAATGAACATAAAGAATCGAAGAATATCATGGTTTTTTTTCATTGTTCTTTAGGTGTTCAAATCCAAATCACCGTTTCACCGTCTCTTAGCCCCAGCGCCCCAATTCCGTTGCCGGGTTGCTCGAACTGCGGTCTCTGGGAGCATGCCAGAAGTGGACTTGTTTCGTTCACTGGGGGCCACCTCCTGTCGGAGAGGAATCGTGGTGCCCTGGTGCCCTCCATGACTTTTTGGGAACCGGGGGAGTGAAAAGTTGGGGACTTTTACAGAAAATGAGCAACACAAACAACAAAATCATGTAGTGACTTACCCCCCAGTGATTTCTGCTGGCTGGACTTTGATCCAAGTACCAGGAGATGATTGGCCACTTGGCCACCGCAGGCTGCAAGTCTCGAAAGCCACAGAGGGATCCACTGGTCTTCTCAGGGTTTACCAGCAACGGTTCATCCCACGATCGCCTCATGTTATGAAAAATGTCAAAGACTAAGCCATTGCTGGCTGGGATGTACACATTGAACATTGAGCCCCCGGGCCCCCGGTTGCTCAACAGCCGGACCGGCTTTTGAAAAATCCGAAAAGCGATCACTTCACAAGAAACATCAACCATTGCTTACATATATATATATAATATATATATATACATATATTATACATATATACATATATTATATATATACTAGTTACTAGTTGGTGTTATTGAGTCTACCAAGTCTACCACATGCCCCCGGTATCCGGTATCATCAATCGCCTCTTTGCTCATGTACACGATTCTCGGGATATCCGTTTTGCCCATCCTGGGTTGGAAAAAGATTTTTGCCATGATGGAAAACCTTCAGAAAGTTTACATCACAGTTTCACTATTTTTTAGCCAAAAAACAAAATGTGTATTTCAACCAGCAAGATTGGAGTTCCAAAACAAAGGTGGAAGGTGGGCTTATTGAACCTCAGAATGTTCTATGACACTATGACCCGTGACCATTCTTGCCAAGAGCCGACACCTCAGGGCCCAAATTATCCCAAATTTATATGGCTATGGGTACTATGGGTCAAAACCCTGGCACCTCGTGAACCGCAAAATAGCTGGTAAATAAATGTTTATCTTACTAAAATTGGTAATAATAGGTTTTGACCCACCCCCATATATAACAATATTATACCATTTTTGGGTCTATGTTCCTGCCACGGTTTATTGCATGGCTAACCTTAGATAACCTGCAAAAACATGACGTTTTTCAGGATATGAACTATTACTATTACTATTCTCTCACTCATAGATCCAACAATCTGAAGCTATGAATCTTCTGGGATGGGCCATGGGTGCCATGGGATTGGCAAACTTGATCCGATTTTTTTACCTCAAAAAGATCTGATCCGAAAATGTAGCCACAGATATCCCCAATGACAATCTATTCAGTATCACTGGATTGGTTTAAGGGAAAATCTGCAGGAAACCATGGTTTTTACCATCAAATATAGGAATTTCCTGTAAATTTTCCCATAATCCAATTCTATGACAGTAACTACTTAACTACTTGACTAATTCCATGGCCCATCTAAGTCCCAGTTGCCTAGGTTTACCCAGGATGTAAGGCCAAGCAGCTCAAGCTCCGTGTCAAACTCATAGGCCATGCGCCCAGGTAGAAACATGGTGGGCGCATTGCGGATGTGATGCCCCTGGGCCGCCAGGGCGTAGTGATCTATATGATACACGTAATATGCATATACATCTTTTCATATATAACCAACGAATGTGTAGTTTTTTCTTTAGGAAAAATCAATGTGGATAAAATTGTTTGAATATGTATATGTACTATTGATACGTATATATGTGACATATCTAAATCTATATTCCGATATTCCCACTTGAATATTCAAAGCATAAATTCAATCACCGAAATATATCTATATATCTATATATATATACATATTATATATACTGTACATATATTCTGATGTTTCTTCCTGTCCCATTGAGTCTCATCTGCCTGCGCGATGGCTTTACCCATCCTCTGCACCCTCTCCTGGCGAGTGCGAGATGCGCAACGGAAGCTGCGGTGCCAGCCGCGATGGGAATCCAACAACTGGGATTGATCGGATTGATGATTTTAACATATTTTAACAACATTCTGGGGATTGATCGGATATCCCCAGCCACTAAAAGTTATATACGTTTAAATCATTTAAACATATTTTAACAACGATGTAAGAAACTGTACTCAGATGGGAGATGATTTTCCAGGTTGAGTCAGTGCAGTAGTTAGTTTTCAATAGTTTTCATGGATAACTGAGGAGAATTCGGTCAAAACCAGCCACAATCACCAGATAACATTCCGAATCTGGCTAAAAATCACCTTTGGTACCAACTAACTCGGTGGGTCATGGGTGGCCAGGAATCGTTTCCAAGAGGTAACTCAGGACTGGTTTACGAGTTACCATGGGAAAAAAGTATGGAATCTTGAACGGTTCGTGAAATGGAGATCAAGTGGCTAGTGCGGCTAGTGATCTGGATCAATTAGAGAATTAGAGTATATTAGGGTATGATCTAATGGCTATGATAGTTCACTAATAGTATGATAGTTATGAGAATTATGACATGATGATAGTTATGAGAATTATGATAGTATGATAGTTCACTAATCTCGAGCAAGGCCATTTGAGGATACTTGCCCCAGTCCATTTCCAATCATTCCAGTGCCTTGAAGGTACTATGGTGCGGATGCAGGGTATCGACCACTGTCAACCACACATTTTTCGCCTCACGGCGGGCTCGGGGGTGGAAGTCCCATAACTGGGGGATTTGCCCCATTTAGAAGTGGATTGTTGCGGTCCAATCGGCCGATGCAACTTTATCGTGGCTGGATTGATGGCTAGCGTTGTCATAGAATCCTTGGATAAGTTACGATTCAGCACACCTACTGACTGACACGGGAAAACTTCAGGGATCATCAACACAAACCACAAGTGACCTAACCCAGCGATTTTTTGTGGAAAGATACCTACAGGGAACCCCGGCCACAAATAAGGCCTCATTAAGTGCTTGTTCACCTCATCAACCCCAGTATTTGACCAAATATGTTGTACACATATGTACACATATGATTACATATGAGTGTGTGGTTAAGCAACCAGACATTTGGGGGCACACCTTGCTGCCGGGGACTTCAACCAAGGGGCAATTCGATTCTCAAAGGTGCGCTTGCCCTTCTCGCCCGGCTTTCTCTGCTGCTGCTTCGCTTTCCTCAGCTGGGTGCAACACCTGGATTTCAATGGGATCGTTACGGTGTTCCGAACATGGAACTTGGCCATGATATACCATGAAATGACATGACATTACGATTCAATTCTGTTTTCGCAAGTGTTTATGCTCAGGTTCAATGTATTTTTTCGTTAACTTCAAATCTTAATCTTAAATAATTACGAAACCCGACATCATTTGACTTTGAAGCGAATGTCCCCGACCAGCGGGGATTTCACTAACAATCCAAAATAATTTATGGAATTAGAACATGTACATTATATCCCCATGATATGAACGAAAATTATCATCTCTCAACTATACAACAACTCTGAGAATAGCCAACTTTTCGAGAGAATGGTCTTCCAGCCCCCAATTCATGGCAAAGTCTATGTATTTCTATGATTTTCTATGTTAATTTGGGGGATGGTAAGGACCATCCAGCCCCTGTTTTCCATGTTGAAACTCTAGCCCTCCATGGGGTTGACATCCCATAAATGTCAACGTTTTTCTGGTTGGATCCTATTATTGTCGGTGTATACCCTCATTTTCCGTGGTATGGATTTAAAATCCCAACATACTGCAGTAGACAATTCCCATTATAACATACTATAACCCAATCATCTCCGTCAACTTTCTGGACTACTGTGAGTACTGTGGGAAACTCAATGCCATAAATACATATTATAATACATATAAATACCCCTAGCAGTTGGGTTTTGGTAGGTTTATCTCAGCCTTTTCAAAATGGTGACTTGCGGATGGTAGGTTTGTGGCAACCAGGGCGAGCCCCGAGACCCAGATGTCCCAGCCAAAAAGTTACCCCGAAACAGTTACCATAGATCCCATAAAAAAAATCCCAGCCTGGTTGGGTTATCAATCCATATAAATCCCATGAACCAAAAAGTATCATTTCATGTTATTTTGGGGTAAAATTCTAGCCTTTGGTCAAACCTGTCCCTTGTGATTTTTCGAACTTCGTAAACCTATCCTTCCAAACAGCATTGGGTTCCCAGTTATTTCATCACCTTTCATCACCTTTCCCCCTTGGGACCGACTCGCGGTTTTCATATTTTTCATCCAGCGACTGGACTTCCTCCACCTTCTTCTGCTTGTTCAACTCTGCACGGACCTTGTTCAGCAGGGCGAAGTCAAGGCCCTTCACCAAATGCGTGTGCTCCAAGTCGCCTGAAAACCGGCAGCCGGTAACGCCACGGGGCTGGGGTAAGCGGTAAGCTGCCAAGGAATGATGGAATGATGGAATGGTGATGTGTCATGGAGACATCCCTGAATTAAGGCCATTTGGGGATGATTTCCCTTATAAACCATGATTCCAGTGAGGTCGCAGTGAGGTCGTTATAATTTACCCATGTTCATATGATATGTTTGTATGCAGGATTTATAAGCAACTTTCTAATATGAGGATCAATGGATTGCGGGTTAAACGGTTAAACCCTGGAATTAGCCAAACAAATGGGGTGTCCAACCGACGTTTCCATAAACCGAGGAAGACAATTGGGAGTGAGCCAACCATTGGGAGATCTCACAGGATTTCACCGCCGAAGATGAAACGTACGGATGTTTTAGCAAGAAAAAAATGGTCTGGTTGCTGGTTTTATCCATCTTGAAAAATGATGGAGTTCGTCAATGGGAGGGATGACATCCCATATATGAAATGGAAAATAAAAAATGTTCCAAACCACCAACCAGTTGTTGTATAGATGTCCTTGACTGTCCTTGTGCATTACATGGGAAAAGGTGATCTGACTTAACCGACGGAGGGATTTAAACCTCAAACATCCTCAAACATAATCAGATCCAGAAAGGTTATGGGAGCAGGTAACCAGGAAACAGGAGTTCGCAATTTAAAAAGGGAATTAACATTGACATGATCGACCGGAACCTTCAACCATGGGTATCTAAGCAAAACAACTAACGGTTAGATATTCCAGTGATGCTCCGTCTAAATGGGCACAACAGCAGTTCTGACCAAGCGACAAGTTTGGACGTCAAATATGAGAATCACATCCAGGATGCATATGACCGCTAGCATGGTTAGCATAAAACCCTCACCGAATAAAACTGCTGTGCACATAGCATAGTTAGCATAGTGGTGTTTGAGATTGGGGGATACCATTTAAGTATTGGATAAAATGACTATTGGAGTAGTAACTTCCCCAATTAATCAACCATGGTTTATCAACTCATCCAGGGTTCACATTCATTTATTAATCCCATTTATAGCTGATTTTCCCATTAAACCATGGTTTAGCAACTCATCCAGGCTTGACAACTCGACCCCCACTTGACGCCGCTCGGCCGCGTTCGGCCGCCTCCCAGGTATTTGGATTGTTCCACTGAGACTTCGCCATGGTTTTCGAATTCCGCAGCGACTTTCTCCTTAGAAAAGCAGCTCGGGAGCGGTGACCCTCAGCTGGGGTGACCAAAAATATATTAAAAAATATGGCGATTTTATAATTTTATGCGATTTTCTCGAAAATATGGGAAGAATGTGGGAAGATCTGGGGATTTTCGGTTCAAGTTGATCACACATTGACATCCAGTTGCAGCATGGCATGCAAATCACTGCCGTTTCGGGGCGGAAAAAATGGCGTCACCACTGATAAACTCACTAAGATGAAAAGGGTGATCGAATCCGCAGGTATTCGCAGGTATTGGTTCAGCAGTGTTTGGGGTTCCCCAAAAGTCATATTTGTTCATGTTGAACTGTTGTTTCATTTTGATTTCATCTTCTAACAGTCCCTACCAGAAATAGGTCAAACATGGTCAAACGTAAAGTACGTTGCCTTGAGGCATCCTCACATAGAGGACAGAACAACTGTAAGGAAGCCTATTTAGTACATGGTTGGTAGTTGGCTTGTACCATTAAACATCGTGAAACGCACTAATGACACTAATGACTGGGAAATAGTATGCTCGCATATTCCCTCAAAGCAAGCATAATTCAACAAACAACGATGGACCCAAACAAGAGGCTTGTACCCAAGGCATCCCCACGTCTCCAAAAATCGCCCAGCTTCGTATTCATCCTTCATGTCACGTCTCGCAGCTGCGCGATCGCGGTACTTGTTATCTTCTGCGGCCTGGGGCTGTGTAGATGAATCCTGGAGCCCCATCATCTGATGGAAATATGGATTGGTTATGGATTGCTTTGGAGAAAACCGCAACTAGTTGGTGTCATCAACAGCATCTCACCATCCCATTTCCATCCAAACAAGGTCAGCGGCCAGCCAGGTCTCACCTTCTCTTCCTTTGCCAGGGCTTTTTGCTTGTACTTGGCGGCCCGCCTGGGTCTGTCAATTTGCCTTGAGTTGTGATCAATGGAATTTCTTCAGCCTGATATTTTTTTCCTCCCGATTTTTTTCTTCAGCCCTTTGATAAAGAGCTCCATTTATCTATAGCTTAAGTTACTTTTTAAGGCAAACAAATTACGCACCGTTGCTGGGCTTCCCAGGCATCTGACGGATGCCAGGGAACGAAACGCCACGCCACCAGACCGAGGGCTTGTCGGTCGAATCTGTCTAAGTAACACATTTTTTTGCACCCAAAAAAACAACAAGAAAGCAAATCTGACATCAAATTACCACTCGTACTTGAAGGATTCAATTTTCTATTTTTTTGGGGTGGTGCTATACGCTGATAAGCCGTTTGCTATCTCAAGTCATGACCCTATTAAGCGTTCTACCTGACCCAAACAGATGATACAACAAACATTCTTCCACAGTTCTTCCACTTAGACCCAATAACACACTCCATCCTCAAAAAAAATGGCAGTTGCGTTTACCTCCAAATGGCCGGCATTGTGCCCGTGGAATCCCGTGGACATCTTGGACCAAAAACCCCAGTGGACCACATTTGTTATCTCCGAGCAACGCGATGCGCGCAATGGCTTTGTCATCTTTGCCTTTGCCTTGGCCTTTTCCACCCTTCCCAGCGCCTGCAAAATCCGCAAAGGAATCTGGTAAACTAACATAACTATTGAAAATCACCATTTTCAATGGGTAAATTCACTATAAATGGCCATGTTCAATAGCTATGTTAAATTACCAGAGGGTAAACCCGTGGTTTATGATGGTTTATGAGGGGTATTTCATGGCAAGTCATAACAGGGATGGAGTATGATCGGATCATATCGGATCCCTCTCTCTCTCTCTGTTCATTTTCAGGGAAATGATAAAGTGGGGATGGGACACACGACTTGGATGACAATGGCCTTTCAACAAAAACTGGGGATGTGAAATGTCAAACATGAGCATGGAAATGTCATCATGTGCTTGACATGTCGCCCCTTCACCCCGAGACAAAATAGATTCCCCAATATAGATGATTATATAGATTTAATTATAGATGATTATATAGATGATTATATAGATGATTATATAGATGATTATATAGATGTACAAATGGGAAATTCAGAATCATCGCAAGTCTTTCAAATATCATCCCCGCAACGACCCTGCCGACCCTGCCATGAGGTCGGGGGTTGGTCAAACCCGTGCTCTCGAGCCCTTTCTTCATGGGAAATTTCATGACGTCAACGGAACCACCAACCACCACCTACATTTTTCATCGTGTTTCGTAGTTCAAAAAACAAAAAAATATATCTTGGATTTGCCTGGCCATAACAAATGAAACAGCTTCCCTACAGGTTCCATCTTTTTGGTGGATGAATCAGCGGGAATAAACACATATATATATAGCAAGTCATCTTAAACATAGGAAATAGTATGAGATACTTATACGTCGGAATATATATATATCATGCTTCCGTACTTAAACAAACATAGGAAATCGTATGAAATAGTTATAAGTTATAACCTGAAAAATGTCCGCATGATTACTACCTGGTGGTTCGAAGCGAACAATTTGGGATCTATGGATTCTCTGGGGAGCCAAGGAGCTACGGCTTGAGTTTCCCAAGCACGTGATAGCCTAGAATATCTATCCATCCATGCTTCCATCTATATCTAAATGATAATATCCAGAAATTGGGCGAATGGATTTTGATAGTGTCTTGAAATAGATGGTAAATATCTACCATCTATATATCTATATTATATTATATTATAATATCCATGAATCTGTATCATCCATATTTGTATAATTAACCATCTATTTCAATGATTTGATACCCTTATACCTTATGATACGGGCTGCTCATCACATAGCCCAAGCCCTGTGTCAACACAGGGCACTGGGGCACCTCCACCTCCCGGCTTCTTGCGCGAGGTCAATTGCTGGACCAGCTCCCTGCTGAGGAAAACGATGGAAAATCCGGAAGTCCGGGTTGAAGTGGAAAAAAAACAACGGAACATCGTAACATCCTGAAACAATCTGTGCAACAGCAATGGAAAATCTTGAGTTAGGGTAGCATGGGATCTTGAAATGAACATCATTGAACCACTCAGTCGAACAATAATTCTTGATCTTGCCCCCATCACCATAACTATTCCCTAAAATAAATTGCTCCCGAAATGTTTCTGACACGTCTCCGTCAACATGTTTTATTTTAAGCGCATGCATATCTCATATCTGGCATAAAATGTCTATGTATATATATATATATTCACCTGAGTACACCTGAGTACATGCATGTACGCACATATAGATGTGCAAAGTGCAACTACGTCTGCCAAAATCAAACTAATTACCCTCTGGTAATTTAACATAACTATGGAAAATCACCATTTTCAATGGGTAAATCCACTATAAATGGTCATTTTCAATAGCTATGTTAAATTACCAGAGGGTATTTAAAAGAGAAGTTAAGGTTCTATGCGTATCGGCTTGAAATTCTCCGGGCACTGCCCAGCAGGGTCTAATGGGTCTATACAAATGGCGAAGCACCTATGTTCAGTTTCCACAGCTGAAAACCGAATTGCTTTGCTTCTCTCATGTTCAGACCATCCACATATCCATGTGGACATAGGTATTATGGGTCAAAACTGCCCCTTGAAATAGATTCCATTTATAGCATGATTTACCTCTGAATATTTTTCGCACAGTGGTCCATTGGGCAGCCAATTTAGCAGCCTGTCATTGGTGGTCAGCAACCGCTGGAAGTCGTTGTTGTTCATCGCAGCACGGACAGCACGCCGCTGTAACGCGGCGCGAGGGGCTGTGTGGCTGTTTTCGCCTGGAAAAAGCTGATCAACTCGGATCTGGGAAGCTGCAAGCGATATGATGTCGATGTCAAAACATGGTGGGATTCTGATGATTTAAAGTTTAATTTGTCAACTTTGAAGCATCAGATCCATCAGTTTGATTTGCTAAGATCTTGTTGGGTGAAGTTGTTCCCATGGTGGGATTTTGGAGCGGATTTTGGAGCTCTCTATCGGCAGATTGTCCAACTCTTGAGCCAACCGCAACGACCAGGGCAGATGGTCCTCATCACAGCTGCTGACGACTAGGGCCCTAGGGTCAAATGGGCCTCATAGATTCATAATCTATGGTAAAATTCCAATTTATATGATCTGGTTGGTGGTTGACCTACCCCTCTGCAAAATATTCATTCGTCAATGGGAAGGATGACATCCCATATATGAAATGGAAAATAAGAAATGTGTCAAACCACCAACCAGTAATCATTCATATATCACCCCCTGCGGCATGGATCTAGCCAGATTGTTATGGATCGAAATTGAGTAGCTCACGGCAATGCCCAACAAGTGAATGGTTCAATGCTGGTCAAACAAAACTTGGAATGGCTTCAGCATCCCCAAAGTAGTGGCCCTGCCCTGTACCTTGATCCCACTGCCGCGGCAATTTTTGCTGGCGAGCCGCGAAACTGGGGAGCCTTAGATAGAGGTCTTCAAGATGTGTAGAAGTGAACTTTGTTCTAACAGCAAGGACAGCAAGGACTTCTATGCTGATGATGGGGATGATGGTCGCAACAATGAGAATGAGGCTGTCGTCTAGAGTCTATACAAAGTGTTGCTAGATTGTAGATAGCAAATGCTTGAGAGAGCGGGATTGTCATGACTGATGCTTGATTTGTTGCTTCCAACCCGGAATCAAAAACAAGCGTGCAGTGACACTCATGCAGCTGTACCATCTCCAGAATATCTCCCCCTAATCAATGGTCAATGTTTTCGTCGTCGGGATTTTGATGCTGCCTCTCACTTCTTGACTTCTGAAGACCCTCCCCAGGCTGCTGGTCTTTGGGTTCGCAATGGTTCGCAGTTTCCCCACTGCTGGTTTTCACGCGCCCAGATGCGCGCGTAATTGGCCGAAATCAGCACGCCAAGCGCTTGGGAGGTGGCATTAGTTTTCCCCGAATCTACCCGTTAGCAACCCCAAAAGTGATACGAAAGTGAGAAACCTGGAATGCATATGTACCATCCGAACCAAAAGTCTACAATTTTGCAGCACTTTGATGAAAAGATCGTCTTTTAAAAGCATATTTATCATATTTCATAAAAAGGTCGTCTTTTTGCCAAAAGTTCGTTTTTTCCTAGGTGTCTGCGATTTCAAGGCTTTTTGGATCCCATGGTATTGACTATTGACATATCATCTATTAGCTCCTGGAAGCCTCCCCAGTGAATAGTGGGAAAGGGCAGCAACAAAACCACCATGGCAACCATGGGGTTTGTCTCCAGTTTTGATCGTCATTTTCACCGATCACATTGCAATGTTGGTATCCCGGTATCCCAATAAATTGGACGCAAAAACAATCAAAAACACATGCTGCGGGTGTTTCTGGTTCGTAGTAGGCCACCCTGATCTGTGTTCCCGCACGCTGATCCAGCCCTTCCCTGCGCTTCAGGCAGGGCACAAAATCTGGCGCTGTTCTGTGCCTGTTGAGCAGTGCCATTTTTAAGTTGTCTGATAGCAATGTCATTGGATAGGTTGAACTTTGAAAATTCCCAAATTCATCTCACATTTGACGGGAAAAACCTAGGTCCTAGGTTTCCGTTTTTATTTTTTTTAACGTAAAGTCATCCGATGGCCATTACTGTGAATTAGTGGGAAATCTTGACCGGATTTCCTCCACGTCTTGGGATGGTTAATGTTTCCGGTTGCTTCAAATCCTGCAAATTGTGGCCCCAACCCTTGCTATGGTTGCAAAAAAAAACTGCATGGCTGGTTGCTTTAAAAAATCTGGCATGATCTGCCAGACTTATATGCCAGATAACTCTGCTTTAAATCGCGAAGTTGAAGTCACCCTTTTCTTGTGATCAAGGATCACTCTGAAAAGTATACGGCCATTTAGGGATGATGCCCGGCATAGAATTCCCATCATTCCACTTGATTTCACCATGGCTTCATGGCCCTCTTTGGTGCACAGATCGTCACATTTCGCTCGCTCAGTCCTCCTTCTTGTCCTCGTTTTTTGGGCTGATCCCGGCGAGGCTGTAACTATTGTGACTGGGGTGGGATTTTTTAATCCCTGAAACTGTGGAACCGCAAGCCAGAAACTAGAAACCCATGGTAACCCATGTGATATTTTTCCAAGCCCTACTGAAAAACCATGAAACGAGCTCATGTACTAATGTACTGAGGCTCGTCTTAAGTCAGGATGATGACTCCGTGGGATTCCGAGGTTGGATCGACACAAAATGGGCCAGGCATGGCCAGGGCACCACAACTTGGTTGACAATGGTTGATGACCATAGGACGAAATCAGCAAAAGGTGCCAACAAGCCCCCCAAAAAAAAACAAGACCCATTTGGATCCAAGTTTTGATGGTTTCCCCAATGTTACCGGGAACCATCATTTGTAACTAATTGGTGGTTTCAACTTCAACCCCCCTGAAAAATGATGGAGTTCGTCAGATTGGATCATCATCCCAACTAGGGAAAATCAAAAAAATGGTCCAAACCACCAACCAGATATATTGTTATTCCAATTATTAACCATTATATCGACCATAGATTAACCATAGATTAACCATAGATTAACCAATTATTAATGGGAAAATCACAATTTTTAATGGGAAAATCCACTATAAATCACCATTTTCAATAGCTATGTTAAACCACCAACCAGGTTTTTAGTCTGGTCGGCCAGGAGGTCGCTGTTCCTGCTCTGATGTTGGAGCTCCGGCATCGTCTCCGGCAGCCTTTTTGAAACGGAGGCGTTTGTACAGACAAAAACCATAGAAAACACACTGTTGGGTTGGGCATATGTTTTAACATGTTTTAACATGTTTTAACAATCAACCTGGAAATTGTAATGAAATTGTAAATTTCCCAGGTATTTAGGGGATGCGCGCGTCGTGATTCACGGATGCTATTGGCTACGTGTTACGGAGCCACTTGACTTCCATCATATCCCACAGCCCACATCCTACCGAAGCGACTCATGGTGAGTTTGGATTCTCCATCATTCTCCAACATAAAAATGGGTGGCATATGATATAGTCATATTGGGAATATATATATATATTATATCATATATATATTACAGTATATATATATATGATATAATATATATATATGTGTATATATAAATCCATCATCATCCATCTTTTGAAGGATGATCCATCCCCCACCTTCTCAGTCTTCTTTCCAGACGGCGAAGCGGACCTGGCGTGAAAAGGACACTTCTGAGTGGCAAGGTACAAGGTACCAAATCCCACAAGTGGAAGGATGCGTTATTCATGCATAGTTATATATACATATAGATAGATAGATATGCTCACATATTCCAGAAAACACATGAAAACTATGTGCAAGACTATTCCTGGCTGGATTATAGGATCCAACAGGACTTACCCAAGCACGAGGCACACAATAAGCAGAAAATAAGAATATGATCAGACCTACTATTGCAATATTTGCAATGTTGTCCAACATGAGTTAGACTCAGGTTCTCAGCTGTTCAACAACGATATCGCCAGTAATGGATCCATCCCTCTTTTATAGGCGGAATCCCGGTAGATCTAATGCATTCCAATACCAATTTAGGGTTTCTGGGAGGGAGGTGATTCATTTATTAATATTATTTAGATATTTAGATATTTTTGGTTAATTAAACCAATTTGTTTGGGTTATCAGTGTTAGGTGGAACGGATTGTTCATCACCCAGCTTCGGCCATCTCTGCGCCTCGCTTTGGTGCTGTACTCCCGTACCCTTAGCAGCGCAGGTGGTTTTGACATCAGTGGCTGCTTGGCAACGTTGCCGTTGTGGTTGCGGTGGTGGCAGTTTTTGCTTTCCTTTTCCTTCTAATGGTTCTTCTTTATCTGCTTGTTCCTGTTCTTGTTCTTGTTGCCGTTCATGTTGCTGTTGCTGGTGTCATTGGTTACCATTGGTTTTGTTCATGTTGCTGTACTGATTGCTATTTTTTCAAGTCATGAAGAGCAAAAGGAGGTGGGGCTTTCTGCAGGCTGAACCTTGTTTTCCTCGAAGCTGGGACGGCTCTTGAGACACAAGTTGAACCAACTATCCACATAGTCCACATAGTATATACTTGGTATTGATACATATGTGTATATATATATATACGTGCTTGGTACATAGTTGGTACATCTTTGGTTGACACATATACTGACCCCAATAAATTCCCGTGGAACCCATTGACTGTTTCCTCTGTCGTTGGCTCGATACCTGTCATTGCAACTCGAAAAAACAACTTTCCAGCAGCCCTTACTGAAGACCAAGGTGCCCCTTTCTTTTGGGCGTACTTTGGCTACCCTCACCTGCGCACCATTTCGGGACCCTGGAAAATCAAAGGGGACAGCTAGCCTCTCGCCAGGATATCCCACCCAACTTGTGTGGAATCAGTTGCCACCAATTCGAAGAAACGAATCCCCAATTTCCTTTTTGAACATCCACTTTCTTGCCTATCACGAAGACAGGCTGAAAAGCGTTTTATTGGTGGTGACATGGCAAACCACCTAAAAATTACCAATTTCTGGCGGTTAAACCAAATGTTTGGCCGTTTTTCAAAGCCTCAAACATTCTGGGCAATTTCTCAAAATTCTCAAAGTCTTAGCTTTGACCCAAGATGATCTCAAATTGGTCCCCCAAAATCGTCCAGTGCCTGTTGTGGCAGGCGGGGCAGGAGGACTGGGACTTCTGCAGCAAAGCCTCGCTGAAATCACCAAGGAATTGGGAAAATGATACAATCGGATCTCCCATTCCGGAAATCATCTATACATTAATGGCATTAATGCTAAGGAAGAAGAACTAATTGAAAGGGGCCAAAATTGTGATCTTTGATAGTCACGATTATCCAATATGTCTCCAATATGTTCAAGAATATGATAGCAGTAGGAGTGAAAACAAACTCGACCCATTGCCATCCCCATTGGGGTCGCCCAGTTCAAGCCACTAGGATCCCAACATATCCCACTCAGCCATTGGTGCGGTCGGACCGACCCTGGAAAAACACATGAAAGAAGTACAGTACTGTGGGAATATGTGGGATAAGACTTATAAGATGTGTTTTTTCTATGAGAGGTTTGTACTACACTCATATTCATCCGAGATAAAAGCTGAACCAACTGGCTTCGTTCGCAAAGCATTCATCAAGGTGTTTACCCTCTGTGCACATTAAAAAGATAAACTTCAAGCCAAGGATGCACGCCAAAATGGTGATTTCCAACAGGAGAATGGACTCCCACACCATGTTTTTTGATTGTTCATCTTCCATTTTCACTAGAGTATAGACGATCTTCCTATCAAGACTGGGTGGGAAAACTGAATTTGCCAACTCAATTCTTCACTATGGGTCCATGATTTATCTAATCACACCACTTTGCCGAAAATGTATTACACCCAGCCCCCAGCTCAGCCAGTTGCTCAGATATGCCGCAGCTAAGCAACAGGAAACTACCACTCAACAAGACCTTGGCGTGGCGGCCACGACCCAAGGAAAGCTGCTTAAGATGGGAGAAAATCATCACCTCTGTGCTGATTCCATGCTTATCCCCCCCAGGCTTGGTTGGACAAGGTACCACGATGCTGATCAGCACTGGCACAGGATTGTTGAACACCTCAAGTGCGGCTTGAAAAATCAGAAAAAAACATAGACTTGTTTTTTTCTTTATTTTTGTTTAAAGGCGTTTGGAAGTTCCTGGTTTCGAACATATTCTGGTCTCCACCAATTTCATGATGGTTGCAATGGTTGCAAAATTGCCAACCTCCTTTTTGAGAAAAACGCAACCTTTATTCACAAAGAGTCGCCTATTCTAGATGCATCAGGGGTTCTGAAGTGTCTCCGACCTCATTCACTGGGTTGATTTAAGGGGGAACCTACAGGAAACTATGGTTGTCCTTAAGCCTAGCCTTTGTATTGCAATCCTGACCCTGCCATGGGTTCCATCTGGCGTCCCCATCTATGACACCTGATTTCTGCATGCGGAGCAAGGTGCCCAGTCCAAGTACTCCTGGAACCAACTACCGGAGCTTGTTTCCTTGTCCTGTCATGTTGGATGACGGACACGAGCGCTGAAGCCTGACTGGTGACATACCTGGAAAAGCTAGGGATTTACATATATATATATAGGGTTTTGATGATTTCTTCCTGGCAAAACAAGTGAAAAGGCATATAAGCATTACTGAAACAATCAAAAAAATCATCAACTTTGTATTTTTTTTGCCTCTTCAACCTGCATCTTTATTGGGTATATCGGTATATCCTTATCTCCCACTTTCGCAGGTGAGATTCCCCTTCTTTGGGATAGTGCAAAGCCAACATAAGCCAACTATAACAACTCAGAGATCATCTCAGTTTTGGTCTGGACATTTATCGAAAATCTCTTGTCTTTGGGCCCAAACGCGCTGCTTTCTTGTCAGACTTTCATATGTTTTTCCAAATCCAATCCAGAAATCAGAACGAGAGCCAGGTCGTCCTGCTTCATCTCAATCTCGTTCCGCACTTTGAAGGTGGCCTTTCCAAAGTCCACCACCTGGGCAAAGTCAGGACCATCAGCTGCAAGAAGGGGTTGGATGCAGAACTTAAACCATGCTTCGGCTGCATCTTCTAGCTACCAGCCGGTGATGAATGAGATACAGTAATTACATTAATTAATACATCTGGTACATCCAATACTTTATGGATCTTTATGGTCCATCCAAGCTAGTCTTTGAACCACTAAGTCACTGGGCAGTCACTGCAGGGCTGCATCCCATCCCTGGATCGCCTTCTCGGGGTTCTTGTCCACCACGATGTTGTCGAAAATGATGCCCTTGTCCATGGTCCAGATGTCGATGCCAATGGAATCGATGGTTGGGATCTGATAGGGATTCCTCAGCAGGTCGATGCTGAGGAGTATGGAGTATGCCCAAGGGTAACATGGGTATGCCCTGGACAAAGATTCATGGGATATATTGTGATATATTTTCCTTTGTTCCTTTGTTCCTTTGTTCCTTTGTTCCTTTGTTCCTTTGTTCCTCAGGATTTCTCATGGCGCCATCCCAGAGATGCCGGAACCCATCGTGTTACCCCCAATCTTCGTTGAGCCCACGCCATTAAAAAAAAAAAAAAAACTCCAAGGCAGGGTGCTCATCCTCAAAGAATTCGGGATTGGCAATCTGCCTGCAGGAAATGCGGACCGCTGCTAGGGTCTGGGACCTGGGTCGAAAGTTTTCATTAGAGTTTCAGAGAGGAAGCACTCCATTTCGGGGTGCAACATTTTGACCCACAACTCTTGGGTGATTTTAAGACTTTACCAAGCTGCTGTCCCAAGATGACACCGCAGAAGTTTCACCAACCGCCACTCCCAGCCTTGGCTTCCACTCGCCAATGTAGTTGGGGTTGTCAATCCTTGGCACAACTGAGCTTGCCACGGCTGAACACCTCGATTCCCTATGCGGCCTGGGTCATCAGCCCATTTAGCATCACCTTTCCACCAAGCTTTTGGGGCATTGGTACCACTGATCAAAATTTTATAGCAATTAGCAACACAACGCACTTTGCCACGAGTTTACTAGGATTTTACTCTGTTTCTCCTTTTTAGAATTGCTATAATTGTTAACCCATCCACAAAATGCGGGTCCAATGAGCTTTTGAGCCATGCCCCTTGGACCGATCAGAGCAGTCCCAGGGTCTTTGGGGCATACCACTTGCCCTTGTAATCTGGATTGTTGATCATCGGTGCCTGCCCGGGGCCACTGGAGGGCTGCTGCCACAACTTTGAGAAGTGACATCTGAAATAGAAGAAAAAAACACAGAAAACCTAGAGTCTTTTTTCTTTCATGTACTGTATATGTTCAGTAAAATATATGTATGTGCGTGTGTGTGTGCGCGTGCGCGTACTGCGTACTGTATATATAAATTATACATCATTCACAGCAAGCCCCCGAAAATACAGAAAAGTCAAATCCCCCCACAACAGTAGTAGATCATACATCAGAACTATCTGTTTCGGGCTTTCCGTATCATACGTTCCCGGTTTGTCGCAGCCAAAACCCATGGGACCCAGGCCTCCCACTTGCCACAGCCCACCGAGCACTTGGGGTTTTCAATGACGGGCGCCTCCCATTCACCTTAATTAAACGGCTGTCAGGTGGTGTCAGGGTGAAGGATCTTTTTTTCATGGGGATTCTTCATAGGAATCTATGAGGATATCCTGGGAATTATAACATCTTGTAACCAATTGATACCCTTCGATTTCATCAAAGATGCTTGGGAAAATCCTTCAAACATATGGGCATTGAAATGGGAAAATCATGTTTTTAGTCGGTGGATTTATTGCCATCTTTCATTACCGAAGAGTATTACATCCCATAGGGATGGGAAAAAGGTATAGATCTATCTGATTAAGTGATATAATATTATGTGATATTTTTTGTAAGTGTGTCTATCCCACTTGGCTTCTGTAACCCAATAATCCCTATTTTAGATATCGGGTATACACCATTTGACCATTTCTATATATGGGCCATTGACCACTTGCTAAATGGGATGCACACCACGACCACGACATGTTCCGTGTCTAGATGCCATCCTCCTCATCGTCCCAATCATCTGGCCTGACAGTGAACAATATGAACAATGGATGGCTTTGAGAAAAAAAAAATACAGGAAACTATGGGTTTTTGGTGTTTTCTTTTTTACTGCCATGCATGACAGCACAAGGACCCCTTTGCAGCTGCTGAATGGAAAAAAACATGTTTTTTTATTGGCATTCTTAGGGGTTTCCTGATTTTCCTGTAAATTCTCCCATCATCCAAGGCTTCCAAGGCTTCCCTTTGGGAGGGGTGAGGAATTCTGAGAGGCACTCAGCCAGCGGTTTTGTCCAAAGATTAGGGCTTCAACAAAAGACGATTGGAAAATTTGACCATGAACTATGGAATTATATGGAATTATGGGAGCATGTAACTTCTAGCCGTGATGTGCAATATGACAAGAAGTACTACAGTGAATCCAACTATTGAACCATATGCATTCACTGCATGATTCAAAATATTACAGTACATGTGTCTAATCGCATGTTGTGAACACCGGACGCTGAACTTATGATTACCCCGCCCCCCACCAGGATGCGTAAATCCTGGAAATCCTCTTTATTTTGGCGGGTCGGGACCTCAATGTTGAACCATGTAATTACCTACAAGTCAAGATAGAATCTACCTCAAAATGTTGATGGTTTATTATCCTTTTCCTCATGTGTTACTCACCATTGTTCCACCATAGCTCTTAAATCCCAAAATATATAATAATATATGGACGTTTCTGAGAACCTCCCTAAAAAATCGTCTAGAAACCACATCGTCATCATCATCATCATCATCATCATGCACTAATGTTCCCCATCCCCATTTTTCTGTTGGAAACCAACCGTTGGGAACTCCGACGACGTTGGCCCAACCCCCGGCGATGCCCAGGGCGCCTCTTGGACTTGGGATCCGCGATCTTCAGCGGTTCCCCTTCCAGCCATCCCGAGGGCATCGAGGCCGAGGGATCGGCGATGCGAAACGGCGCCTCCTCGTCCCAGTCGTCCTAAGGGCCGTTAAAAACATAGCGGGGAGGACGGGGATAGGTACTTAAATGGTGATTTTACATTGGGAAATCATCATTTATGTGTATATATATATATGTGTGTGTGTATATGTGTGTGTGTGTTTATCATCTATATGTATATTTATATATATATATATACAGATTATATACATATGTATATATATATATACATGTTTCATGTTACATATGTATATATTTCTAACAAACATTTTCCATGGCTGTGTTAAATCAGCAAAGGGTAAGTTGCTTTATATAAGAGGGCTAAGTAGGGCTTACGGTGGATATCATAAAGCCATTTTCTGGAGTTTGTTTTGGGGGGTGGTAACCTCAAGAAATATTCGGACCAAAAAATTGTAGATTGTCGATTGTGTCATGTTCAGGACGGGTATCATGTTTTGAACCCTCTTGTTCAGGGTCCATGGTAGTTTTTGGATGCATGTGAAGTGCCAAGGCAGTCCAAGGGAATATTGATTGCTTGGATCAAGGTCTCAGTTGTATCTCCAAGTGCGCCAATTGGAATCTGAGAACTTGTACAAAAAAACAAACACGCACACACACACATATATATATATATACATATATCATGTATATATATATGTGCACACATAACACTAACATACATACATGTTCCTCATCTGCACTGGTCATCCTAAAACGATCCAAAAATTGATGACATTGACATTTGATGACAGCTAGCAGCTAGGTGTCACCACGAATTTGTAGTTCTTTCATGTTATTTCCTCTTTTTCGATCCCTGGATTTTTCTTTTCTTGGGCTTTCCTCAGACGTCCCGTGCCCGACTCACCCAGTGACCGGCTTACTGGCTTCGGGGTCATCCATTTTGGCATCGTCCACCCAGTCCGTGGGTTTGCTGTCGCTGGGGTCGTCAATCTCCTGGGGGCGATCGGAACCCATAAAAACCCAGGGAACCCAGGAACCCTTGTGGGTAAGTAATATATAAATCACATATGTATATATATAATTATATATATATATGTATTTATATTTATATTTATTTATTTATGTGTGTGCGTGTGTTAATATACATGTATATTAGAAGTAAGCCAGTGATGGAGTCGACTTCTATCTCTACTTGGATTCAAACAGGATCAACAATTGATATACAGTACGTGGTTATCCCCAAAAAAGGGATGCTTCAAAATGCTTAAAATATGTTCAACATGGACAAGACAACGTCCGATTTTCACCTGAACAAACCCATCCGAGCGGTCGGCGACCGCGGTCCCGCCGGCCTTGGGTGGATTCACCGCAGGCATCAGATCCTTCAGCAGGGAACCGCTGAAGCTCTTCTCCTCAGGCGAAGTCGAGACGTCGCACCATGGGATCTCTTGGCATCAAGTCATGTTGAAACGTGCGCAAGTGTGTATTTATAGTAGCATGCAGATACATATATATAATTGTATATGTATATATAGGTATGTGTGTGTGATGTATATATAGATATATATGATGTGCATATGTATATATATATATATGATGTATGTGTATATATATATATGCACATGTATATGTACATTGACCTTAGCCTTTGGCAACCCGTGACTAGAAGGTTGTGTTTTGTTGGTTTTTGTGGAATGTTTACTGTCGTCATCTTTCCAGCCACGATATGAATATCGGCAGTGCACTTCCACCCACCAACTACTCATGGACTGCAGGTATATCCCAACCAGTCGTAGTTGTAGTTCATGGCCATCCTATATAGTATGTATACTATTGTATACTATGGTTGCAAGAAAGATGCAAGAAAGACTGCCCCGGTAGGAGGACCATACTCCCCACATCATTACTCGAGTGTGTTATAGTGTGTTCCTATGTGTTCCTTATACTCCCATTGTTGTCAGCAGAAATCTGTTCTTGGGGGGTTAAGTCAGCGTTTTGTTCGGCCAATCCCGGCTCTTGTGGCGTTTGCCAAGTCTCTCCATCCACCTGCACTTCGATGGAGTTGTCAGGGCGCAGCAGCACACCTATAGCGAATGGTGAGGGTACATGCTACTTCGATCCTGTTACCAACCACCTTTTCTCTCCGGACATCAGTACCAGGAGAACTTAATAAATGGCAATAAATCGAACAACGGGTCGGGTCCTCTCCAGAGGCAGCTGTTTTCTCAGCATTCTCAGCGGACAGGTGGCTGTAAAGGTGCGTCTTCTTCTCGCTGGGGACGCTTGGGGGCGAGGACAGGTGCTTCTCTTCCCACTTGCCGCTCACCGGATTCCTGTCAAGGGCCACGGGGGATGAGCGGCAAGGCCAGGGATGGATGGTGCGCCAATGGCATGTGGTCACAGAACATCCCACAACCACGAGACCTTTAAATACCTCTATAATACCTCTATATATATATGTTATACTCACATATATATAATATATGATATATATATATATGATACTCACATATATATCAAATATATGATATATATATATATATATAAAAAAAAATAAAATATGATATATATATATATATCTATCAAATATATGATATATATATATATAAAATATATGATATATATATATATAAATAAAATATATGATATATATATATATATATATGTATGTATCATAAATTATGTGTATGCCGTTATGTATCACAATTTATTCAGCCGATCTGGAGATCTGAGGCACTTGTGCTGCAAGATGAAATGCACTTTGTTGGTGGCGCCGCATCGGTCAGGGCCAAACATGATGACGTAGCCTGGTGATGTCGGCAACGGCGACGTTGTTCAAACATGGTCCATGAAAAACTCAAATGGCAGTGTGTCAAAACCATGTACCCCTGGTGAACATCAAAATAGCTGGTAAATGGATGTTCATCCCACTAAAAATGGTATTAATAGGTATTGATCCATAGCCAAAGGGTGATGATCTTATGGGTTGAACGTATGGTGAGTGATGCACCAGCGATGAAAAACATGTCGTGAGAAAACCATAGAGCGCCCAAAACACAACCATGGAAGGTGGATGAAGGTGGATGAAGCTGGGAAAAAAAACAGCGATGATTAAAGAAATCGGTCCAAATTGCCGTGGACTTTGCCGGTTTGGTACTTCGGGGACTTTTTTGTTGTCAACTTCCACCGGCAATGGCTTCGCCAGAAATACTGAACTGGTTGCCGGTTTCAAACCCGAAAAATGATGGAGTTCGTCAGTTGGGATGATGACATTCCCAATATGATGGGAAAGTCATAAAGGCCATGTTCCAAACCACCAACCAGTGACGTTTTTTATTTTGACCTGTGATTAATGGGTCGGCCACCCATCGTGCACATCCCCATGTTTATCCATTGATTTTTTGATATAAGGCTCCAAGAGTTTGACGGTTGCAATTGTGTGAAAACCATAGCTGAAGCATCTTTAAACTACACTGACATGTTTCGACATCAGATGGTCCTTTATTTGCAAAAAAAAATCGATGCTCGCATTGGAGCCAAGGAACGGGTGTCAGAATTGAAGTCCTCGGCATTCTGGCCTAAGCTGCGAGGCAGTGACTGCTCAAAAAAAGATGTCGATAGATGTCGTTACTGGATTTCTATGGGTTTCTATGCATTTAACTACAGAAAATTAAGGGATTTCTCAGAAAAAAAGGTGACCTAAGAATCATCACGTTTCATGGCTGAAGTGATTAGGACCTGATTGAGTCATATATCTACATGAATATCTACATATTACATCATATATATCTACATATGGATGTGGGTCAAAATGGAAGACCTAGGGGACCACAGATGTGAGTCTAGTTTAGTATTAACCATCCATAATTTTGGGGTACCTAATTTTGACCCATACCCATATTACTAGCCTTGTTTCAGCGTGGCTCGAAGCACCAGAATCTTCGAAGCTGCCTTCGCTGTTGAAGAGCTTGATGTAGGACCCTCCACACCTTGGATTGAAAGTGGATTCGGCTGCCATGTGTTTGGAGCTGAAAAATCCCCAACAAAAGGTTGATGGCAACCATAGCTTCATCCAATGATAAATATATGATTAATATGATTTAATATATGATTTAATATATGATTTAATATGATTTATGTATAATAATCAACGATTCCATTACAAGTTGTGCTATCTAAACGATTCTAAACGTGTATATACGGATATATACGGTATAGATCTGTATATTTTATATACCGCACCCATTTCTGGCCAAACCTGTAAACCCACCACATTCCCAATTGTGGATGCCCTTGTGATGCCCTGCTTGTCTTTCGCTGGCGAAGTTAGATGAATATATCCCCTATGTGTGCCAAAAATGAGTTCGTACTTAGCTGGAAAGTCAATCGACTCATTTTACCACCCCAAGACAAGTAGTGAATAATTAGTAGTGATATGTAGTGATAATATGTGATCATCAACATCAACACCAAAACCAGGAGTAAACCAGGAGTAAACTGAGTCCGTGGAAGTTTCTGGGTAAGGCACTTATCCAAAGTTTCCCCCAACCGAGTTACGAGAGGCCGTCCTCGAACTTTGCTTCGAACCTGGTGAATTTTTTAGCCCAGATCTACAGGAAACCCTTATATAATGAGTGCTAAGAAAAAAAAACACATAGTTTCCTGTGGATTTTCCCTTGGACCAAAACACAAACATACTCTATGATCACCTTTTTTTACCCTCTGGTAATTTAACATAGCTATTGAAAATGACCATTTATAGTTGATTTTCCTATTAAAGATAGTGATTTTCCATAGCTATGTTAGTTTACCAGAGGGTAATCCACAGCTGTTTTTAATTTATTGATTCGCCAAGGGGTTCACCATCCAACCGGTTCAATGGGAATCATCGTGAATCATGAATCACAAAATCTGACCAGGTTCCTCGGGGCGCCTCATATTGGGCTACAGTAATTGGTGGTATAACTCTGACCCAGAAATGCGACCCACATATCAAAGGGACATCAAATCTGAACCCTGGATGAAGGATCACGGATGATCAGGGCCAAATTTTCGCCCTGCTCTTGAGCTCAAAATGCTGAAAAAGTCCTGGTGAATCCCCTTTTTGACAGACATGATCATTACCACCCAACCGTTTTTTGTCGTTGTTTGCACCGCCAATAAACGGCTGGTGACGTGGCGACAAGCAACTGTACTGCAAAGGAGTCCCCATCCTTAACGTTGATGGGTTCAAACTTCACTGCCTTACCACCAGGACGCAGATGCAATGGAATTTGGGGGGACCAATTTTGTGCAACAAAGCCATCTTATATCTTGCTAAATCGTTCTCAATGAATATATCCCTGTATTGACATGTCCAGGCTATGTTGTCTGTAATTCTTGAACTTTCTTGAAGGTTGCCTGCATTTATATAATGGCGTACCTTCATATCAAATTCATATCCCGAAGGCTCAAGGATCAAAACATATCATAACGTTACCTTTCGACCTACGGTATGTTGTCCATCTGACGTGCGCTGGCAAGGCAGGAGAGACGGCTGGGTGCCTATAGTTGGACACTCAAAATAGGTGACGTTTATAGTTGCAATGTGGTACCCCCCAGTTATAAGTTAGTTTATAACCCCCATCAACTATAGATATGTATATCTACCATAAGTCCCACTTATTGTAGTTATAAACCAACTTAGCTATCTATGGGGCACCACTATGTGGAACCGATTGCAACCAAGGAATTGCAGTGTAACTATTCCAGCCTAGGAATTCCATGCGTTGCGAAAAAATATTCCCATTCTCTGTGATTTTTACCTACCGGAAGCGCCAGCTTTTCTGCATCCGGTTCACCTAAACATGGTATTATAAAAATATATCAAGTTGTAAGTTTAACTAACCAAAAGTTTACTAGAACATGAATGTCTAAATCTGCGTTGTTTCTGGATATGAAAATCCTATGGTTACAAAAGCCACCAGTGACCCGTCATCTAGCCCCACATGTTTTTCATAGCTCACCGCAGCTCACCCATCATTCACAAATCATCATAGCTATCAATGCTATCAATATCTATCAATCATATCTTTAGCTGAATGGATTAACAGCAACATTCTGGGATTCGATCCAATGAATCCAATGTTCCAAGAATATGTTTATCCCAGCAATCTTAATACATTAAAATGTCAACCCCGGATTAATGTCAACCATGGTTTATTAATTAGGGGGGTATTCCCCCAATAGTCATTTCATCTGATACTTTTTTTATGGTATCCCCCCTTTTTTTAACAACCGTAAACGGGGTTTATTAATCCAGGCTTGACATTAAATGATAGTCCATTAGTTCAATCCAAACATGACCATCCCAACCATCCCAACGAACAGGTTAGACCCGGATCTATGGGATCTATAGGATCTATGGATATCTATGGGATCTAGGGGGGTTAGACATGGTTAGACCACATTCTCTCCTCTTCAAATCGTTGATTCTCCGGGTCAAATTGATAGTTGGGGAATGGTAAATTGCAAGTCTTTGACAACTAAATCACCATATCTTGGCTGCTTAAAATCCATTCTCTATAATTAATTAAATGACACCAAGGAAAAATCTTAAAACCATCAAATTTTCCGAACAAATAATTGATGCTATGAACAATTGGAAATCCTCATTCCCTAAGACTTGCAGAAGTTCCAGATCAGATCCTCATCCGAAGCCCGAACGAACCAGTCGAAGCCGTCAGGCGACCGCTCCGTAGTGTTTTGCAGCCTCTGGCACCTGCAAGCCCAGGTCACCCACCAGCGCCTCACAGCCGGCAGCACTATGGGCGAGGGAAAAAACTCCGGGAAAGGGAATTAAACTAACTTAAGGATCTTGATTGGAACGAAAAACCTCAAGGATGTTTACAGTGAGGTGTATTTCTTGGAACAATCAATGAGATAAGTCAAATTGGAGGTGAGAACGTTGGAAACATATCCTAATCTGATGATATCTTATGGTTTACTGTATTTTGCAGGCCTCTCCACAAATGTTGTCTGGATGAATCAATTATAATCAATTGTCAACAATGGTTTGCAAATCTATATTACCAATACCTCATGGTTCATATATATATATATGTGTGTGTGTGTGAGTATATATGTGAGTATACATATTATAATATATTAAATCCCTAAAGCAATGGATTCAATAAGCATGACATGAATATATTGTCGGGCTTGGTGGTCAGTCCATAAAAATCCCATCCCATCCCTAAAAAATCTTGGCTACGATTTTCAAAGATGCTTGCGAGAGCAACACCCCAGACAGAGGAAAACATGGGGTACCCTCTGGTAAACTAACGTAGCTATTGAAAATGACAATTTATAGTGGATTTACCCATTAGAAATAGTGATTTTCCATAGTTATGTCAGTTTACCAGAGGGTAAATAAATTGGACACTTTAGCCATAAGCTTGGAGCAACCCTTCGAATGTGCCTCTGTGCTGCGCGTGGTGACTTGAAATCGGCCGCCGTACTTCTCCTCAGGGCGTTGGTCAAAGCGCAATGACGCGGTAAGGGGAATTCAAAAATCTCCAGTATGGTTGGAAAACACTGATTACTTGTAGTCACTATATCTACCCATAGAATTTCTATGTTCTTTGCAAGTAGTATTAAATATACTTTTAGAATCTTTTAGATAAGCATAAAAGATCAGAAAAGAAAGCAGCAAACGCCCAATGTCCATGTTTCATTTTTCCGTATCACTGAACCCTTGCTGTACCAACACTACACCACTCGCGTGTAGACATCAACCCTTCACCCTTCACCGTTCGTCAGTCGCCAACCGCCCATGTCGCCCATGGATTGAGATCGCTGCTGCGGTGGAATGCTTCCATCTTGACCACACCTGATGATTAATGATGATTAATGGAAGGTAATCATGATGATTAATGATGATTAATGATGATTCATGATGATTCATGATGATTAATGATCAGATTGACCGACATTGACCAACAATGCTGCAGCTATCTGACTGCGCTTCGCATGGGATGCAGTGAATTCTGAAAAAGCCGCAGCGTAGCCAAGGCTGAAATCATGTGTTCACTACATTTCTGTATAGGGTCACGAAAAGGTACGTACCCCTTTCAGGTTGTCGGGCAGGTAAAGAACTCATGACTCATGATGCTTTGAAATTGGAGTGTTCGTTCTACCTCTACCTGTTTGAACTCCCAAAATGCATAGCCTCCCAGTTACAATCTGAAAATGTTTACCAATTAAGCTTTGTCAACTTTGGGTACCCCCACATTGCTAATCGGCCATCTGCGTTTCTTGGACATGTTGACACATACCCCATCATCTAGGGAGGATTCCAATTGTTTGTCACTTCCCGTTTCCTTTTGAAGCACCTCCAAATTGGTCATTGTCACTTCAAATCGTCAGTTTTCAGAAGTACCTCCATAGTTCATTTTACCAGCTTCCTTTACCATAGTCTACCAGCATTTACCAGCTTTAATTAACCTCCATAGTTCAGAAATCACCATCCAATCACCATCCAAAACCTGCATAAGTTTTTAGTTCATTTCTTACCACCTATGGCGACTAAACCACTGGGGATGCAAAAATGGGATGCAACGGATGGATGCCTCGCCATCGAAGGTCTCCACGAAGTGAAGCCCACGGACGTCGGGGGACACGTACGGCGCTGTCACGTTCTCCTGCAAGGTGACAGGGAAAAATCCATGGAACAATGGATAAATCATGGATAGATATGGATAGAAAAGTCATAGATAACTATATCTATAAGTATATCCAATGGGTTTATTAATGATGATAAACCCCATATGATAAAAATGGATGGAGTAACCATTTTTAGAATTGGGAGTCCGTGATGAAACACAGGTGGTGAAACCAAGCATGAAAATCTCCAGGTGGAATTTGCTCATCCAAAAGACGCATACTTTTTTCAAGCAATGCAGCAGTCTCCAGATCGAAAAGAGGGAAAAAATGGGAAAAAGTAAAATCCTACAGAGTTGCAATGGTATGTTTTTCTATCTTTTTGGACGTTGCATATGAATTTGTCTCAAAGTGGGGGATGGACTCCATTTTAAGACCCTGTTACTGGGGAAAATGTTGGTAAAACACAGAGTCTCGGGAATTGTGAGACAAACCATAGTGAATTTTATCAGGGGTTTGTTCAATGGTGTGATGGGTTATTTTTTGTGCATAGCACATGGCCATCTACAATATTGGCATTTCTTGTGATAGGGATGCATGAGTCAAAATTCATTATGACCTATGGGATCGCAGCCACATGCTCCAAGTTGCAGGCAGTGATGATCAGCCGCAGCTTGGTATGTCAGTGGGATTACTTCTGTCATTTGGATGAAAAAAAATTGAAGGCAAACCGGCACGCCATTCATGTGATACACTTTCTGTCCTGGGGCCGTTCCCAACAAAAACATCGATATCCCGTAGTTTTTTTCAAGTGGCACCTCCAAAAAATGATGGTCCCTCTGATAGTCGGTATTTTGATAAGCTAAGGATTTTTTCCAGCCCACCAGCTTAGAAAAATCCAGGTCAAACCTCTCAGTTCTCTATGATTCCTCAGACCCAAAGGCCGTCGTTTCTGGCTTAAATCCACCATTCACCAACTAACCCATTCACCAACCATTCGCCCGGCTAGCTTTCTGCTCCTAAAAAATCATCCAATCCAGGAATCCTTCCCAACGACTATGTGATCAAATACTTTAATGATCTTTAATGTGTATCGGAATAACTTTTACGCACAATCATTGCACGATCCCAGCAGTTACAGTGTCATCTCCCCATTCAAAAGCACCATAAAACCGAGGGCTAGATCCATGTTCAGCACGCGCAGGGCTTCCTCCTCTGCGCCCACCAGGGCCAAGCAGAGCGCCGCGGAAAAGACAAAGCCGGAAACCATGGCACCTGCAGATTGTGGCGCCCCAGTTGCCCCAGTTTGTTCGCAAAGTTGGAGATTGGTGCGTTTTGACAAGCAAAAATGAAGATTTCACCAACAAAGATAAGGATTTGTGGTTGATTTATGTTTGCTAACAGTTGGTTCAGAAAAGTAAGTTGCCTTAGAGATCCTTAGAGGATTTATGGTAGAGATATATATGATTATATATGGATTGGAGCTACCAATAGTGGGGTGAAGCTAAATCAACAAACATACCCTGCGGCTTAACCACCACCCCTTGGGTGCGGATGGCGCAGGTACGGATTTTAGCCAACGCGCCCAGTCGGGACAGATTTTGGTCCCAGATCTTCAAGAGATGGCGGACCAAACATACAGATGAGTCTTGAAGCTCTGAGATCTTCAGAATTGGTTTAAGGCCAAAGATGATTTTCACCATCTGTTTGATACTGAAAAACTATGATGTTCTGTTCAAATTTCCCTGAAATCAACGTAGATCTTGGGATGCGAATCTAGACAGTTTCTGCAGCTACACCTTCCTGGCAATATTTCCCTCCATCTCTGATTTCTATAGTTTTTTTCTAGTGTTTCTACGTGGTTTTATTTCTCGCAACCCCGGCCTGACATCGACATACCCCGCTCAACCCCCGAGACCCGTTTTTTCGGGCAAAGCTGGAGCCACAGTTGCCCAGCTGAAACAGGTCAAAAATCTGGATTCATATGCCTATTAATGCCTGAGTGAAGTAAGAAATTCACTATGTAACTATTGCTGATATAGAATAAAATATGCTGATATATATATATATATATAACATGCATGTGATGATTGTGAAAGTAACTATGCACATGTTTGATGATATATAGAATATATAGAATAAACCGAAAATGATACGGTTTATGACAATGGCGATAGTACAAGCTGATGGTTATCAACACAAGTTCCCACAAACAGCTTGCGGCTTGCGGGCACTCCCGAGTGCCAATGACATTTGGGTGCCCTCCGTGCCCTCCAGTAAAGCAACAGGTGTTAGTTTAACCATGGTTTCCCGAGGAACTCAAACATCCCAAACTACAAACAATGGGTTTTCATGGTTTTTCCACGATTTTTCTAGCATTTTTCCATATGTTCATTCACCGCAGGGTAGTGGATTGTAAGGGCAAAACAAACCCTTTTTGGCTGTCAGCCGCGAGCGCGGCTAAGCCTCTTGCCTTGGTGCGTGCCGTGCTTGGTTTTGGTTCAAAGTGGGGTTGCCCTATATCGGTGGGTCATCATGGTCATCATTGTTATACATTGTTATTATGTTATATAATTACACACTGTTTTTAGTTTTTACATGTTTTTACTATCACTATGATTACATTGTCGTTAGTATCAAAATGGTTATCAAATTCGTTGATCATCTTGATCGTTGTTAAATGCTATCAAAATGGTGTCATGAACTTGTGGGCTAAACCCATCCCGCTGCTGCACTCAGCACTTTTTCCCAGGGCATGCCATACTGGCAGGGGGGGAGAAAATTCAGGGTCTCAGACGGGTGCCGAAAATGACTGCCTTGGCCAAAGTATGGCTCAAATTCACACCTGAAAATCAGAAGCGTTACAAACCCGTTATACAATGTTATATGCACCTCTAGGTGTCAGGTTGAAACAACACCACAGAAAGATTCTTAGGCTTTGCGCATGTGTGCGCCCACCATATGCTGTTAGATGTTATGATCTTACAATTCATTGAACCTTCAGTGAGCCATACCCAGTCTGGAAGGCAATCCAAGTGAAGCACCAAAGACGCCCAAATACAGTGCCACGCCAGCGCAGAGAATTTCGCAGCTCGGCGGGAAGGAAGCGCTGCTGACCGCTTCTAGGCAAGAAACATCCACGGAGGCGTTCAAACCACAGAAGAATTCGTGAATTCTGTGCAGCTAAACATGCTAAACTGGTGCCGCAAAACTTGCCTCAAACAACTTTCACGAGTGTTTTCCCACAGTCCACCCGAAAGCATCAGCCACAGCGGCGGCCATCATGGCCGTTTTCAGCCACGGTCGGCCCGCGCTTTTCGCCCGGACTCGACCTTGGCTTCCAGGATCTTGTCGAGGGACGCCTCAACACGAGCGAGGTTTTGGTTCACCTGCTCGGAGAAATTGCTCACTTTTTCGGTCAAAGAGTCCGAAATTTGAGCCTCAGATGGAGAGATGCATGGAGATCACCATAGCTATAGCTACCCTGTGTTGCATCTGAAAGATCCTGAAAGAGGTGATTGTAGGGTTTACCCCATGGTAAACCTTCTAAAAAAAAGATGGGCTGGAGGCCAGGATTTCTATGGAAGTTGGGATGGTTTTTCAGACAAGCTTGAAAAGAAAAGATCTACAAACTGGATGCTCCCTTCAGTAGAACAATGGTGAGGGCAAATGTGGACGTTTGAAAGAATCTGCTTCCATTCTGAATGGATGATATAGATGGTAAAGGATGGTACGAACTGAGGAGGCATGCTGGAGTCGGCTGACTCTGCCATCTGACAGTCATTTCTTGGGAAAGGCGCGACGGGTTCAATACAGTTATTCTGATTCATCGATGTGGTGGGGCGCATGTCATTACATGTCTAGTAGTAATGCATAGCAATAACATCACATGTATCACTGGTTATGGTATGTTCTGGTACTCCAACCGGTCAACTAAGGCTGACCTTGATCTTGACATCATCCCCAGAAAGGCACAAGGAGCCGTCTGTACACTCTGGGAGTCTTTGAAAGTAGACAACTCGCTCTGCAAAATGTCACTCACCTTCAGGCAGAGTCAAGTCTAACACTGGCAGAAATTTGGGCCACGAGGAACCCCAGCTGCAGCTATAACTATATTTGGTGGGTCATCATGGTCCTAGCATGTAAGTAAGTCGTATTATCTTGCAGTTTGTCTGCTTGGACTCAAGTCACTAGTGTCTCATTCCAACATTCGGCTTCCAATATTTCCAATATGTCCTCAGTGAACCGCCAAATACACAAAGAATCCGCCGAAAATAGTGACAAATCCAAGGTGGTTTATCTTTTCATAGTTGGCAGTGTGTCAAAACCCTGGTACCTAGTGAACACCAAAATAGCTGGTAAATGGATGTTCATCCCACTAAAAATGGTATCTATAGGTATTGACCCATACCCAGATTTTTCCATCTTTGGGGGGCGAGAATCCTCCAGCCATCGCCTGCTGAAGACTCTGAGTACTTGCCTCTTGTTGCTGTTGTGCCAGGACCTTCAGGGCTGTAGCAACCATGGATTCAATGGATTGGTTTGAGGGAAATGTTGCAGGGAAGCCCCATGATCTTCATGGGAAAATCTATGGTTTCCAGGTAACATTTCCCCTTAAACCAATCCATTGGTTGATATCATTGATTTTCGGTTCAGGTTGGTGGTGACTGAGCCAGCTGAAATATGAAAGTCAATGGGGATCATCAGCCTTGCAATCACCAACGGCCACTATGGAGTGGTCTTATCAACCACAAAAAAAACGGCACACATAAAAACGGCAATGGTCACCCGGCCCCCGTTTGGAGGAGCATCGCAAATAGAAACCGCACCGCGATCAGTGAGCATAAACAATATATAATAAACATATTAAAAAAATAAACATATTATGCATATATCTACATTCAATATTATTTATATAGGACATATACATCTCCTATAATTTGGCCCTCAGAAATAAACGGGTCAAGCTCGGGTCAATCCTTCCGTCCCCCCGGAGTCCTCCATGAAGGTCCCCATTGGGCCATTGGGCGTGGGTCAACCAGATGCAACGATCGGTGAACTAACTACCCTCTGGTAAACTAACATAGCTATGGAAAATCACCATGTTGTATAGGTAAACCAACTATAAATCACCCATTTTCCATAGCTATGTTAGTTTACCAGAGGGTAACCCCATTTGTTTGTTTGTTAAATAGTAAATCCAATAGTAAATCCGCATACACTGTTTAATAATCTCCAATAAACCAAGATCGCTTTGGAAAATCTAAGATGAATTTAGATCACTTCTTGGATTTCCATATCATCATATCGTTCTATCCGGGTCAGCAGTTTTAAGCATTTTTCCATCCCCACCTGTGCCACGTTGGCCAGTTCCATCTTCATTTCATCCACCCCGTTTCCACCCAGGCCGCTGGCACTGATGTCAGAAGCCAACTCCAAGCGTTTGACGCCTTCGTTCAGGCGTTCCACCATGGCCATGATGGCAGACTTCAGATTCACCTCCTGGAAAGGCTTGGATTTCGATGGCATTTAGATGGTTTATAATGTGTATTTGTTTGTATATATATACATATTATATATATATATATGAAAGTGAGTTGGGATTATGACATTCCCAATATGATGGGAAAGTCATAAAGGCCATGTTCCAAACCACCAACCAGTATATATATATATATATGGGTGTAGGGTGGATTTTTTAATGGATCAGACTAGGTATATTCTAGCATCAAATAGATATCTTCTCCAGAGTCTTCTGGCGGTGTTTTGGATGGGCTTAGATCTGTTTCGTGTCTGACAATGGGATGGGTTGATCTTGGAATATCTCCTGGCAGTTGATGACGCGGGGATGAGACTTGACATAGTCTATATATATATAATTGTATTATGAATAATTATATGTATATATATAAGATGTGTTTAATTTTTTGGGGGGGATGCGCATGCTATTGAAGTTCATTCTTGTGCTAGGATTGTGCTAGGTACAAACGCACATATGGGATCATGTGGGAGTCTTACCAAGCAAAATATGGCTTGAAGTCCCGGTGATTTCACGGGCAGCATCCTGCAACAAATCGTGTTGATTTCCACCTGATTTAACCCAAATACTCACCAGCATGCCAGCAGAATCTGGGAATCTGGGAACATCTCTTGCCATCCCCAACAGGATAGCGCTGCTATTTGCAGCGCTTCGAAAAGTCCAGTCCATCATATGGGCACCTTGGTATCCTCCATCCCCAACAAGCTGTTTTTCATGGCCGCCATCTCATGCATGATGACCTGCTGCTTCAACACAAGGTGGTTGGATGAGTTGGAAATCAGATTGATTACCCAAATATGACCACCTGTACGATTGGAATGACCTTGCGAAGAATGACATTTCTCAAAATCAAACTCCTCGATTTTCTCAAAAGTCCAATTTTTTCCATGGCCTCCCGAAGGCTAGTCTCCATGTTGGCACTGGAGTTGTTCATGTACTGCGAATGGGTGAAGCTCTGCCTCAGCACATCACGGCACCAGCGGCTGGGCGGTCCTCTGCTCATCAAATGTGGTTTGCCGGACAATCCCTGCACTAATTGGAGCTTTTAATGGGAAAAAAACATCTATAAATGGGGGATTTTCCGGCAAGCCACGTCGACGTTTGATTACCGGAGGGGAATGCTGGTTGGTATGATATCCCATGATATCCCTATAGCCCAAAAAGATCCTAAAGTATAAAAAAGTATGAAAGTGCCCATCCAGGGTTGACAGGCCCATGTCCAACTCAAACCTTTTCGCTGCAGGCGGCAACTTCTCGTCCCCCCGATATGACGAGATGGCGATCTACTGGATGCTTGGAGCAGGTCATGGAGCAGGTCATGTTTCATGGCTCCGACCCACCAGAATCTGAGGGATCAGACCCGTGATGAACCTGTGATAAAAAATTGAAAATCACCATGAAAAACAGTCCCTTCGAATGACCGGAACAAAATAACTCCATCAACATGGCGGACCAAAAGAAAACTGGTTACCCTGCCCATGAACTCATCATGGGAAACTCATGGGCCATTAGCCTCTGGTAAACTAACCGTTTACAACATAGAAAATGGCCCAGTCGAAATAGTGGATTTACCCATTAATAGCATGGTGATGTTCCAGTTCGTTATGTAAACGTATGTAAACGTTTACCAGAGGGTAATAGGCCATGAACCTTGCCTTCACCAGGGCCAGTGCCATCCATTCTGCCCAAGACGCAGCGATTCGGAACTCTGTGTGATGGCATCCTGGGTGCTCGTGACGATGTCCATGATCAGCATGGTCCTTGGAGCCAACAGGTGAAGCATGGTGAAGCTGTCATAATAGGCTGTCTGAAAATAAGGTCCATTTTTTGATTTTTTTTGGGCCCCAGAAATCCGATTCAAAGATTAGACTTTTTTGGCTCACCACGATTTTAGCGGATGTCGTAAAGATATCCGACCAACCTCATGATTTCCATGTGTGGCACCTGTTTGGACGTGAGCCATATATTTTTCGTGGAATGTACTGATTCCCTCGGCCGGCATCTGGTTTCACCCTTCTTAGATCTTCTTAGTGTGCTTCAAAATACATCACAATACATCAACTCCACATTTTCCCACATTTTTACTGGTTTTTTGTTGGGTGTTGCCCCAACCCCAACCGACATCTTGGAACGACCCACCCACAGGACCTCCGCGCCGTGCCAAGCTGCTGGCGTCGCACGTCGATCATGCGCTCCTCCTGTGTCTTGGTGGCCTGTTCTGTGGAGTTCACCATGGCTTGGCACCACTTCCCGAGCCCCGCCAACTCGCTCCTGGTTGCGCCGATGGTGAAGTTACAGTACTTGGGACCCGGTTGAAAAAATACCCAAAAAGAGAAGTTATAAAGTGAATTCCTAAAAGTGGTGAGATTTATCACTGTTCTATCTTTTGGGGACTATACTCTTTATGATGTAGGGGGGTTGGTGATGACTAGAGGACTATGTGTAAATTTGTACTGAAACCCGACCATTCCCATGATGTTTCTCTATGTTCAAGTTTTCAAGATTCGGGGCGGCATGGATTAAATATCATTACGCGCAAAAGAGCCATCAACTTACATAATTTAATGAATCGTTTATATGGATCAACAATATGATTTAGGGTATAAGTTCGAATGCCAGTAAAGCAATAATAACCTATCCGTATTTTGATATGTACCACCCATAAAAATTGTAAATTTGGGGACCGTTTACTATTTACTATTGCCACCTATTGCTGTATCAGAAACCTTCGTAAGCCATGAAACCTGGATCTCTCATGATTTACTATTGCTACCATCTGGTTATGACTAACAGTTCGCCATGGGAAATCCATTTTATAGCTAGGTAAACCATCTATTTCGATTAGGGCCATCAACAAACCATGGCTAGCCCTGTTAGTCATAACCAGATTGGGTACCCTTCGTAACCCATGAAACCTGGATCTCTCCAAGCTGCTGGATGTGTTGCATCAGAGCCTCGGCCCTTTCGACTTGGCAGCTGCGCATCTCCGCACCGCTGTCGCTGATCTTTTGCTCCAAAGTGCCTTCTGAGGGGCCCATTTTGGGGGCCGGTCGCTGTCGCTGACTACCAGGGGACCATCATAGGGGACCCGTCAAGCCGAAACTGGTCCCAGAACTGGAGGGTTGGATGTGGTTGGATGTGGTTGGTTTGAAACAATCCCTTTTCTGAATGGCGACTCAGTCAGAGCCAAAGCCAAAATGGCCAGTTAAATCTCCACTAAAAACAATCTACGCTTAGCAAAGTGTCTCCGGCTTTGGCGACTGAGCCTCGATTTGTAAAGAAAAGGCGAAAGGCTCCCATGTGCATTTGTCACGCCATTCTTATATCATAGTCAAACTCATATCATGCTATGTTACATCCCTATTTTTGATGGCTGCAGCAAGGAATCCATTGCATCTCCAACTTTGGGTGATGTTTTTTCAGCGCTTTTTTGGCCAAAAATAAATACCAGCCGCTGAGGCCCTCTGAATTTATTGCCACATCGAGGTAGAAGCCTATTATACATATAATGTACATCATTGCATCATATACAACACATGTGGTATATCTTGAAAGTCCAAAGTCCGATTCAGGATAGGTCTTTACCTTAAGATATATTTGGGAAACTAGAGACGTATTTGGGGACTTTGGATGTGGTAGCCTCTAAATTGCAGGCTGTTTATATTATCTTTTTGCAGGTCGAAAGCCTCGTTCATTCTCACGTACTTCATTTTCCTTTGACGTGCCCATGTTCAAGCTTTTATAAGCACCTGTCCACGACCTGCATAGGTCTTTCCACGATTTTAATAGGTCTTTCCATGGTCTTGATAGGTCGTTCCATGGTTTGTCCATGGGTTGTCCATGGGTTGTCCACTGGAAGATGCACATCCTAAACACCGCTGCAGCACTCTTCCCTAAATAGGCCTTAAGATTCACATTCAGGTCTTTCGCAAAAGACCGAATTATGCTGAATAGGTTCTGGATGCGCGAGAATATATATATACATATCTACATATATAGTCTTGTTGGTGTCCGTATAAATATATATATATATACATATACACTATAAATATATGTCATAGGTTGCTATGACACAATACATATACTGTCCGTGTGTTATTTGTATCGTTTTCTGTCTATCACCTGCAGCCCCAAAAAAAAAACACCTTCCATCTCCACCAAGCGTTTGCGGGTGAACTCATGGCCGGACTCCAGCTGCTTGGAGAAGGCGCCTGGTGGCACCATTATTAAAGCACCATTTCTTTTGATGAAAAATTCTGACGTGAAAAGCACGGGCAGAAGGTGCCCTCGTGCCCTCACCTTGATTGGTGGCCACAGTTTCCAAGACTTGGTGTGACTCCTGAAGAGGGTTTGTGTGAGGCTTGGCCCACTTGGCACGTGGGAATCTATGGGCCTTTATTCAATCATGAACATGATTTCTATAGCAAGCCCCAAATGGTGAATCTTTAATGGGAATCCAAAAAACATGATTACTATGGCAAAAAGTGAATCTTCACTGTTTTAATGGGAATTTACTTTTCTACCTTCTAGGGCATGACTAGAGCCAGTGGTTTCAGCCAAGCCAAGAATCACTAGTCCATTGGGATGAAATTTCTGACCGAAATGGGGAAGGACAAGTTGATAAAAAGCAACTAATGTGGTAAACCCAATGCCGTACACCTACCATTTAGGGATGATATTTACCAGCCATATATATATATAGTATATATATATATATATGGTAAGTCATTGGGGATGTTTTATTAGTGCATTGAGTTTACCACATCAGCAGTTGAGAACAACACCCTCAAAGGGCCGGGCTTTACTGGCCGTGGTTGATGATTACCTCCATGGCATGGGTCAAACTTTGGACCCAGTTCTGACCCCACACCATTCGACCATGCGATTTCCGTCCGCCTCAAGTTAACTTTAGATACCCCGTCAGCATTTTTTCCAGAAGGATACCATAAACTTCTACATAATACCTAGAAGTTGTACAATATATATAATAGAATAGTATTCCGTGCACACTGCACCAACTATTCACTAGTTTGCCCCCTAGCTGCTCTTCTTTGCATAACCATTTGCACGTATTAAATCATATTACCCTCTGGTAAACTAACATAACTATGGAAAATCACCATTTTTTAATGGGAAAATCCACTATAAATTGTCATTTTCAATAGCTATGTTAAATTACCAGAGGGTAAATCTATTGAACCATTTTTCTGGATATCTTTCGCTCAAAAATGAAACATCTTTCCAATTCCACGGACCCAATTTACCGCATTTTTCTCCCACAGTTTTCGAGGCTTTGCAGCATGAGTCAATTGGCTTCGTTGTTCGTTAGGTTTTTGTTGGTATAAAACGTGTCCAGTTCGGTTAGTCACTATCATTTTTTTACGGCATTTTATAGATCAACGTCCCACTGTCCTTATGTCCTTAAATGTCATATATGTCCCACTTATATCCAGTTTATATCTCAGAATTCTCAGAATTTCCCCATGAGAACCAACTGTTGTAACCAACTATTTAAACTTGATACAGTGGGAGATATTAGGCTTTACAGTATATCAGTTTATATCCCCAAGATATCAGTTTTTCACATGATGAAAAAAACATGTTCAACAAGCGTTTGCCACCAGCCCGAGAACATCATAAAACCGGACCCGTCCTTGCTCTGCTTCAGCAAGTCTTGTTGCGTGAGATCCAGCTTCTGAAGCAATACGCTGGAGGAGGAGTTCACCGTCTCCATCAACGCTTGCCTAAGCTTGGAGAAAAATGGGTGGATTCACCGTGACAAATTAGGCTTGATGCTTGGAACATGAAGCAATGGTGATTGAAGCATCCAAAACTAGAAGTTACAGTAATCATGAAAAAATGTATTCTAGTCATATCACCATGTCGTAGTCATCATCACCAGAATCATCATCACCATCACCGCATCACGGTCACCGCTCTAACCCCCATTTCGTATTTGATCTAGGGTGATCTGTTCATGAATCGGGGTCCCTTTTAAAGGGGTATTGAAAATGATCCAAGGGATTATTTCATGGATCAAAAACATCCTTCCCATTATTTCCCATTATATTATCCATGGAATATCACTTGTAAAACATCCAACATCCAACTAATGATATTTCTTGTTAACTGTATCCATCCCGATGAAAATTCCAAATATTCCAAGGAGCTTGGTGTTGTCAGTGGCACCTCCGCTTTTCAGAAAGGGATCACCCCTTTAAAAACGCACAAAAAATGGTTAAACAATGTTAAACAAATAAATGCTACCCTCTGGTAATTTAACATAGCTATCGAAAATGGCCATTTATAGTGAGTTTACCCATTAAAAATGGTGATTTTCAATAGCCATGTTAGTTTACCAGAGGCTAGTTCAAAGGAAAAATGATGATTCACCAGTGGAACGGCTGGGTTCGTAAACAAACGAATCGAACTGAATAAATAATGACCGTTTAAAACACATGCCACTTTGAACTTTGCCCAAGTTTTTTTTCACCAACAGATTTCTTTTTCTGCTCCGCGCCTGAGAAGGGAAGAATTGTCAGTCTGTCAGTCCCAACCCAGCTCCCAGCTGCCGCCTGTGAGTGTGGTCAACACGTTCTCCACCACAATTTTCCTTGGCTGCGCAAGGAGTTTCCACCGGCAAAAGTGGGTAAAATGAAACGGAGTTTTACCACACCAGGTTGGGTCCGCATAGGTCTCATTTTTGGGCACTTCATTCCGTTCTGTTCTGTTCATCTTTGCTGTTGACCCGTACCCATGACCATGCTTACGGTGATGATGCTGTTGATCACCAGCGCATGAAAATTCCTGAATCATCCAAAATTCCAGCGGATTTCAAGTGATTGCAATTTTGATTAAGCCCATGTGGATGAAAGCCTCCCCAATAGGAGTCATCCATGTTCGACGGCAACGACTTATTTGGTATCCTCATCCCTTGGAATTTTGGGGCGAGAGTCTGGGTATCCACCTTCTGCATGACACTGTCCTGCGCGAGGCATCAGAAACATCCAGAAACATCCAGAAACACAGAAAGCTGGAAGTGTTTTTGGACACCCCAACGGACACCAAAACACACCAGTTTTTTGAAACAACTGGCAGAAGGGCAGAAAAAAAACATCCACAAATCACAATGGTTTTCTGGATTTCGACCTCATCTTCATCGCCACCAGCTTGTTGATACTGGTATAATGATGTATAATGGGGCCCCCATTTTGCCCCTAGCATTTGAGGCGTTCATGATTCCTTGCATTCGAGCCCTTCCAACACCCAACTGGTCCAAGACCAAAAAAGCCGAGTTTCATGTCCATTTCCCCTCGTTGGTGCTGGATCTGTCTGGGGTTAATGCCCACCATCATTTCGCCCAGCATCAAAAACTCATGGCAAGTATTACACGATATTACACGTATGTTTGAATGCTATCCAATGAACAACACTATATTTAACCGAGCGCATCATGAGTCTTTGATACTACTCCTGGTGATTTTAATTTCATACCGCGTTGATCTATAGTTCTACTCATTGTTGACGTCTATGCCGTCGTTGAAACCGCAACGGCATCTGCCATAAACCACAACGGGTCACGATGTCATTGGCCGCCTGAGAGGAATCCAACTTATGCAGCAAGACTTGGCAGGCGTTCACCGTCTGAAGGATGGCCACCTGAAGGATTCCACGGATTCGACAGCGATTGAACTGAAGTTCCCTATAGGGCTGAAAATATGTGTATCTATCATCTATCTGTGTATATATATATAATGTATATATATATATATATATCTCTCTCTCTCTCTCTTTAAAAAATATATATATATATATCATTATGTCCTCGTGTATCTATACACATGCGTTTGGACTTAGAACATCTTAGAAGCTGGAGATAAAAGCTACAGACATCAACCTTGGATATCCAACTGGGACCTATTGGACCGTCCTCACCTCAGGTTTGGCCAAAGCTGTATGCACCTGATGAATCTTCCAGTGTTTAAGGGCACCACACCAGGAAATCATAGGAAATCATAGCAATTGTCATGAAAAATTGCCAGGGAGTTCCTGCAGTTTTTCTCACCTCATCCTGTGAGGAACTCCCATGGTTAACCAATGGTTATTCCCTCCTGCCATGGATTTACCAACTCACGTTGTGGATAACTTTGGGATCCCCCAGTTGAAAAAACGGAAGAATGGAGGCTACAGTGCATACTTACTCCATATGTGCGAAGGAATGAGGGCTTGAAAAAGGAACACTGCATCCTTTGAAGAGATCTGGAATTATCTATTTTAAGGAAATGTTTCATCTTTCTTCGAGGATCCTTTGAATCCTAGCCGCTTCTTCGAGAGAAAATTGCACTTGTTGAAAGATGTTTTTTCAATTTTTAAGCGAAGTACTACTACATCTTGGAATGCTACCTGCATTGTACCGAAATCTACCACTTAGTGAAAGGAAGGCTGGAAACACTGCTTCTTAGAACAGAAATAACGGGGTCACAAAGAATGCCAATTGGTTCCACACAGAGATAGGCCCCCGCGCTCCCTTGCCTTGGGTTTAATGATGTTTAATGGCAGGGATTTGAATAGAAACAAGCCAATAATCCAATGGGAGCTAGTCATTTCCTTCTGGAAATGTGGCCATATGTGGCCATTTAATTTATCACCCACCATGTGTGAAATGTGCACCAAATGCTGGTCCCTTGTTCTGTTTTCTTTGGTCTGGCTAGCTTTCCTGTAGAAACAGCTTTACGAAATGCACCTCTTCCCGACAATCCGATGCTCCACATTGGTGTCAAGTCAATACGGGGGAAGTTTTAGACCCTGGTGTTTTGACTGGGGATTCGACCAGGAATGAAATTGCTTACAAGAAAAATCTGTCAACGAACATGATTCATCCATCAAAAGTGATTTCACCTAATACGCCTAAGCATATAGAAGCATCAAAAACGTGGAACAGACCTGAACCAACACTGAGATTTGGAGATGTCCTAAAATGGAGGGGGGTATCCCAAGTGCTCATCAGCTCATCCATGGGATTTTTGGATTTTCACCGGGATTTTCCATGGCATCCGATGGAAACCCCAAAAGGACCTGTGAGAAGTCCATTCTTTGGGCAATGGCTTCCTGAGAGCTCTCCATTTGCCGCTGCATGTTCTCCTGATCGAAGATGTTTTGATCATTGAAAGGGGAGTTTTCTTGTCAAAAAACAAAAGGTCATGAACTTGAGGAACTTAAGGGATGATGAACTTTAATCAGGTTTAATCAGGTTTAATCATGTTTAACCATGTTTTATCAATGAAAATTGGAAGTTCTACCAAGAAAAACATTCAGCATATCATTTTTCATGGCTCCTTCACAGGGCTGTGACAAAACAAAAGGGGGATCGAACCCGGCGGAGAAATCTCAGGGCCTCCATGCAGTGCAGCTTCGACAGAACTTCCTCACGGAAGGGTTGCAGCACATCGCGCATCATTCCTCAGTGACTTTTCACATGGAAGGCCTATCTTGGATCATGAGGAATAATATGAAATAATTACCCTCTGGTAATTTGTTACAGATCCACCAAATTTATAGCTAGGTAAACCATCTATTTCGATTAGGGCCATCTACAAACCATGGCTAGCCCTGTTAGTCATAACCAGATGGTATGATAAACGGCCATGAATGTCTGTGATACATGGGCCAATCTTGGATAGTTATCAATGGTCCAAATTTATATGGCAAAATAATATGGTTTTTTTTCGGTGGGATAATGATGTTCTCACCCCCTGGTTCTAGTGAGGTTCAACCGTTTCATGAGGACAAAAATCGATAATTCAGGGGCTATCAATGGGGATATGATGGAAATATGACCACCATGATGGGAAAATTTGGCACGCCCAAAACATGCATTTCAATTGGGAGGAGGAGAAAGTCTTGGAGTTTGATGGGGGGCAATGTTGGACAACTCAGATCAATATCAATCCAGCACTTTTTGGGGTCTTGATCTAACTTGTGCACGCTATTGTGTGGAACAACCCTCGGTTTTGGGACTCACAGCTACGCCATTCATATAGTCCCTTCCCCCACCCATGTTAAATAGACCCCATGACTAGGCCCCCAATTTTATGAGTAAATCCAATACTAAACCAGGGTTTCGGCTCGGGTATTGAATCAACATGATCGGTGGATTCGATAATTCCCTCACCAATGCCATGCTGCACCGTGCTGCGCATCATCTTCTTCGGGAAAGCCATCGATTTCCATATGGCTATGAGTCAAAACCCTGGAAAGTAGTTCGTGAATAGATGGTTATTCCCCCAGTCATATGGTAAGTTCATAGCTTTTGACCTATCCCCATATCTACGTTACCCTCTGGTAAACGTTTACATAACTATGGAAAAATCATCATTCTTAATAGCTATGTTATTTACTATAATTATCTATAATTTACGGATTGAATTGCCATTTGTCAATAGCAAACTGTACCAGGTTTACCAAATCCATGGATGACCCAAGTTTCCCCGCATCTGATCTTCCATCTGCTCACTCATGTGGCCTGGAGCCCCTGGGCTCATGATGTTCATGGCTGGCATGCTGGACACAGGCGTGCCGGGGATGTTTGGCAACATCCTTGGTGGACGTGAAGCCGCGAACGAGAATCACGATTTATATGATTTATGAACGAGAATCAGAATCTCTAGGAGATTTTTGGGCGCTTTAAGAATGGGATATCTCCAACATGGCATAGAAAAAGAGTGAAAATCATCATGGACTATGGGATGTTCGGGGGCCCCTAGTCACTAGATCATGTCGATGGGAAGCTCTGAGTAGCTCCGGATAGCCATCTCCCAACCACTGTCAGTAGTTCAGCTGACAATACAGCAGCAACAATCTAGTCAAATTCAATCTCTAACATTAGCATCATATGGGGATGGTCAAAACCCTGTAGCCCTTCTGTTCACATCAAAAAATAGCTGGGATTTATGGCTGTTCATCCCCTAACAAATTGTATCTATAGGTATTGACCCATAGGCATATTGTACATCAGATTCTGTTTTTGGTGTTGGGATCGGCTGTCGAGAACTTTTTCCCCGTTTGCCGAAAGCGTTGAAGACCCCCCTGTTTCAAAGTAACGAAATCACGACTTGATCGTTTTCACCCAGCCGTGAAAGATGACGGAAATCTAAACTTTACCCCCCACACAAACACACAAAAAAAATCAATGTGTGTCCTCTTTGGATTGTTAGAAAAATACCTCAACCTTAATCTCTCAACTATTTTGCACCCCTTCGTGTCCCGCCTTACCCTGTCCAGGCATCATCACTTCTTTCTGCGACATCCGGGCGCGATTGGCTTCCAGAAGCTTCATGAAGGGATCCTCCTTCTCGATCAAGCCACCCTTGTCTTGCCTGGATGATCAAGGCTTAGACATGGCGACATGCTGCAAGAATATCACTTTTAGCTGGGTAGTATGCATAGATATATGCATATATATATATAATATGTATGTATATAAATATAATGTGCATACATATGGTTTAAAAAAGTCGCAGCATTCCACTTTCCAACTATCCTAGTGATGGTCTGTTGGTGCAATGATGCAGCGACCAAATCTAGTTGGTGGTTTTAACCATCTTGAAAAATATTAGTCAATGGGAAGGATTATCCCATATATTATGGAAAAAAAAATGTTCCAAACCACCAATCAGAAATAAATGATTGTTGATGGGGCTATCTAATGATCTGCCCGTGAATCTTGTGATTTAGTCAACAAAAGGAAAGGATTTGAGCAAACAAAATGGGGATTCAACCAATTAATTTACTTGAACCGACTAGAGGCCGTGCTCATGACTGCCCACACCGTTGGCTCAGTCACCATCTTTTCCGATCTTATCCCCTCAATGCCTTTGCATTGGTGAGAACGAAAACACAACGCTAGTTGCCCCCTGGTTGCGATCTTGGGTTTCTCATGAGGCGCCCAGCAGACGTTTTGGATGGCTGGAACATGCCTTGTTTGTACCCATCTTTGTTCAATGTAAAATAATGTAAATATACCGTCCTTAGATATACTTCGATCCTCTCTTTTACACTGGGCTCTCCCCGTTTCATTGCAAACAATGACTTGAAAAAACATATCAAAACCTGAAAGAAACATCTTCAGAATCGAGCCTCCCCGTACAGACATGATCCCCTTTGGAAAAAAAAAACGCATCAACCCCTTGGATCATCTGATGATCAGTGGTTCGTAAATGTTAAAAACCCTGGTGATCATACCAGGTAGGTCCTGAAAATTCAACTCTTGATGATGATCCAAAAGTGATGCCATTTCAAAGTGAGAGATCTATATGTTTTGTTTAAGCGCGCTTACAAATAATCAGAAGACTTACTAGTTAATCAACTACCCTCCGGTCATCAAATGTGGTTTGATGTGGTTTGATAGGTTATCCACCATTTATTAGATTATCTTCTCATTAAGGGGATATGTCCGAGTGCCATGTTTGATTGCCGGGTATGTCACCCCAACAATATCCCAACAATAAACCTCTGGGGTATACCCAACAGTTAAACCTATAATAAACCTCTACTAGGGATGATGATGGATGATGGTTTATTGTATTTCATTGTAGTGTAAAAACCAGGTGGATCCACCAGTTCCGTCCCAAAATGATCCAAGATGATCCAAGTGACCCCAGATTCATCTTCTCGGCGGTCCAGCGTTTCTGCGTAGCTTCCACCAGCACCCAGGGCAGGTTCAGCTCCATGCAGCGCTCACCCGTGAGACCTGGACGAAAAATCGACACCGAAACAAAGACCCCACGGGGAGGTCACGGTCACATAGGGCCGGTATACGGAAAAGTGCCAAAAAACACGGGGAAGAATGTCTTAGAGACATATATAGAATAGAAATTGATGGTATACCTATAAAAAAAATTGTGATTTTCCATGGTTATGATGGATATTCTGGTTGATGGTGCAATGTGCCCATCTTGAAAAATGATAGAGTTCGTCAATGGGAAGGATCATCCCATATATGAAATGGAAAATAAAAGCCATGTTCCAAACCACCAACCAGCTTACATTAGGCTATTATAGACTTATAGAATTTGAATAGTGAATAGAGCTAAATAGAAGCTCCAGTTCCTGGAGGAGTGTCTGGAGTATCACAAAAAACGCACCGCTTTTTAATCACCACCTTTTCCCAAAAACCATTCGCTACGAAAGCCTTTTCAATGGTGCAGTTCCAAGGGACCAAAATTTCAGCAGATCCTGTTCCCAAAACATGTCAACCGTGGATAAAAATCACCCCCCAACGGCTGTTTCATTGGGAAGGTACCATCAAAAAGTATCACATCATGACTGTTGGGGGAATACTCCCTTAATTAATGTCAACCATGGTTTAGCAAAATCCAGGGTTGACATTCATTTATTAATCCCATTCATAGTCATTTATAGATGATTTTCCCATTAAACCATGGCCGGGTTGACATTACAAACCGAAAACGTCCATCCCATTTTGAACCGTGACCAGGTGACGTTCCAGCACCGCCGTGTTGGTGACGCCATTCTCCACCAAGAGCCGCAGCAAGCGGTCCGTGTGGGCGCTCATGCCCAGGGTCACCATGGTTTCGGCCACCACCTGAGCCGAAAAGGGTGGCAGGGTGGCAGGGGTGCCACGGTTTGTGAAGTTCGTTTAGAAGTACTGCAAAAATGCCAATAGAACTGTAACTAATATAACTTGGGGTTATGCCTGATAGATTGATAGATTGATTGATTGATATCACTTTGGGTCGAGAAAAGATGAGAAAAGTAGATAAACGGTTTGGCTTATGGTAATGAAATCGCTATAGTGGGGTAAGTCACTAGCGGGCACCACATGGCACCAGCGCACGGATCTGATGGATTGAAGCATATTACAGACCGCATCTATAGCTATGGCATGGTGCTCTCGGTCATCAAATATGGCAATGGACAATTCAAAACAATTCATCCTGTATAATAATCTTTAATTAATGTTTATAGATGATTTTTTTCCCATTCAAAAGTTGGTTCAGCTTGGGAGATTTCCATGGGTTTAAATGGATTTCCCAGCTAGTCATGTTTTAGTGGCCGGATGGTAAATTCAGCGGAATACACTTCCTTTCATGTTCCATTCCGTGCCTCAACCATCTTCTCTTCACTTTCAGCTTCCTGTTCCGTGGCACTCCATGGCAAAGGCAGGGCGTGAGGTGGGATACCAATGGTCATTGGCTCTTGTTGATTGGAAAATCGGAAAATCAGTTACAAAAAAAAAAGAGGTGTCCTATTTATCCACTTCTTGTATTCTTGGGGTTATTGTATGTTATGGTCCTCACTCCTTGATTTATGTGTCAAGGATTGACAGTCTCGTAATCTTGTTCTGTGGGATTGTGTGGGCTTATGGCCTGTATCCACTGACATGGGGTTATGATGGGTTATGGTTATGGTTGGTAAATGGGGATGGGTCAAAACCCTGGTACCTAGTGAACCCCAAAATAGCTGGTAAATGGATGTTCATCCCACTAAAAATGTATCTATAGGTATTGACCCATACCCAAATCAGTTGGTCATTTTTCGGATCTCCATAGACGGAACATCTTCGTCGTCGCCTCGCCCGCGCCCAAGCCGTAGGTGCTGGCCAAAATGCCGCCGGTGGCGCTGGAGACCTGCGCCTGGCGTCAAATCGGATGCGATCCGGGAGAAATGATGGAAAAAATTATGGGAAATGGATGGGAAAATCGGAAGAAACATCTGGGTACGTGGTTGAAGTAGAAATTGATGGCATAAACATGGGAAATTCATGGAGATTCTATCACATGTGAATGTCAAATCCCCATCTTCAGTGGAAATGTTGCCGTTGCCACCGTTGGGTTTTCACCATTGGAAACACCCGGTCGTATTCCTTTCATCCAATTCTGGGAGTCAAACATCATCTGGGATCTTGTCCGGGAAGAAAAAAAAACATAATTTTTGCACCGATAATGTTGACATCTACCATCTGATTTCTGGAAAATGTTTGAACAAATCATCATCATCATCATCATCATCATCAAGAATTTCTAGATGTCAATTTTTCTATGATGTCAAGTTAATCATCAAACATTGGTCATTGCGATTGATGATGATTAACTTTTCCGGGGATGGCAAAATCCCAAGAAAAAGTTGGTCAAAGGCTGGGGACTGACCACCTGGCACCTGGCACCTTACATTTGGATTCCAAGATAGTTGGAATAGAAAACTGTGAAGTCAATTGCTATGTGAAAATCTCAGGAAAAGGATGGAAAAGTCACTTTTCTGTCTGCTCAAGGACGTCCTTGAGAAACTCCGTTGAAGGACAAGCTGTTTCTCGGCCAGTGGGGCCATCCCCAAAAAGGGATCCTCCGCTGGTTGCTTCGTCCAGATTTGAGGAACGATTCCCCAAAAACAATGAGCTTTGGCGTTTCAATATCAGTCCATGAGGTTCACTATTTCACCAGCTGATTTACTCAAATCATTGGTGAATTGATCAGTAATCAATAGTGAGTAATCATCAAACTCACATGAACATGAACATGAACATGATCATGATGATGATGATGATGATGGTGATGGTGATGGTGATGGTGATGGTGATGGTGATGGTGATGGTGATGGTGATGGTGATGATGATGATGATGATGATGATGAGGGCCACCAGAAATTCACCAGAAATTCACCAGAAATTCACCAGAAATTCACCAGATTCTATTCCCAGATATTCCCAGTCCCAGTCCCATTCTATCCCTGGCGCCTTGGCCTTCATTTTCAACTCATCCTCGGGGACCTCATCGGTGGGTGACAGGCCGTAGAGCTCGCGGGCCGCCTCCAACTTGCGCTGGTGGACCATCTTCATGCGCTGCATCAAAATGATGAAGGTGAACCTGAGACGTTGCATACATATATGGCATGCATACATATATGGTATATATATGTGTGTGTGTGTGTAAATGTAATAATTGTAATGGATCTAATATACCATCCGCGTGCATGGAGGGTGAACATTGTGGTGCAGGTTTTCGGGAGCATATGATACTCTGTCTGGCGGTATTTTGGGGCCAAAGTCAGAAGATTTTCCCAAGAAAAAAACAAGAAAATAGATCTATCATGATGAATCATGATCTATCTTCCCCGAAAATCGAGGTGATACCCTCTACCGAGATCGACATTTCATGACATTTCATGCACAAACATGGGGTGCTTTAAAGTGTAACTTACGGGGCGCTCAGGATGGCATTGTCCAATGAGTTCCAGCCCTAGATTTATCCCAGTAAGATGAACTTTTTTTAGGCTCTCGGGTCAGGAGACATGACGGATACAACTTGATACAACCAACACCCATGCATAGGCGATAGGAATGAGCTCCCAATATTTCCCATGAACAACGACCAGGATCCAGATCCAAAAATTCCATGAAGAAAAGCAGCATCGAACCCCCCAAGAAAAGTGGATCTATTCGTCAATGGGGGTCCCATATGATATGTATGGATATGTTAAGGCTGATGGGATTATATTGAATATTGCCATGCCTTGGTTTGACGACGTGGTGCAGCACCCCGCACACTCTTTTCGGCCACATCAAGGCACTTGGAGACGATGTTCAGGACCACCCAACCTGAGAGTCGCAGGTCCCTTTTTTTGATTACTCGAAATGGAAAATTTTGGGAATCACTGAATCACACCAAATGATCACCAAAACCTCCAGGACTTGGTATCTCAACTCAATTATTTCAAGACCCTGAACTGGAGATAGGGTACAAGTGCCAAGACAAGAATTTGTGATTTTGTGGGGATGTTCCCTGAAACTAAGGCCTTACAAGCCCTTTCAGCCAGTACCTTGGGGTCAATCAATGTTGACCATGACGACATGCGCTTCATAAATATTTGACCTAGCTAGCTTTGGAATGCAACCATCTGTGGATTTGGCGGCCTAGCCAGAGTAAATGAAGAGAACATTACACTTCAAGCTGGCATATTTCCGACAGAATTCGGTTCTCACTCCCCTCAGTCTTGTCTCCTCAGTCTCGTCAGCTTTGTTTCATTTGATATCTGTTGTGACTCATCTGGGTCTATCCTGGATTTCATCCAGCAAAAAATGAAGATGTGCAAGGTAACGTGAGTCCTCACGCAAAGAGCCAACTAAAAACTGAAAGCTGGGAAAAGAAACAAAAATCAAACGTGGATAATGCCAACCCTGGTTTAATATAACATACCCCCCCGGACTGTTCAATTCTTGGCACCATTCATAGCCACCCTTCCCAATCAGGGGACCCATTTCGATGATGAGGTAGTCGGTGATGACGCCGAAGCCCTCGATACTCAAGCTGAACCACACGGGGAAAGGAATCCAGGTGATAATCCTCAAGGCGGAAAAGGGAACGGTGTGGGTTGCAGATGATCCTGCAAGGGATAAACGCGGTATGCATCATGGACAGAATAATGGCTGAATGACTATAAATATTGCTGTATACGTGCACGTGTGTGCGTGTGTGCTACGCCCATTTCAGTTAACTTCTGCATAGTATATAGGAATGATCAAATTAAATGGGTCTCCAAAAAAAATATATATATATATACATAACTTTATATATAATTACTATATGACCCATATAATTATGACACATCTGAAGAAAGTAGAGAAAGGGAATCCATCTACGATCATCTACGCTTCATCCGATGACCGAGGTGCAAGAGGAGCGAAAGCTTCCTGAAGTCGGAAGCTCCTTGGAAGGCGTTCTCCTGGAGATGTCTGGATTTTTTTCCAAGGTGTGGAGCCTTTGGAAAAGCCTTTGGAAGGGCAAATGGAAAAAGAAACTGGCAAAATTCGTGATGTTTTGCGAAGCTATATGAACCTACCATAATTCTAACGAAGTGTAGTTCAGTTTCCGTACCATGTGAATTATTGTAGATATATACTATAATCGATGGTGGATTATTGTAGATATCCACGTGAATTATTGTAGATATATTATTGTATTCATTTGTATTCCATACCGTGTGCAAGATACTATAGTGAAAAGAATATATCTACAATATCACTATAATATGGAATATACTATAATTATGGAATATAATTACTATTCATGTAATTATAGTGGAAACTCACACTTTGTGCAACGCTGCATCTCGGCCCCCCTTTTGTGGCCACCTCACCCTCACTGTTCTCAGAGATCTGGAGGATGTTGTGGTAGAACATGATGCTGGCCAGACCTCGTTGCGCGAACGTCAACCCAGGGGACCCAGGGGACCTTCAGCATAGCCAAGCATCGCTAAGCATCGCCAAGTCCAGATTGGTTTAGTATGGTTTAGTTCACCTGCAGTTCTGAATCATACTTGGAAGAATTGCCATTTTGGGTTTGTACCATCTATTTTTTTTAATCCCCACAATCCCCACAATCCCCAGGTCAAGCAACAGAGGCCGAAGCCATACCACCCGAAGCGCAGCGCATCTCCCGTGAACATGGAGGCGGTACCACACAGCAGCACGGCCACCGACAGCAGCGGCATCATGAAGCGACGGTAGCTGGGAACACGGGCTCCGGCCAAGACCACCAACTTCAACTGCATGATGGGACAGGTGGCGATCCATTCCTGACTCTGGGATGGGAAGAGATGGACTGGGCGCAAGCGTGCATCAAAAAAACAGTATATATACATACACATGTATACGTACGGTAGGTGTGTGTGTGTGTAGAACATGCATGTACAAAAATGTATACATGTATGTATATGTGTGTGTGCATGCACCACATCTCCGATCTTTATAAGCATTCATTGTAAATATATAGATAGATAGATAGATAGATAAGATTAGATAAGATTAGATAAGATTAGATAAGATTAGATAAGATTAGATAAGATTAGATAAGATTAGATAAGATTAGATAAGATTAGATAAGATTAGATAAGATTAGATAAGATTAGATAAGATAAGATAAGATTAGATAAGATTAGATAAGATAAGATTAGATTAGATAAGATTAGATAAGATTAGATAAGATTAGATAAGATTAGATAAGATTAGATAAGATTAGATAAGATTAGATCAGATTAGATCAGATTAGATCAGATTAGATCAGATTAGATCAGATTAGATAAGATTAGATAAGATTAGATAAGATTAGATAAGATTAGATTAGATAGATAGATAGATAGATATATTATGCGCATAGTCGCATGAATAACGTCAAACAGACTTATCTACACAGACCACTGAATACATCTGAATACATGTATGCATACATATTCTATACAGTATGTGCCATGGTACAAAAACAGTCTTTGCCGTTTGGTCATTCATCCCATCATATATGAATCCTGTTCCTTGGATCTCCTTGGTATATAAATCGCTACGAATTACTTAATTGAATAATGGATTGATGGCCATCCCTCAATATGGGCGATTTACCCAAGTCTTAACATGGCAAACACGCACATACATACATACATACATATATATATACAAATGTGTATAATTATATTATATATATGTGTGTGTGTGAGAAACCCTGAATCAAAGGGAAAAGCAGGGGGCCCGTGGACGCATAGATGGCACGGGCCAACGAAGACCCATCTATGTCGTCGTGAAAACGTACCTGCATCCGAAATGGCAAGGTGGCCAAGCCAAAAACCACCCATGCCGACATGCCATGACATGACATGACATGACATGCTAATGTAACAACACGACATGACGGTTATCATTTCATCTCATTTCACCCTCTCCATTATGGAGTTTACCAAAGTGTGTGTGTTTAACTATTTATCTATTTATACATATTTATATGTGCAACAGCGGTAGATACCGACAGATATTACCGGGGCACGACCATGCATCTCACCCAGCGTCAACAGGTCGTGACAAGTTGAGGCTGAAGTTGTTCTCACGCCCCGGAAGATCAAAGTCATCGATCGCCGTCAGTTGCCTGAGCTTTTGCATGTTCATGCATTTTCGCCTATTTTCGCGACTGAGAGAAAATCCTCTGCAAATGGAACTACTATGTGACTATGTATGTAGGTCTGTGTAATGATGATAAAATATGATAAATACCAAGGTTTCATCAAGTTTCGAAGTCTTGGTCTTGACTCATGAAATCCCAAAAAAGTTGGGTTTTTTTATCATGTCGCATCCCCTATTAGTGGTTACCTCCATGGTGGATTTCGCCGTGACATGCTGGGGCCTTAGCCCCTCCAATGTCAACGGAAAGTCCCATCGATGTTGGTCGTTTCCTCATCAGCCTTGCTTCCTCCCCTAAAAAACACGCCTTTCACATTGAATTCCATGATGATCCACCCAATATTTCTCATGAGTTGAAAAATTATCAATAATTCTGCAAGATTTTATAGGATTTATAAGGATTAATGATGATTAATGCCCTTCATGCCCTTCCTAACCACCTTCTCCCTAATTTCCTGTCGAAAGATTGTGTAAAAACTATGTCGACAACCACCTGATGGTGGAGACTCATCCCAAAATCGATGCTTGAGACCCCAGCCATTAAGATCTGTTATCCTTTGTCCAAAGCCAACAGAACGTCTAGTGTTCCTTTGGCTTTGATAAAGCTCATTAATATCCATTAATATCCATTAACATCCATTAACATTAATATCTGTTCAAGCAAGTTTCTAAGTTCCTTGATAAAGCCCATTAACATCCATTAACCATGGCTTGTCTTTAGTTGGTTCGCCATAGACCCAACAGTATGTTGTTCAACCAAGTTAGCCTCTGGTTATGTAACGTAGCAAACTAGAAATTAACCATGTTTAAGAGGTACCTCATCATGTTTATCATCTGTTTCTACAGGCCATGGCTTCCATAGCTACGTTGAATAACCAAAGGGTAAATCCCTAATCACCATTTATCACTGCTCATCACTAGTGACACATGATTTCCGCTATAAAACCTCCGTTGAATTCAGGGACTTCCCACATCGAAGCCAGGCGTCAGGATGTTGAAGAAACCCGAGAAGAGAGCCACGGCCGTGCTGATGGTGGCGCAGACTGCGTGACGTTGCTCCAGTGGGGCGCGTTGAGCCACCGCCACCTCCGGAAAATTCCAGCCCCGAGACGAAAAGATGGGAGCCTCGAAACTGGGCATTTTGGAGATTTCTGGTATCTGGTTGGTATCTGGTTGGTGGTGCAATGTGCCCATCTTGAAAAATGATGGAGTTCAAGTCAATGGGAAGGATGACATCCCAGAAAAATGAAGTGGAAAATAAAAAATGTTTGAAACCAACCAGATAAAGAACATTAAAAATGAGGATTGAACCACCGAAAAAAGGATCGATTGAACTAAGAAGTGCAAAAAAATAAAGATTGAACTAAACCAATCCAACAAATGCGACTTGAACCATCAAGTCACAATAAAACTCACTTTTACATAAAATCCGGATTTTACAATTTAGCAGCCTGAATGAGGAGTTGATCGCCCAAAATAAAAGGACTTAGCCGACTTAGCCCAGCGAAGTTGCACCGAGGGAACTACTGCGATGATTCGTCAACTTGGAACGCAGCTACTTAGTTAATGTTACTTAGATGAGCCATGGACTTACTTAACATTACTCAACATTACTTAACATTACTTAGCTGTTAAAGAAATTATTTCTACAACGGGGAAATTATACATCCGTGATCTCCAGGCAGCGACCCTACACACATCCCGGGGAACTCGCGAAGTCCGCTCCTTGGAATTGTTGGCGAAGATCAGCCACATGGCCAACACAATGAACATCGCACCTGTGCTGACAAATCTGAGCTGCACAGCGGAATCAAGACTTGATCATCCCAAGGGATGGCCAACACAGTTGGAAACAGCCGGAAAAAATCACCATTTTCGACACGTGGAAAGAATTTGAGTTGGAAAGTGCTGCAAAAAAAAGGGGCAAGTTGTGGTATTTATATGTATTTATGCTCATGCTGCACGTAAAAAATGTGATACGCCCAATAGTAAACGCCTTCTTCAGCAATTATGTTTTGCAAGAGCCCCCAAATCGCAAAGTTGACTAATTAAATGGGGTGTGGATGGCTGTGGTTTCCGATTGGGTTTACCACATGACATGAAGATGTGTTCGCTGCCAAATGCCAACGCTTCAACGCGCCAAGACTTCATTCCAGGGTTAACACCTGGGTTATATCAACTTGCATCATTTCGAGTCAGATAAAACTATGATCCCCTTATAACCTGGACTACAAATCATTTATAACATATATATATAATGGTTGGTGGTATACCTACCTGAAAAATATGAGTTCGTCAGTTGGGATGAATATTCATCCCAACATATGGAAAGTCATAAAAGCCATGTTCCAAACCACCAACCAGTATTAAAAAAAAAAAAACATGTTCGCTGCAACCTGGACGTTTGCCCGGAGTTGATGTCCCGCAATCAACGTATTGTTCAGAGGGGGTGGCTAATTTTGATCCCTCATAAAGATAAAGTTGATGTTATTTCCCCAACCAAGATATTGTTCTGAGGAGGTGGCAAATTTTGATCCCTCATGAAGATAAAGTTGATGTTGTTAGCCCGTTCAGCATATTGGTCATAGGGGGTGGCGGATTTTGTTCCCTCATGAAGATAATGTTGATGTCACTACCCGATTCAACATATTGGCCATAGAGGGTGGCGTGTTGTTAGCCCGTTCAGCATTTTGGTCATAGGGGGTGGCGGATTTTGATCCCTCATGATAATCAGGTGATATTGTTTCCTCATTAAGATAAATGTATTCAAGGTATCTTTCACGTGCCACCGTGGCCTAATTTTCCCCCTTGGCCTTGCGCAAGGATTCGCAACTTCCCAGCAACACAGAATTGTCTCTGTTATGACTGTTATGTCACAATGATGAGTCTGGGCGAACGTTACCCTCTGGTAATTTAACATAGCTATTGGAAATGATCATTTATAGTGAGTTTTCCCATTAAAAATGGTGATTTTCCATATTTATGTAAACGTTTACCAGGCCAGGTAAAACACCCGTCGTCATTCAGCAGTGAACAAACGCCCAGTCCACAACGGTCGTGGAAGGGCACCTTGGATGACCTGCGCGATATTGTGAGGATCCTCCAGGTCCACTTTACCATCCTGGGCTGCCATGGGCAACAGCCCATAGCTATGACATGCGTAATGACATGCTGCAGCCCCCAAGCAAGGATAGAACGGATAGAAAAGTTGAGAGATGTTGAAAATATTGGAAAATGTGGGGGAAAAATATCATCCACACCATCCTGGAAACACTTCCTTCAATCCAAGAATGTGTTTCTTCTTGCTAAAAATCAATCTATATCTCATTCCTGTGACTCACATGTGGGTCCTCCGGCGGCTACAAAGAAATGATCCACCCGAAAGCCTGACATCCCCGTTCTCCAGGTCTGCCGAAAGCAAACAACAGCAAGCCCTGTCTGGAAGACTACTTGGAGTTTCCGTTGATGTTCCAAACTTTTTCGTGCGGGTGTCCATTTTACTTCCAGGCAGGTGAGTCAAGCTTTAGATTGCTCGGCAAGGGAACATGCACTAGGCCTTACGGCCTAACTTCTATTGGCTGCGGTTAACGTGATGTTTGAGGCAAATTTTGAAGCTTTGCAGGCTTCTCATTCTTCGGTCAGCATCTTCACAGGTTATCAATATTGGTAAGTCACCGGCTCAACTATATGAATTCAATCAAACTCACCAAGCCACACTATGCTAAGATGAATTGGGGAGGCTCCTGTTACTACCCGTCTCACCGGCTGCACACCAAGTTGCGCAATTCTGAGTGGTCTGCAAACGCCTGTCGCCGTGTCGCAAGAAAATTTGGATCATTTTGGAATATTTTGGATCTATCAGACTCAGATGAAGAACTGGATAAGAACCCTAGGTACCCCTACCTAACCCTAGTGGTGCCAGTTGCATTGCGATTTTCACTGGGATAGATCAATAAACATATGTACGTATATGGATATTACATAATTATAAAATACATGAATCTAGTGCATATCATTCCGGTTTCCGGCCCTTCTTTGCCACAAATTTTGCTGAGACCTGGTGGTCTGCCCATGGAAACCACCATCCCACTAGCAGTCACTAGCACAAGCATGAACTCTGGGACACATTGGGAAACCCAATAAAGATACCCTCTGGTAAACTAACATAGCTATTGAAAATTGCCATTTATAGTGGATTTACCCATTAAACTATGATAGTTATGTTAGTTTACCAGAGGGTACCCACCAATTCTCTTGAGGTTTAAAGTTTACACTCCCGACAAAGACCTAGTCATTTGGGCCACAAGGTCTACATCTGGGACCACGGGAGTCTAAAAGTGGATGTGTACCCCATTGCATCCACAACGGGTTAAAACCTCTGCCCAAAAAAGGGGGTGGATTGGAAGTTTTTCCCATCAAAAAAGGCCTCAAATTGCCAAGAACATCTTCGATGGTTGACAAGGCATCGTCAAGCTGCTGCTTCATCCCGTGGTCTGAGAGGGCCATTGGTTTGTCCTTTGGATTGACGTTTGGTCCTGAAAATGGCACGAGAGCTGGAAAATGGTGAGTCTTGAGCCGAATGCGCTAGCGGAAAAGATTTAGTCATGAGCATGGGCGAAATCGATTGAGTTCTGATGAATGGTTGGTCGTTTCAGCAACCCCGTCGGTAAATTATCAAAATATGCCCGTCAATGCCCATCAATTGGGACCATGATCACAGGTAGGTATTATAGTATATACTTTGAAACCACCAGCCACTTTGAATTATGGTCAAAAATCAGGTATATGTAGTTCAGGGCCGCGGAGATCTGCAAGAGCATATTCTACTCTCAATGTCATTCATTAATTGTCAACCCCGGATTGCTAAATAAAGATTTTTTAATCAGGGTGGGCTACCCCCAAAGTCAAAATTTCCTGCTGAACTGCCCCTTTTTTCAACCACCCCCGGCCAAGAATGTTGGTACACCAGGCGCCACATGCCATTCGGAACTGGAAACACCAAAAAGCCGAAGAGTTTTTTTCCATGTTTTTTTTGCGTCAGAGCACCATTCACCCCACAGTTTCAGCACTAAGGGGCTGGTGTTGTGCCGCGATGATTAAGATCTACCACTGGCTTCCAAGAACGACTGCGTGAAAATTGGAGTTTCCATGATGGCTCAGGCTGATGCTGACAGATTGTTATCTCCTGCTCTGGCTTGCGAACCTCAATTCGATAGTCTCTCATTTGGCTAGGAAAGCTCCCCATTTAATAGGGAATCATAGCTCTTTATAGCCCCCTTATAACCACCAGATATCGGATAGTTTAGTCTTATTTCATTTTCACGCATTCATTCCGTGCACGTCCGGTTGCCGCAACGTTGTTAATCACTTCCTTGATGTTTGGAAATTATGCGACGCAATGATTTTCCTCTAACATCTACTGCAAATATCCCTGCACTGTAGAAACCCCAAATATCCCTGCACTGTAGAAACACCGGATTTAGCCTTGGAAATATCAATTTTGGGATCACATACGGGGTAGATGACCTGAACGTAATTGTCCAGGATCTGCTACCTATTCTTTGGAGGCAACTGGAGATGGAGAGGACAATCTTCCTGTGGAGGCCATTCTCTCATTCTGCGACTCAAACGAATCTGCAGCTATTGATTTTTCCTATGGAATGAATGGAATGACCATTTCTGGTGCATCGCATCGGTCGCGCTGGCAGACCTTCAGCCCTGGTAGCCCTGGTAGCCCTGGCCACGCGGCCCGGTTCGGCCTTCGGTTCGGCCTTCCGCAGCTTGTGTTGGCAGCCGCACGTGTCGTCGGCTCTCCGGGAGCCAGTAGCGGTGACCGTAATGGATCAGCACCTGCCATGGTGGCACCATGTGGCACCATTAGTGGCACCCAGAAAATGGGGATGTCCATGGCCATTTCATGCATTTTGACAGCAAACATTGGGATGTACATGTATAATTTATAATCAGAGTAAGAATGGCAGACAACTGAGTAAACACTGGGTTTGTCCAGAAAGGCTTGGGATCTAGACTGGTTGTCTGGTGGCATATATTTCTGTAGCACATATACATACATAGTATTGTATAGCAGCCCCGTTCAGCCAGTGGCATTGATCAAGGCCCGACCTACGACACATTTTCTACTTGGATTATTGGAGACCCCCTCAAGACTTGGCAAACCCAGTGACAAAGTCTTAGCCAGATCACCTGCCAATTCATATCGCCATATTCCATACTCAGCACAAATATATATATATATATTATAATATATATATAAAGCCCCACCTCCTTCACAATCGCGGAACACGAATAATGTTTGGCTTTATAAATGGCGAATCTTACCCTCTGGTAAGTTGTGACTGTTTGCTATTGAAAATGGCCATAAAAATAGTTGATTTACCCAGTAATAGCATGGTGATTTTCCAGTTCGTTATGTAAACGTTATTTACAGTTGATTTACCCATTAAAATCATTCAACATGGATAATATGGTGATTTTCCATTAAGAATGGCAATTTATGGTTGATTTACCCAGTAATAGCATGGTGATTTTCCATAGTTGATATAGGTAGTTACAGTTGATTTACCCATTAAAATTGGATAAACATAGTGATTTTCCATCGTTTTTTCTATGTTTACCACAGGGTAACCACCAACAGCCACCAACAGCCACCCCAGGCTGATGTCTTCTCCGGCAACGCCTGTTCCCCAGGCATCACATCGCGCAGCACGCGGCAGACCACGTGGAGCAGGCCCTCGTGCTGGACCGTCATCAACCTGGGACTGGACTGGGCTGCTGGGGCTGGGCAGCTGCCCAAAAATGTTGGCATTTAGTTCGTTGATTTAACCATCAAAAATGGTGATTTTCCAGTTCGTTATGGATAACTGGTTGATGAAAATGTTGGCATTTAACGATGGATTGTTTTAAAACGTGCTTGGATTTTATGTTGGTTAATGTTGGTTAAGCCAATAGTAACCCAAATATATGATGGTAAAATTCTAATTTATTTTTTTCTGGTATGTTAACAGCATCTACCCTCTGGTAATTTCAAAATAACCATGGTATAGATGGCCCATAGAAATAGATGGTTTACCTATAAAAAAAAATTGTGGTTTTCCATAGTTATGATGGATATTCTATGATATTCTGGTTGGTGGTGCAATAACCATCTTGAAAAATATGAGTTCGTCAATGGGAAGGATGACATCCCATATATGAAATGGAAAATCAAAAATGTTCCAAACCACCAACCAGTATTTGTATACATGTGCTGCTTTGTCCCAAATATAAGATCCCCAGAATTTCATAATTATGTCCATGTTGGATTCTCATTTTATATGTATCTACAAGTATGTATGAAGAATGTATCTATCAAATCTGATTTTATCTTATCTTGTCATAATAATATCTTGTCGAAACTAGTCTACTCCAAATCTAAATGTAATATAATCCATCTTTCTCTTGTGCTCCCTCCTACATACATCTACAATAAACCACAAGCGGCTTGCATTTGGATTCTCACCTGTCTGCTGCGACAAGTTGAACATCAATGGAACATCAGAAAATCCAGTTGCTGTTGGGGTAAGCGTAAGCCCCCAACAGCACACTGACGGTGAAAGTCGCGCCAAAGGTTTTTTCATGTCGCCTGATTTCCCCACATCAAAAATACAGACATATGAGTTCAATATATTTCAATATGCTCTCCTAGTTTCATGACATTCGAGCTTCAAAATCCCCCAAAATCTCCCAAAATCCCGTCCTTTCTACGCACGGTGTGCCCCTAACGGGATTCCCCACTGGATGATCTGCGAGATTTTTCGGAAATGATGATCCCCCCATCAGACTCATCAACCACAGGATGGGGCCCCCAAGTGGCTTAACAATGGTTTATGGTAGATATAACTATAGTTAATGGGGATTATTTCATGGTTTATAAACCAACTTATAACTGGGGGCCCCATCCTGCAGGGGGTTAGCAATTACTGCCCATTTCTTCATGATGCCTAGAAATCGCTGGAAAATGGGCTGGAAAACTGCAAAATGCAGCTTCTCCAAGCAGCTCAGCATTGAAGGCATCATCACTGTGGTTGACTAGCCTGAGAAGGTTCCCAAACTCCTCCCACATCGTGCCAGATGGGTAAACCCCATTGGATGCTCATTTTGACTCTTTGTTGTAGGGAAAATATGGGGAAATGACTTCCAAACCAGCAACTTTAGGGCAGATAATTCCGAACCGCAAATTTCAGACTGCATCTCCTCTTCCAATGGACTCTGTCAACAGCCAAGACTCTTGAGTTTTTGGGTTAGGGTCCAAACATCCTATCAGACTGCACGGTACGCCCGGTACGCAAAAAAAATCCCCGAAAGCAATGTGATATCATCTCGGTGATCCATTCTTCAAACATCCAATGAGTCATTCCATATCCTTATTATCATGCCTTCAATTTTCCCAACAAGTCTAGAGCTATCAACTGTTGATCAACATCTGGGTATGGATCAATACCTATTAATACCATTTTTAGTGGGATGAACATCCATAAATCCCAGCTATTTTGATGTGAACTACAGTGGTACAAGGTTTTGACATGTTTTGACACACTGCCATATCTCAACCTCCCAAATCTCAACCGGCCCTCCTTGGCATTGATCACCAGGTCAGGTTCCACCACTGGCAACCCGTAGCCATATACGCCATCCTCCTCCGTCCGCCGCCGGGACAGCACCCCGGTGTACTCCCCCAGGACACTGCCCGCGGCGAGGAAGGCGCAAACGAAGAGGCCCAGACCCACGTCCACGCCCTCCACCAGACCCACCGAAGCCTGGAGGCTTTCGTGAGTGATGGAAAAAAATAGGAGAAAAATCAGGAAAAACCCAGGATGAAGAGGAAATTATATTTAAAAAATTATAAAAATGTATATAGTTATTTGATGCTATTTGTGGTGTGTTAAATAAGGAAGCACCAGTTTCTTTCGTAAGAACATCACACTTCAAATTATGAAGACGTGAAATCAACTCTCTTAATGGCTCTAAATTCATCTGCCAACCATTCCTCGAATCTTATCCAGGCAGCTGCAACTGCCACTGGGCGATCTCGGACCCGGCATCACTTAGAGGTACTGAGTTGCTGTGAATTTCAGGCACCTAAACTGGAAGTGCCTAACGGAAAGAAAGCCCGTTTAAGAGTAAAAGAAAATGCTGCATGTACATCATACATCATCGTTATCATACAAGCACAGTTTTGACTGAAAATAGGATACCACCAAAATTTCATGGTTGAGAAATTCATGTTCCCCACCACAATTGCCATTCGAATAAACCCTACACTTTCACAAATCCAAAAGTTATGTGTCATTCTTCAGCAACCAGAAACTCGAATGGATTCCAGGGATATCTGGAGCCGTTTCCTCCAGCAAAATGTGATCGCTCCAAGGTGCCACATAGACATGTTGGAACAAGAAGTCCCCAGATCTCAGCAGATCAGCGCAGCCCACATCCTCGCCTCCAGCAACGTGGGTGAAACGGTGAAACGTCGCAATCGCGTTTTTTACGACCCAGGCTGGAGGCCATGCTGGCCAAGGTGTAACGATGGTTTATAAACCCATAAGCTATGAATATATATATATATATGTATGTATATGTATATGTATGTATATACATATGTGTATGTATGTATATACATATGTATATATATATATAAAGATGCATATATCCCTCTCTCCATCGCCAAGTTATGAATATATCTACCCTAATTAACCTACGTTTCTCAACCAATTTAGCTAAGCATGGGCCACAACCTTGTTTTGGTCCCTCCCAATTTCAACCATTCCCACATGAGCTACTGACAATACCACTGGGACTAGCTAGTAGACATGGTCCCGCTAGGATTTTTGATGATGGTTCGTTAGCGATAAATCCTTATCGGCGATGCCCATCATGGGTAAATAACTCCGCAGGAAATTCAATATTAAAAAATCAACCAGACCCACTGAGATGTGTGTATATATACACACGTATATATATATATATATACATATAGTTTTATGAATCAGAGGACGTTCTGGTTGGACGCTCTTTGATGAAAATCCATCCCCCTAACATTAATTTCAAATGCCCCAAAAATACTCACCATCAACACCACCAAGTGGCTGGAAGGTACAGAGCCAAAGGGTCTGCTGGGCGACACCGGGGGTGGGAAGGCCCACAAGTGACGTTCCTGGCAGGGTTTCCCTTGATCTGATTCTGGGATTAGGATGGATTAGGTTGATTTATGGAGACATTTTTGCCCGAAACGATTGTGTTTATTGTTTTGATTTACCGGTAAATGTTCCTTCATCCAAGTCTCAGGAACATGGACAGTAGTTAAAAGGGCGTGCATATAGAGACATTTGCATATATATATATGTATATATATATATGTGTGTGTGTATGTATATAGATATAGATATCTTGATCATAGCCAGTCATGTATCCACAGCATACAGGCTTACACATGTGCAAATATGCGTCTGTATATTAAATTATGTACATGTGTGTGTGCAGTATATCAGTATATAACTCTGTACATCGCACTATATACATATGCCGTTTCCACTAAGTTTCCATCACCGTTCTGGCTTTGCAGCTTTGCAGCGCAGTTTTGCGCCTTCAACAGCCGATGATCTTCGAGCAGCAGATGGCTGGCCCATCTGCACGACATCAAGTCTTGAAGGCTTTGGCGATCGTAGTAGAGCACCTGCGATCGGTTGAAGGCCTTGAAGGTGCGACGAAGTGCGAAGTGGTGCCACCTGCTAAAAGCTAAGTTGGTCGAGATTTAGTGAACTGTGATCAATTTCTGGGAGATATATCTTTTTATCTCATGGGGCCAAAAAAACTCAACTGGGGGGGTACCCCTGTTTCTTCATGAAGCCCTGGGTAACTGTTGGTTGATCCCGCCCTGAAAGGCTGAACATCAAGTGGCGCGGGCACCTGACCCTGAGTATCTTGCACACAGACGCCTTCCTCTGGAAAAGGTCCCCCAAAGACTGGTGAGCTGAACAAGTCGTACCTCAAGGGGCTAACGTGGAGGCGGGGGTCACGGGGGTCACAGGGTCACATGGGATCAACGCGAATCATTTGGGGAGGAGTGTGGCATAGGTCTTGGATCATGATGGATATCATGGGAACAAATCATAAATCATCAAGGAACCATTAAATCATCATAAAACAGATATCATAAACCATATGATTATCATAAAACCATTATCATATGATATCATAATCATCACCATTATCATCCAAAAGAATTCTAATCATTAAACCATATGATGGGGCCAACCAGGCTGGTCTTGGTTCGTCTTTTTTCCAGCTTGGTCAGTTGATCTCTAATCATCAAGTAATCATCAATTAATCATCATAAACTAGGGATTACATGGGATTAGAATTCTTTTGGATCTGAATGATCACAAAAGACATCTATAGAAGTGTTTATTGTAGATTCTATAGTAGATTTCACCCATCATATAGATGTTTTGCTTTCCAAGTCAGGTCATGTTTGAAACCCTCACCATCCACCGATCAAAAAAACGGGCTTTCTTGACGTGGACCACCGACAACACCTTGATGTGGGCCTGTGAGGATAGTCCCAGTGTGTGGCAAAGCCAACAAAAACCAACCCCAAAAATCATCCAAAATCGCCAACTATGTCAATGGGTGAGGAGGGAAGAAAAAAAAACATCTATAAACATCTAAAAGACATCTAATAGACATCTATAAACCATTGTTTCATGGGTGAAAAACGACATCTATAACTATAATCTAAACCATCCCCAGCCGAGGCTCTCCTGCTGCGCATCGGCTCCCAAGGCGCAAGTCTGGGTCTCCAGAAAGCCCAAGGGGGTCGCCATCGCGGCACCGTACGTATGTGTCTATATCTATATATATATATATGTATATATATATATAATCTTATCTTATATTATATGATATTATATGATATTATCTTATATTATATTATATTAGACAAGTTATATTATATCAGATATACTATGGTATACTATTATATTAAATTATATTATATTATATTATGTATATATATATACACTATATAATGTTAATTACTCCGGTTTATGGCCATTTCATGATAAAAACATATGGGAAATTTGAAGAACACCGCCAGTAAATTTGGGGTATACACCCAATTTTTGCATTAAAAACATGTCTCATATGGGCCAGTTTCATTGGGCCGCGGGGGGGGTTTTCTGTCACCTTTAGAAGTGAGCTCCGTTGAGGCCATGGCCACTGAGTGGATCCACTAAGAATCATAACTGAAACCATATCAAATTCATATATATATATATATATATATTAGTCAAAACCTTCATCCTAGAGACTTCGGATGTTATAACACTTAATTGTGTACTGATTATATATATATATATGTGTGTGTGTGTGTGTGCGTGTGTGTGTGTGTGTGCGTACATGTATGTAAATCCATAAACCCCTTGGTTGCATGGTACTTCTACTTGAACGTGGCTCCGTGCGCTGCCACGAGCTTCAGCCGCAGCGTGAGCCGTGGAGAGAATGGACTGGAATACTAGGGGATGGTTAATACGGGCCCAAAAACCAACAATAATGGATGAATAATTGGTAATTGGATTACCCTCTGGTAAACGTTTACAGTTTGCTATTGAAAATGTCCATTTAGTTCGTTGATTTACCCATTCAAAATTGTGATTTTCCATCGTTATGTAAACTTTTACCGGAGGGTATATAATATCTCATGTATAAAATGTATAAAATATGTATGATGGCATTTACGAAATGTGCCGTGTTTGATTTGGCCCCTGCCTATCTCTCCACTTACCATCTGGTACCTGAAGCATCTTTTCGCCACCAATCCCCTTTTGTTTAAACCGGAATGGTGGTGGAAACCATTCACATTACCATCTGGTTATGACTAACATAGCCATGGAAAATCACAATTTTTGATTAGTAAACCATATAAATGGGCCATCTATACCATGGCTATGTTAAATAACCATTCACATTACATTCCCCATCCAAACAGTGGAATATTAGTGGACCACGGGGAAATCCATCGCAGTCAGCAAATCCACAGTCAGAAATCATGGCTTGCACTTCACCGAGCCACTGGGACCTAGCCAACACCAACTGACTTAGTAAGACTCGATGATTTTTTTAAGTTGACAGATCAGGGGTTCCGGATGGTTCCAGTTCCACATGTTCCACCGGGTCCACGAATCTTTTTTTTGTGCTGGGTGCATCACGTGCGCTGCGCCAAAAAGTTGTAGCTCTCCTGTGAGATGCCAGGCTATCAGGCTATCAGGCTTCAGTGGATGAAGTGGATGAATGGCTTGTCCAGTTAGTTGCAGCTTTTCTGGGAACGCTGCAACTCTTTTTCCATCTTTTTTCCCATGAAAAAATGGATCCAGCTGGTGATTTTGCTGTTGGACCTGTTGGATTGGGATGTCAGTCCTGACAGCGTTCAGCTTTGGAAGAGCTTATCCTCATGGCAGTGCTGCTCCAAGAAGCGTTCTATTTGAGCAGTTGAAACCAAGCACCCCCCTTGAATCTGTGGGTTTTCCCAGCAAAACCCCCTTGAATCTGTTGGTTTTCCCAGCAAAATTCAAATTTCCAACATGCAGAAAAAGAATGCACCATCAAAGTCTCATAGAAGTACCCCATCTGTTGCTCAGATGTTCTATGTTCTACATGTCCTTTGTAATGTCAACCCTGGATTAATCAACCCCGTTTACGGCTGTTTAATTGAGGGGGTACCATAAAAAAGTATCAGATGAAATGACTATTGGAGGAGTAACTTCCCCAATTAATCAACCATGGTTTAGCAAAATCCAGGGTTGACATTCATTTATTAATCCCATTTATAATCATTTATAGATGATTTTCCCATTAAACCATGGTTTAGCAACTCATCCGGGGTTGACATTATAAACCACCTATCCTTGTGGTGGAAATACCCAGATGAAAATGACTGGCCCCAAGGCCGATCGTTGTGCCCCAAGGGGCGATCTCGTCTTGATGTCTTTGTCTCACCTGACGTTAGTCCCGCGGGAAAATGTGCAAAATCCCCTTGGAAAAATATAGGACATGTCCCATCTTTCAATGGGTAAAAAATAGGATAATCCATCTATAAATGGGTAGTTGGATAGTTTTCCAGCATGCCAGGTTTAATTCCTGAAGGGTACTTAAAAGTGATCGGGCAACAATCATACTGCAGTCGTTTTCTGCTTCCCTTTACCTGAAATGACGTGGTTCGCCTGTCATCTTAATGCGCCCCTCAAGAAAAGGATTGCGGGATTATGTTCCCTAAAAAGATCTATCAGCCTACTATTTGCGGGTCCCAAATATGCTTGAAAAAAGCATGTTTGCAGCTGGTTGTCTCAATTTTGAGCATGTCATAGCATGTCAAAGATTGGTGAAACCTCAATTTCTGTACAATGTTCCAGGTTTGATGGGTACAAATCAAATTGCTTGGTCAGTCAATAAGTACATAATTCACCTATTATCTATACATATATATATATGTATATATATTCATTTATTCATTTATTTATTTATATTTATATTTTATATTTATATTTATTTATTTAATACATACATATAAATATATACTGTATGCTACACGTACGAAAGTAGCTAAACCAACTAATGGTTTACCTATTTAGTACGTACATACGTATGTAGGTATGTATGTGCATATGTATATGTATACAGACAAAGTAAAAAATCATGCCATCCATTCCTTTCCCATCTATCAGGTGCCCTGAACAGCCCGGGACCTCCTGGACAAAGTCGTAGGCGCAAAGGAAGTCCTGCCGCAGTGCGGCAGTGCGGCGAAAATGTGGAGGTCATCCCCCTTTATCCCCACTCTGCCTCTGAATCCACATCCCCCAATGGGGCTGCACTAGGCTGCCTATAATTGTCTATAAGTCCATGAATAATATGAATATTCATGTCTGAAATTCTAGTAATCCAAGTGGCGATAGACCAAAGAATGAAACGATATGAAACGCAAAATAACTAACCATAATTGGCAACAAAAACAAGTTGGATTGGAATAATGACATGTCATTAATATTCATAAATAAATACTCGCGACGACCACAACCATAATAGTAATCATGATGATATATTATACAGCTTCAAAAAATAAAAACAACAAACACATAATAATTAATTAATCATGATAAGTGGTGGTGATGATGATGATGATGATTCTGATGATGATGATTCTGATTGCGGTTCAATATCAGTCCATGAGGTTCACTATTTCACCAGCTGATTTACTCAAATCATTGGTGAATTGATCATTAATCAATAGTGAATAATCATCAAATTCACATCATGATGCTGATGGATGATGAGGTTGTTGATGATGATGATGATGATGATGGATTCATTGGCCATATGGATCTTCTATGGCAACTTTCTCGTCCTCCCGCTGCTGCGCGTCCATGGCTTCGAAGAGAGGACCCCGCAGGGTCAGCAGATCCTCCATTGTTTTTTTGGGGGAAATTAGTGACTAGTGATCATGGTTGATTATTGCTGATTAGTGACAATTAATGATTAATAGTACTGAATATGAGTGATTAAATGTGATTAATCATTTTCACGGATGATCAGATGATGAATGTTCGTAAAGCCAATGAAGCATAGTGTGTTTAAAACAATGCCATAAACCACCCATGACTGGGAATGGTAAACATACCACCTATAAAAATGATTAAAAATGGTGATGACTGGGGGATGGTAAACATGGCATTGCTCTGCCCACATTAACTGGAAAACCCTGTAATATCTGTAATTGGTGGTGAACACCCTGCTTTCCGGTAGATGTTCCCTGATTCCAGCATGATAATGCTGAATTTGTTGGCATGACTTGACTGAAAAACGAGGCTATAAGACATAGGGAAAATGATGATTACCCACTGGATGGGCCCCATGTGGAAAATCCCTGGTTTCCCAGTGACCGACAAACAGTCGGTCACTGTAAAGCATTGGATTTTGCCATGAGACCCCTGGGGACACCACTAGCATGGCATTGCTTAAGGGACTTTGCACCCCATGTTTGATGATTAAATCACCAGGTTCAAGCTGGTGATTTATGTCTACAGAAATCCCTATTCTCACAGGAAAAATCCAACGATGTTCAATATCAAGCCATCTAACTGTTTCTCTGTCATCCCAACGGTTGGCTTCTGGATTCGGCGGGTCCTGAAGAATCTCAGGGTCTTTCAACTGATGCTTGGCCCAATCAGCCGCCATGACCTTGTTAGGCATAGATCTTGGCTGATCATCACTGCGTTGACTCGGAGGGTATGGAAAAATACGTCATATGATGTCATATGGAAAAACATGGGATAGATATAGATAGCTATCCCTCTGGGTGCACAAATAGACCAGTTCAATGTTATTGGGCAGTTCAGCAACTCCATGACCCATCTTTTTGGTAGGAAGTGCTTCTCAGAGCGGAATTGCGTCCTCCCTGGGGTCCCCATGAGGGGGGAAATCAGCGATCTTGGGCATTCTGCAACTGGAAATATAAACATGTAAGATATAAACCCACTTCTCTCTCGCTCTCGCTCTCCCTCTCTCTCTGTATCCATTACCTTACAACCAATGATCATTTCAGATTTTTGCTGAGATACCTCTGCCCCTCTCTCTCTCCATCTCCATCAATGGAGATACCTTCATGGACCATCAACCATCCATTTGATAATGCTGATAACCAGGGCTGCAGTCACAAATAATGACGGGAAAAAGTCATGTTGTTTCATCTAAATGGCCTTCTTGCATATTATTCCACAAAATGGTGTAGCTGATAAAATCCATCTTCCTCAAGGTTATGGAGGTTTCCCTGCCACCTGCTCTCTGAAGTATATGGTTTCTTGTTTGACGGAGGATCCAGGAGACAAAATTGAAGTTATTTGGGCGTTAGCGTCCTTGAACCGACCAACTTTCTGGTCACATTCCCACTTCAACCGCATTTTTCCGGGTAAAATGTCATTGCTCAGGGTTGCTCCCAACACCCCTAATATTTTTAGGGGGTAAAACGGTAAAACTACCATTTTTCCACCCGAGTGCCCTAGTGGCTATCATTCACCGTGGGTCGAAGCACACGCTGCCGCCGACCTGGACTTTGTTAAACTTCTTGCACCACTCTGAAACGCACCCCTGGCCGGCTCAATGGGGAAGAATAGTAAAGTATGGCAGTAAAAAAATGGGAAAATAGGATATGGATACTGATGGAATCTGATGTATATGGGAAATTATATGAAATTATGGGATGACAAATCATTTGTACCATCAGTGGTGAGATTCGGCATGCCACAATTTGGGATGTTGGTTTCGTCGCTGATCCTTTTTCGGAGCTGCGAAGAATACAGGGGGCACCGGCAGAGGTTTTCAAGGTGCTTCACGGGATCGTGAAGTAGGTGGCATTCGGAAGTTGCTACTGGAGTGACTATCATCAAGCTTGTATTTCACTGGATACCCTCTGGTAAACTAACATAGCTATTGAAAATGGCCATTTATAGTGGATTTTCCCATTAAAAATGGTGATTTTCCATAGTTATGTTAGTTTACCAGAGGGTAACCCCTCCAAAAAAACCATCATCCCAGTGACGCGTCGAAGAAATTCGCCAGTGAGTGGTCTGGGTAAACCATGGTTTCGACGCAGTTGCCGCCTCTTTTTCATCTTGACTTCCGCTCAAAATGCTGAAAATTGTCTTGCTTTCCAGACTTACTTGTATTGGACAGTTATAATAATGTATAGATATGTATGCTAAAATGATCTATAATCAAAAAACAACAGAAACACCAAACCAAAAAAAAACGGGATCTGTACCGCAGCCGGTCGCCTTCTGGTCGGCCACGGCCAGGATCTCGCGTCGGAATTTCTCCGCTTCTTTCTGAGCCATCCTGCGACCATATGGGACGCTGGGACGCCAAGATAAACCATGGTGGTTCTTTATTTAAGGCACTTATGTCATAAACACCAAATATATATATATATATATAATTATATATACATATTGTTTCTGTCTGTTTTTTTCGTCCTAGGTGAAAGGTCATGGATTATGTATGAAATTAGATGGTTGTTTCATTTCTGGGTTGAGATTCCCAAATGGAAGGCACCCAGCACTTATTTCTGGTTGTTCAGGTGGTGGGACTGATGCATCCCGGTTCACCAAGGGGACGAATTCAACCAGGAAGCGACAAAAATGCGGAAATCTCCTCACACCTTGCGACAAGACTTGGCTTCGTACAACGGCTATATGGCCTCTCTAAGAGGAAACTCCAGTTATGGAAACGATAATGACAAATCCAAGTAAAACAGCGTTAGTTCCTATAGTTCTTCGTGATTGTCTTATTTCCTCGTGGAGATGGCACCTGACCGCTGCAGCGGGATCTTTGGGCACGGTGGCCGTGGGCAGATCTTCTTGCCTCCTGGCAAAAATGGCAAGAATGGCAATGGAAAAGCCTCTGTTTATAGATGAATGTCCTATTGATACCTCCAGTTCTAGGGGTATGCCTGTATGCCAACAAATGGAAGCAGCACTTGCAGGAGCTGCATTAGAATTTACAAGCACGGCCCGCACCAGTCACAATGAACCTGAAGCTGGGCATTTAAAAAACTGCAGTTTACCCTCTGGCAATTTGACATAGAATTACCAATCATCATTAATCATCTATGAATGGTCCATTTTTCATGATGTGATGTGAAATATGTGAAATTAACAGAGGGTAGCCTCCACATCCAAAAAGAACTCTAGCCACAAAAAAAGCTGGAACTGGGTCACTGAAGGCAACTTGCCTCACTAACACATGACGTGACTTGTCCAGTCCCCACGGCCCCGCCCGTCTTTGCTAAGACATCAGGGGCCACTGGTGGCAACACTTCCTGCCGCGGGGAGAATCTCGAAAATATTGGGGAAAAAATCCAGCAAATGGCAACCCGTTTATAGCGTTTTCATACTTAGTAGCGCATTTGGGGTTCAAGTTGGTTTTTTGGGGGGCATTACAGTACCCAAACGGAGGCGGTTTTCGCTTTTCAAACGTTTTTCTTGTGTGCATCTCCCAGTGGTCTTGTGTTCCTTGGAAATCCTTTCTGGGAGTTTGGTTTGCAGTTCACCCCCACAATGTGTCACAAGTCACCCCCACAATCCCAAGCATCTGGCCATACTCCAAGATATCTTTGCCTTTTGGGGAGTTTTTCCCAGTACTGTTTGTCATGTCCATTGTTTGGCAGCCCGGCTGCAAGATTGCAAGATCCCCAGATTTCTCCGATCAGGTGCGCTTCTCCATGATTACCGGCTTTTAAGTGCCCAAACATGCATGAAGTACAGATTCTATAGATTCCACATTGTATTGTATATATCCAAAGCGGATTACATACCTAAAAAGACCGTAACTACATACCTAAAAAGACTGTAACTATTCTACATTGGCCCATACTATTGCTAGGTTACAGTACTACGGTCTTATTACTACATTTACCCCAGTTTTTCCCCAAGAAAATGGACTCCCACCTCCAGCTTCTCCAACTCCCGGCGTGCCGCTTCGTTGCCCGGCTCCAGTCGTAAGACCTACCCAGCAGCCCCTGAAATAGTGCCAAAGATGTGAAAAAATCATGAAAATTCCCTACTCATCCCTACTCAACCACGGTTTCTGGGGGGTGTTTCATTGATTTTCATTGAACATGTGACAATATGTGGATGCTTCATTGCCATCCATTGACCTTGCAAATGCCGACTGCGCCACTAGTCACTAGTCTCTTTTCGGAGGCGTCACCATTTTCAGGTTGGCCCGGGTTCAGCCGACCCGTGAAACTCTCTGCAGTTCGCATCGCAAACGCTCAGAACCAACCTCATGTTCGCAGAAAATTCGAGCGATATAGACGTCAAACTTTTACAACTGGAACACTGGAAGGTTCGAGTTTGACGACTCTTTGCCATTTTTCCTGGCGCAACATCAAGATCCGAAACGGTGATGCGCCATCGAATTCAAGCACCACCAGGCTGATGGTTCCCACGTGTTGACCCAGTTGCGGAGTATTCACAGCCGCAGGTTGTAGCGAAGTTTCATCATGTCTGGGTGTGGGCAACCCCAGGCGACCCGGATGGTCCAAATATGGGAATCGTGTGGGTTTTTGGAAAGCACAAAAATGATGATGGGATGGGTTTTAACATTGTTTTAACATGGGTTTAACATGGGTTTAACATGGGTTTAACATGTTTTAACCAATAAAAACCATCAAAAACGGTGATGAAATAGCGACATAACCATGAAACATCACAGGTGTGAGGTGAATCATCCCAAAACGACCCCCAAAAAATTCAAGCGGTGCTTGCCGCCCCAAAGAGCTTCCGATCGAAATTCAGTCGGCCCTTCCGCTGGTCACCGGACAGCAGGTCTCGGAGCACCTGGCAGTCTCCAGAATCTTATAGTTCGCCATCATTTTTCCCCTTCCAAGAGATTCAAAGAGGCATCAAATCGGCAAAAGGTGTTAACCCATAGTTTTTTCCATGAGTTCTTTACCCACGAAAAAAACACGAAAAAACCAGGAACTCCCCACCTGATTCTGCACCTGCAACTCTGCCACCATCGGCGGCGGGCCACGAGAATTTCCCGCATCCGTGTCCTCCATGTGCAGGTCCTGGCGGGGTGAACAAATCAGCATACTTTTCCCGGATTTTGATGGATTTTCACTGTATAGAAAAATAATGAAAAATATGGGTTTATATAAGAGTATCCAAGAAATACGGTGCAACCTCTTTCTCAATTACAGCATTTGCCATTAAGGTTGGAAATATGCGAGTTCAAGACCATTTTCACCTAAGCAAGCATTAGGATATTCAATGGTTTAATTCATGATTTAATAGTAATTCTGAAATCCATTGCGTTAGCACCACACTTGCGGTTTTCCTTTCGGTTTTCCTTTCAACCAACAATGTGAAACCAGGAATGGACACTGGAGGAATGATGAAACCATAACACAGGAACGACAATTTTTGTCCCCAATCTCCAGGTTTACAACTCTTGCATCATTTCCATCTAGTTTGGGGTTGCTGTATGATTTTCAATACCGGAGAGAGAGAAAGAGAGAGAGAAAGAGAGAGTTAGTGAGATAAGAGACCAAAAAAAAAACTACGAAGAAAACATACCCACCTCGCAAAATCTCAAAAACTCAAGAGATTGAACAAAAGCACATTTCAGAGCCTGATTTGTTCCCAGGGTTGGTTTGGGGGGAAATCTTCAGAGTAAAAACCATGTTTTCCTGTAGGTTTGTCTTTCAATTTGAAACCCAACGATTGATTGATGGCCCCAACCCATTCCACTAATTATGGCAATATCTTGCAATATATCATCCCAAATATCTCGGAAATTACCCCATGTTACATGTCATGATGGTTAAAAACAATGCTAACAACCAAATGATCCCGGCAAGAGACCCCAAACAGTGAGGGGGGAAGTAAAAAAGATCATGTATTTTAATGTTGCTGATGATTGTGATGATGATGGCGATGTTGTTGATGATGATGATGATGATGGTGATGATGATGATGATGATGACGACAATGATGATGATGAGGATGAGGCTGATGATGATGATGATGATGATGGTGATGGTGATGGTAATGATCATGATGAGGATGAGGATGAGGATGAGGCTGATGATGATGATGACGACAATGATGATGATGATGATGAGGATGAGGATGAGGATGAGGATGAGGCTGATGATGATGATGACGATGATGGTGATGATGACGACAATGATGATGATGATGATGATGATGAGGCTGATGATGATGATGATGATGGTGATGGTGATGGTGATGGTAATGATCATGATGAGGATGAGGATGAGGATGAGGCTGATGATGATGATGACGACAATGATGATGATGATGAGGATGAGGATGAGGATGAGGCTGATGATGATGATGATGATGATGATGATGGCGATGATGGTGATGATGATGATGATGATGACGACGATGATGATGATGATGATGGTGATGACGGTGATGATCATGATGATCCTGATGCTGATAATAATAGTAATAATGATGATGAGAGGAAGATCATGATGTGGATGTTGACGAGGACGAGGAAGATGATGATGTTGAGGGGGATGATGTTGAGGAGGAAGACCGATCCCAAGACCGGGAAGCACACTTTGTGCGAGCCTGCGCAGTCCAAATGTACACGGACATTTCAGAAGAGCTATTTTGTGTGGAAATTTGCAGGAAAATTGCCGTATGCCAAGCCCGCCACACCCGTTTTGTGCGAGCCTGCGCAGTCGAAATGCACACGGACACGTCACAAGACGCATTTCGCGCGGAAATTTACGGGGAAAATGCCGGATGCTACCGATACCACCTCGATTGAACACCAGGCCTTAACACTTTTCGTAAGAACCCCTTCAGGGTGGCCACACTGTTTGGGGAACAAAAACACCAAACACCATGTTTGTGGCTTAAAATCCAAAACGCCATTGTTTGATATTGTTTGTGAGTTAAAATCCCCCATATAATATCATTGGCACATAATCCCATGGAAAAAAATCATGTCTTTATGAAAAATTCCCACCAGGCGCTACACCTGTTTGCTCTGCAGGGCCCGGAGGCGAAGGTCTAGTTGATCCAAGACGGTCTTGAAGTGAGACACCTCCTGCGCCACTGTTTTCACCCAGCATAGAGGTTTCGCCGACTGAATGGGATTTCAATGGATTTCATGTAGATTTAGCCACTAAGAATTGCTACACTCAGGGTTTTTGGTGATTGGTTTCAGGGAAAATCGGGAAATTATTAGACATTTCGAGAAAATATGGGCTCATTATGGGACGATTGTGAGGAGAAAAAACATGAACCGCAATTTGGTGTAGAAGATTGGATTTTAATCAATGCGTCAAGACATTGGTAATAATTTGGGATGGTAGTGGGGTAACAATTTTCGACAATGGATAATACCAGGCTGGTTCATTCAATGGATTGATTTAGGATGACTTAAGTGTAAAAGTGCAGTTGAAACTAAAGTTTTGACATGTTGGTAACCCCAATTTACGGGGGTTCCTTTAAATTTACCCGTCATCCAATTCTGGGTCAATTGCTTTTCGTGGAATGTATGAAATGATATGAATAATGAACCCCTAGTGTATCAGATGGCTATGGGTAAAGTCATTGGAGGCACTGTTTTTTAGCAACAAAACGACCGGTGGACCGATATTTCCTCTGAAAGATGCAAGGGTCAGCTACACTTCACCACCAGTGATGATGGATGTTTAATGATGTTTAAACGCATCAAGTACCTGTTTCAGTGGGGCAATGCCTGAATACCCCAAGACTTTCATGGCCAATCCGCCATCAAAACGGCGAAAAAGTTGACCAAGGTTTACCCGTTTGAGCGGGTAAACCGAACACACAAACCACCGGGGGAGATCACTTTTTTTCACGTTGCGCTTTGGTTGGAATTGAAGATATTCAAACACGTGAATTGAATTCTCAAAGCCATGAACAAGCGCGATATGAATGACACTCAAATTGTGGTTCCAATGCCCACGGGGAGAGAGATAGAGAGAGAGGGCCAACATCACCGTTTCTAGGCAACTCCTAGGCCAACCATCATGGGAAAAAGTCAACCCAAAAAAAGATAGACAAAATATGACAAGATTCTAATTGGTCACCATTCGGCTAGGATTTTACATGACTTTACCAACTTCTATCTTTTTGGGGCGAAAAACCGAATCTTCAACCGGATCCTCGTCCAGGGGGCCATCCATGGGCAGCTCCTGAAGCCGGGCGCCATGGCAGGGCCTAGCTGTGGGTCATATTTGGATCTGATTCTTCCATGTGTGAAAAATGGTGAATTCCCTTGTCAATTTGAGGTTTCCATCCACCAGTCCACCCAGCCGTGTTGAGCTCCTGGTAGCCACCCAGCCGTAAAACGGCTGAAGCCGCAGGCGCGGAAGGCGCATCGGATGCATCGCCCTCCAGTTCGGTGGCCTCTTTTAGCTTGAAAAAAATGGTGGGTTTAACTAGCTAAAATGGGACCAATGGTGTTAAAGTCTGGAAAAATCCAATATGTTAGGTTTCCAGGGCCATGGGGGGTAATCTTTAGGTATTTTGGGGAAATCTTCCCAGTTCGATGAATTTGAATACTCAGTAATCACTGGAATACCCTCTGGTAATCAAACTTGGTGTGCTGGAAAACTCACCATTTATAGATGATTTTCCCATTTAAAACCTCCATTTATAGGGGATTGTCCATTGCCACCTTTGATTACCGCTTTAACTAACTACTTCCTGTAGGGGGAATAACTGGATACAACTGGAATAGAATTGGTGGGCTATTGGGGCTTTTTAGCTAACTGAGACATGAGAATTGATGGTCGCCTGTTGGGTTATCTGGAATCACCGAATCAGTTGTGGGGACTTCCGGTTTGGAATAAAAGCTTACCATGATTATTCATGTCTTTCCATTATTTACCATTAGTACCATTAATTATCATCCACAATTATTTACCATGATTTACTTTTCTACTGGAATTATTCCATTGGTGGATGATTGAGGCTATTGGAGATACAACTGTCGGGGATAAGTGGGTTTTCCATCAGCTTGCAGAAATGGGGAATACCATGCTTTAACCATGGGGGATGCGAGTGGGGACACGGGGACACAACTGGGAATATCCCCGATGAGACGGTGGTACATGGGGAATGTCTCCCAGTTGATACTGTAGTAAGTTGAGGATTTTGGGAATATATACAACTGATAAAGAACATCTAGGATAGTGGGTATACTTCTCATAATGGGGATGTTGGGGACGGTCACTAGTTTACCTGGTAGATACTGGAATAGAATATATAGAATGGAATAGAACTGCAACTGTTTTTTCTGGCAGTTGGGGATATAACTGACAGACGCTTTTTCCAAGGGGGGGCACTAGAATGAAACCTCATGAGGTTGGGGCCGACACCTCCAAATGCAACCCCAAATCATTGCTGGTCTTTTTCGGGGTCATTCATCACCATGAACCCTTCGAGAAGGGGTTTTCTTATTAAAGCCGTATCGTTGGGAGGTACCTCTTGTGGGCATCCTTAGATTTCCATCAAAACTCGTCCAAATACACTAACATTCCAGTGTGATTGCTTGATTCCCGATTTTTTTCTTCCAATTCTTTGATGGCGATTAAACCTCCAACACTTCAGTTGACGAGGACCGGTTTCAGCTGATTTCACAAAACTAGCTGGATGTCCATGAGCCGGTTCTATTTTCCATGTGTAAATGCATGTCATTTCCACAGTCTTTGCTGAATTAAAGTTGTCTGTTCTTAGTAACCCTCAATCTTAGCAGATCGAAAAATAAGACACATCTTTTGCTCATCTATCAGATGGTTGGGAAACTCAATTCGTAGCTCTCAATTCGTAGCTCCCCATGAATTTCTGAGAATAATATCGATACGTGTAGCTCCGAAGCACTCCCTAACCACTGGATAGTCATAGTTTCCCCATTTTTCCCAATTTTTCCGAAATTCCATAGTTATAGTCATAACTCCATGGTTTTCGTTATAGTTTCCTAACGTTTCCCAAGGTTTGCCCCATTTTTTCCAACCAGGGCGCCTCTGGGAAGGCTTCGTCCATCTGCGCTGCCAGGTCTCTCAAGCGTTGAAGCTCCTGCAGCGCAGCGCCGCTGATGGCCCTCGAAAAAGCGTAGGATGCACCAAATGATGGGGGAAATCACCAGCAAAATGGGTGAATCTATGGTGATTTCTGATGTTTTTTGGTGTGTTTTTCGCTAGATTAAGTGGGGTGATCATCAGATTCAAGAGGTGGTTCACTGAACTGGGATGGGAATATGTGAAAAGTCGGTACAGGCTGATTGTGGGTTGGGTATGATCTTGGGCCGCGTCCAGTTCAAAAAGCAATGATATTTTGCAAATCATCTGAGAGCTCTAAGATGCTCTAAGACTTGGCGTGATTGGATGATAATGTGACAGTTCCTAGGTGAATCATATAGGCTATAGGATATATATATATATATACATGTGTGTGAGTATATGTACATTATACTCTATATATATATATATTTGTGTGTGTATGTACATTATACTATATATAGATATGTGTGTGTGTGTTAGATTTTCGTGGTTTGATATTGGGGAACCTTGGATCACAGTCATCACACCCGGCTGGAAAGAATCCGGCCGTTTAAATCGTGTATATATATATATATACAGCTCTCTGATTAGGATTTCACTGTTCCATCTTTTTGAGGCTTGCTCTCTGCATGTGTGTATATTATATATATATACATTGTACATAGCGCGTTTTTTTATCTATTTACCAACACATCTTGACATTGCACTGACTTGCGGATTCATTATAAATATTACAACAGCCAATCGATGGTCAAATAGGTTCCATGGCTCGTCTACTTCGATGTGCTATGGAGTTAGTTGAGTTGGTCTGTTTTTGCTCAAGGGTCAAAACCCACTTATTAACCATTCATATAAGTATCATTAACTATCTAGCTACGGCCCATCCAAACATTCATTGCCCTCCAGTAAGCTAACATAGATATGGAAAATCCATGAAAATCCACCATGAAAGTGAACAATTTCCACTGGAAAACTATGGATTTCGCTGTGAAAGCCATCACCTGAAGCTCTTCCGGCGCCGGCGACTCTTCCGCTTTGAAGCTACTTGAGGCGCTTGAGGCGAGCTCGGGCGCAATCTCCTGCGCTCTGAACATGGCGGATTTGCGATGAATATGACATTAACATGACATTAATGTGAAGATGCGATTGAGTACTACCAGTACTGTCAGATTCATAGTACAATATAATCCATTGACAATTTCCAGTACTGGTAGATTGAGAAGAAACTTCTTCGGGGCCATCAATTGGAACCTGTCCATTGATGTCCTATGATTTCACCCTGTTTCGGAGTGTTGCCAACGAAAAATTGGTTTCCTTTTTCCATCCCCGACAAATGCTGCCATGCGAAAACCTTCACCTGGCCATGTTTTTGTTGAATCCAATGTTGTACCTATTCATCCAGAAACATCACTCGCCTTCACAATGACATGCCTCGCACATATGCTTTCAGAATAAGGGCCAAAGAAAGAGCTACAAAATGATTTCCAGGTCAGAGAGAGATGTGCTACAAATGTTTTGGGGTGTTCACGGTGTTCTTAGCCGCAAAAAAAAATGCAACATGTCAAAAAATCAACTAGGATATCGCTTGTTTGGTTGTCACAAGGCCAACTGTTCTGTAGTGGCAAGCTCAACCTGGATAGATCTGGGTCCAACATAGGCCAGCAAAATCCATAAAAATGGTGTCTAGCTGGAAATTTGTGGTATGACGTTTGAAGCGACTAAGAAGTGGGTTTTGGCAAACTCTGTTGCTAAGGCGTTTTTCAAGAACTGGAAAGGAAGTGGGTTTTCCCATGTTTTCAACAGCAACTTCATGGCGAATTAATTGTGGCCAATCCCTTGATCCTTTTCACCCCGGCCAGTCCACATACCGGTGTGATTGTGAGGATAGGCTACCCTGGATATCTGGGACTGGGAAACTTTGAAATACTTTGGGAAGGTTATAACATGTTATAACGATTATAACTACACAATCGCTCTGGAAGCTTGACCCCAAGCTATTGCCGTATCACATGTGTGCCATGTTGATACTTAAGATCAAATATCCACGCCAGCATGTTGGAAGTCCCAAATTTTGCCATATTTCATAGTTCTATATATTTCTGCATATTTGTGCCATATATATATATATATATCCATATATCATATATTCTCGCACATTTTCCAGCATAAACCATCCATGTTTCACCGGTCGAAAACTCGTCGCCGAGTTACAGGGACCAAGTGCTGAACTTTTTCAGTCTCTTCGGAGTCCCGGCCTGGAGATTGCCATGCCATTTTTCAGCTCGTCAAACTTGCCATTGGGGGATGGTTTTGATCCAACAAAATAGCAACATTTCGTGATTTTGCGGGGAAAAATGGCAGGTTTGCCATGCTTTGCCACATTCATACAATATTCTCAAAGTAGCCAAAGATTAGCATTTTTCGGTACCTAATGCCTGCTGGTTTCCGCAGAGACGGTTCAAACATCTTCAAAAAGGAGCCAATGCTTGTTGGACCGGTTGATACCGGTGAGTACTTTGATAAAATTCTTACGGATTACAGATCTGCAAAGGATTTTATCAAAGTATTGAAGTGCCAATGCAGCTGGTTGACCCAGCATTGGTAGATGTTTTCTTCATAAATCTTAACAAGAAAAATGGATGTTCCTTTCCCCATCCAAAATCTTAGTATCTTGGTCCATTTGTTGGTGTTCCCCATGTGTAAAATACTCTCATGTCAAGCCCGGATTGATGTTGCAACATTTTGAAACATGCTGAAACCAATTGGTGGTAAATGATCGGGCGTTTTTTTTTGGAGTGGACAACCGGGGCCCAACCGCAGGGCTGAGAGAAACCGCCCAAATCGGAACAATTTACAGACCATGCTGGTCGTCTTATTGGGGTTCCCCGTCAAGCCAGCCTCACAACTTAGAATTGTGCTAGCTATGAGTGTGTCCCCCATCACTTCTTGTTGGCGATGTGCCATGATTTTAGTTGGTCGTCAAGGTATCAGTGGGCTGGTGACTACCCAGAGGGATGTGAAATAGGAAACAGGTTGAAATCGGTTGAAAAAACATTTGCAAACCACCAGCAACTGGCAGCGATTCCGTAGCAACCATAGCCCCAAAACGAGCCACGTTGTTGCCGACGGAACTCTTCCACCTCCAAGGGGGGGCAAACGTGACCACAAGAAGGACAATTTGTGGCTCACTTCCGTGTCACTTCCGCACTTCAGGCCACTTTTCATGAGATCCAATACTCATCGCTGGAACCAACAGCAACCAGCCATGCCTCTTGCATGGCAGGAAACTACAGGAAATTCTTTCCAAGAACAGCACCCAAGAAGTGCCGTGCTGGTCAAATCAAAACGTTGTTGAGAAAAGACGGAAAACAGCGGCGGGAAAAACATATTTCCTGCCAGCCCTTGCTTGCAGAAGATGTACACATAGAAGAGACGCGCCCCATGCCGTCTCGCATGTGGAAACTCTGTCTCCGTGGCCGTGCTTGATCGCCGCTAAAGGCGAACGGAAATCAGCACTTTGCAACCCTCCTCAGAAGAACCCTCCGAATCTTTCCTTGGTTTGTTGATCCCCTAGTTGGTGACATTGTGGGAGTTCTGTGGTCAGACCTATGAACTGTTTATATACATCTGTTTACCCATCTAATCTCAAAAAAAAACATCGAAGCGTATGGCATCCCAATCCATTCCAATTCATCCAAGTTTCCTCCTTGTTTCTTTCACCTTGCGGCAGCCGCGCAACGGCTGTGCATCGGCTGTGAAACGGCTCGACCCCGACCGGTTCGACAAGGATGGGACATCACTGGCACCAGCTTCTCGCAGAAGATTTACCATTGTGACTTGTCCCAACTCCTTAGATTTGCTCAAAAAAATGATGAAACGTGCAAAATCAAATAATCTTTTCACGCGGAATTCCCCTGTTTTGGTGACGTGGGAAAAAATAAAATAATAACCACCTCAGCAAAACCCAGGATCCGATGCCACCTCGATGGGATACACTGGTTTCATCTGGATTCGATGCGACCTGAAGATTTTGACCATGTCACCCAAATCACCCTTTTTATAGGTGGTATAAACATGGTAACACCGGGGCCCGAGGCCCCTGACGAAATCAACATTTTCAGCAGCAGCCTGCCATGGTTTTTTCAACTCTCGCAATGTTTTGTGAACACCGATAATTAGTTGGAAAATGGCCACGAAATTCCATGAGGACGGGCCCAAAACACACTTTCAATGGTATTTGCATGGGATTGTGCACCCCATCATCTCCAACACATTTTTTGATCACAATTTCCTTCTTTCCATTTTTCAGTTCCGTGGCCAACAGCTGGAACAAGTTCGTGTCGACATTGTTCTTTTGCCATACATATTGATATGCTTGGCTGAACAACTGTGGGTTGGGCAGGCCATCGACGCGTGTCTTCACACGGTCACATATGAAGCCTTTGCACCATGTTCACAGTTTATCGGCTTGCTGCGTTCCAGCGAATCTACTATCTCAACTCATGTGCCACGAAGGGTGCACAGCAAATCAACACGTATGTCACTTCATGTACATGAACCATGAGGAGGATAGCAGCAAAAGCATCAACTCATGTGCCACGAAGAGTGCACAGCAAATCAACACGTATGTCACTTCATGTACATGAACCATGAGGAGGATAGCAGCAAAAGCATCAACTCATGTACCACGAAGAGTGCACAGCGTATCAACACGTATGTCGCTTCATGTACATGAACCATGAGGCGCGTAGCAGCCAAACTATCAACTCATGTGCCACGAACAGTGCACAGCGTATCAACACGTAACGAACATCAGGAGCGTACTATCAAGAACGTCATCACGGCCCCCGCCACCCCCTCCGAAACCGCCACAAGCAACAAGCAACGTAGCAACATGTATGTCAATTCAGTAAGATGATGAACCATGTTTGAAACACCCCAGAGGACCTGGTCCGACATCTCTATGTCACAAGTACAACATGAAACGCATCTTCATCTTGCACAACATCAATGTAGCAGATTCATGTTCTAATTTTAAACCTGTGCAAATTATCAGGGGCCCCGGGTCCCTTTGTAACCATAAACATGTATGAGCCATTCCCGGTCATGGGTGGTTTATGGCTTTGTTGTACCCACGTCACAAAAAATACCGACCCTCTGTGGGAACAAAAACATTAAAACCCCATAATGTAGCTGCAGTGACTCATCGAGACTCCTAGGACTGTGCACATCCTCAAAGCCATGTCGTTCCAAGAAGGACTTGATGAGTTCGGCGCGATGCTTCTTTGCTCGCAAGTCTAGGCGGGCGAACATTTTTGTGATTGGAAGAACGCCGCAAGTCTGTACTTGTTCTGAGCCAAAACAGCAACGAAATCAATAGAAATAGGTGTCGAAAAAGAGGATGCGCACCCGGCGTACCTCCATTGGGTTTGGGGGCTTGCTCGATTTTCAGACAAACCCAGACCCGTAGAAGAAAATCATCCGCAGATGGCTGGTTATTTTCCATGTCCAGACATGTGGGATTCAGAGGTAGACCCAACTGGTGTGTATTTCACATCCCCGTGTTACAATGTTGTTCCTCTTTCTTGTCCCTCATTCGTGTTGGTAGCATGTTGTTGGGGTAGGCTTCCATATAGCGAGCTATGCACTTTCCTGACTGTTTTCCTAGGATGTTCACGGGGTTTCCCTGTTGCATCCAATGTTGCATATATGCATATGTACATAGAGAGAAAGAAAGAGAAAGAGAGAGAGAGAGAGAGAGAGATGCGCTCGTGTGTGCGCAAATATCACACACACAGATAGATATAGATATAGATATACATATAGATATAGATTGCAGCAGGGGGGAGCGCGTCAGATGAGAAATTACCAGCAGCAAGGGGCAAGAAGTCATTACAAGATATTACAAGCAGCAAGGGGCAAGAAGCAAGAAGGCACGAAACTTTTGGGAGCTAGTTTCTTGTCCGTTCAGAAAGCAACGTTAGGCACCGTAAGCCAGCAGCATGGGGCTAAGGCTCTGCGGGGGAAGCCCCGAAACTAGCACCGTAAGCTGCAGGCCGCGGGCCGGTTCCGCCCTTCAGCAGCATGGGGCTTATAAGGCTCTAAGGGGGCAGCCCCGAAACTAGCAAATAGCAAGCTTTTGGGAGCTAGTTTCTTGGCCGTTCACAAATCAACGTTTGGCACTGTAAGCTGCAGGCCGCATGCCGTCCTTCAGCACCATGGGGCTAAGGCTCTGCGGGGTCAGCCCCGAAACTAGCAAATAGCAAGCTTTTGAAAGCTAGTTTCTTGGTCGTTCAGAAAGGAACGGCGGGCCGGTTCCGTCCTTCAGCCGCATGGGGCTAAGGCTCTGGGGGGGCCAGCCCCGAAACTAGCAAATGGCAAGCTTTTGGAAGCCAGTTCCTTGTCTCAGAAAAGAATGTTAGGCACCGTAAGCTGCAGGCCGCGGGCCGGTTCCGCCCTTCAGCAGCATAAGGCTTATAAGGCTCTGCGGGGGCAGCCCCGAAACTAGCAAATAGCAAGCTTTTGGGAGCTAGCTTCATGTCCAGTCAGACAGCAACATTAGGCACCGTAAGCTGCAGGCCGCGTGCGGTCCTTCAGCAGCATGGGGCTAAGGCTCTGCGGGGGAAGCCCCGAAACTAGCACCGTAAGCTGCAGGCCGCGGGCCGGTTCCGCCCTTCAGCAGCATGGGGCTTGTAAGGCTCTAAGGGGGCAGCCCCGAAACTAGCAAATAGCAAGCTTTTGGGAGCTAGTTTCTTGGCCGTTCACAAAGCAACGTTAGGCACCGTAAGCTGCAGGCCGCGGGCCGGTTCCGTTCTTCAGCAGCATGGGGCTAAGGCTCTGGGGAGGCAGCCCCGAAACTAGCAAATGGCAAGCTTTTGGAAGCCAGTTCCTTGTCTCAGAAAGCAACGTTAGGCAGCGTAAGCTGCAGGCCGCGGGCCGGTTCCGTCCTTCAGCACCATGGGGCTAAGGCTCTGCGGGGGCAGGTTGTTTGGGGGGCTGGAAGTTTGCAAATAAAGGCGAACAAAACCCCCCGTAAATCAACATAGATCCGGCAAATCCGCCATGTTCCAGGGAAAACCTTGGATTTTGCATACCTGCAAATTCTATTCAGTACGTCTCGGTGAAACAAACAGCTTTAATGGCTTAAAATTGTGTCGTATCATGCGCATGGACGTAGACCACAGAGACGAAGGGCTCCCGCGCTGCGGGAAGCTCGTAAACGTCGATGTTCCCATCATTGGGCCATGGTATTGCCGAATCAATCAAGTAGTATATAACCCCAAGTCTACAATGTAGATATATATTATGATATATAGATATATATATATATACATATATACATATATACATAAATGTATGTATATACATATATACATATATATATATACACATAAATATATATATACGTAAATATATATATATATATAAACATATATATATATACAGAAATATATGTATATATATATATATACATACATATGTGTATATATATATATACATAAATATTTATATATATATATATATATGTATGTATATATATATACACATAAATATATATATACATATATATATATATATGTGTGTGTACATGTATATATATATATACATATATATGTGTGTGTGTTATACATACTACATATAATTATCATCTGTTTTTTTTTACAATGGTGCTTCTCCATAGCAATGTTGATAATACCAGATTGTTACCTCACCAGGCCACAAAGTCTTTGGACACTGCCCACTTGGCCTTCCAAATGAGAACTTTCAGAAACAGCCGTTGAAACTATTACCCCGTGAGCATACCACCATCGCAAAGTGGTTGGCAAACAAATATCCCCACGATTGTTTCTTGTAATCCAAGAAACCAGTAAGATCCAATCAGTATATAACCAAAAAACAACAATCTACAGATGTTATTTAACGTAGCGATCTGGAAAATCACCGCCTTTCAATGCCGATATTGTTTTCCGTCTCTCTCTCTCTCTCTCTCTTCAATTATATTCAGGTAAACCCACGTGTAAAACAATCTATCGGCCTATCGGTTAAATTGAGGCGTACGTATGCACTGCTTTCACATCAGGTTTCCGCCTGCAGCTTCAACTGCCGATCCATCTCCTCCAGCTCTTTGTCAATGCTGTCCTCATCTGCCCGGGCCAGAATGGCATCTGCCAACCTTAGCACAGGGAGCTGGGAAAATGGTGAAAGATGGTGAGAGAGCTGCGAGGTAAAGAACCTCCTTGCACGCATTCATCCAAAACATCCAAAAATGTTATTTATATTATTTATATTTGATACTTAATGTTACTTTCAAGTTGATTAACCCTCTTCACAACCCAAAAATGCAGTTCCCAGCAGCAGAAACACTTCCAGTCCCAGCTGCTGTGGCCGCGCCGACGCCGGGCGTTCCACCGGCCGCGCCGACGCCGGCCGCGCGGCGCAGTGCCGCCGCGCCGCGGCCTCGGCCGCTGCGGTGCTGCGCGCGCGGAGCCGCGCCAGCTCCGCGGCCAGCGCCGCGTCGTCGAGGTCCGGCTCAACAGCGTTGAGGACCAGGTCAGCCAGGGTGGACATGGCACTGGAGATGGGTTGAGTATGACAAAAGGTGACTTTAGTAGTGAATATGACCACAGGATTGCCACAAGTGTTAAACCAATTGATGTTGAATTTAGCTGAGATTCACAAAGATTGTTTGAAGATGTAGTAGTTGTGTCAGAATGTGATGGAATTGCCCCCTGCAAGTGATGATTTTTGTGGTTTCGAGATGTTTTGAGTGACGCCACGATGGGTTTGTGGAATATATAATTACAGCGGAAAAAATAGAAACCGTGATTGATTTGTATGATATGGAGAAGGTACATCAAATTGTTACACTTATTGCACACAACATGTATCAACATGTTGTAACAAATGGTGGGTAAGTATGAAAACGAACTAGCATGTTGGAAGAAACCCATGAGTCCACATGCTATACTATGTGGTCTTTGAAGGAAATGAAACTAGGTGCTGGATAAAACCTGGTCTTGAGTTGCACGAAAGGATCTGGTAAGGCTGGAACAAGTTGGAGAGCTGAACTCTGACCAAGCTCTACCCTGGGACTTTAATCCGTTCCCCCGATATGCGATCATCTCAAATACCCCTCATGTGGGTGTCCAAAATGAACAGGGCCATCACATACCAATAGTAAACCAGAGGGGGTTCGTTTGGGTGCATGTAAGTGAGTACGGGGAAGGGATTGTTGCATTTTGAAGATTCAAAGTTGTAAATTTTGGCAGAATCACTGCTGCCTTTTCGATGGTCCAAACAAAACTCAAAACTCCCAAAACTCCGAAAAGCAATTTGAGGAAATTGTTCCACCAATCACGTCTGAAATATCCAAATGCCATGGCCAAACTTTTGCTTTCCTCTTTTGCAGATGTTGAATGGTCCATATCCATATTAAATATTAACAACAAACAGTATCCGATGGCAGGCCCCAAGGTCCAGCCATCCCTCAGCGATTGCCTGCTCAAAATCTTTCCGCGCCAGCAGCCAGCCTTGCGCCTACCAGTTGCGCTTAGCAAAATGTTCCATGGTGGGTTTAGGGTTTCTGGCCTTGTTTCAACCCCTCACCTGGCTAATGAAATGTTGGCCATCCGTGGCACAAATCACTGGGTCCATTTTTCAGGACTCATCCAGGCCAGCTTGACCCGATTTTACGGCCTAGAAAAATCTCAAGGCCAAGTTACTACCGTCGGATCATGGAATCATCCGATGGAATGGAAATGCACCGATCAACATCTCCATGGCGTACGATCGGACCATCCACCAGCTAAACCTTGCGGATTTTCCCAGCGAACTCAACCTCCATGGCTAGTTCGCAGAGAAAATCCAGCTAGCCATGTTTCATGACACTGCAGGCACTGCAGGCCACTGGCAAATCTACCAGAATCACCTCGATGTGAATGAAATATCCGGACTGCAACATGATTGTTTGTTGGTATCATACATGCATATGATTCTACATGTGCATGCGTATATATATATATACATACATATACATATACATATACATATACATATACATATATATATATATACATATAATATCATTCGGGCACAAGTCAAAATTGCTTCCCATTTCAACATTGGGATGATCAGTACTAAGAATGACCAAAGTGAAGAAAATCATCAATGCCTTTCGACCCATACCCAATTGCTAGTTCTGGTTGGCTATGTCGGATGCACATTCTAATGGGGTGTTGGGCAGATCCCCTTTTATGCTTGAGCACATTCTTCTCTCCGTGTTTTGGACTATACCTGGCATGGCTATAAGAAAACCAATGTTTTTCTGTTGTAGCTGGAAAAAATGCGTGGAAATGGGTCTTCATTAACTATTAAGTAAGTATAGCATAGCTATGGAAAATCACCATTATTTTATAGGTAAATCGTGATAAATCACCAAACTAAATTGGCATGGTTTCCGTAGCTATGTTAGATTACCAACGGGTATGTTCAAAACCTACTAAATAATCATAATTTTCTCCATCAAAATGACCATATCTTGGGGGTTCCCGTTTTCATCCCCTGTATGCTTAGAGAGCTAGTTTTCCAGCTGTTTCCCAGCTACCCCTGAGTTGCAGGACATTGGCATAGGCGCATCCGCGACGGAAGAGCGCGCGCGTGTTCCCGGGCTCCACGGATAGGGCCTGGCTCGTCCCGCCGTTTTTCCATGGTGAAATCTGGGTGTCGTTGGGGGTGCCCTAAAGCATCCTAAAGCCAAACAGAGTCACTCTGTCGGTGTCACCGAAAGTGGGTTGAAAGTGGGTTGAACCATGTTGAATCCCCTGCCATCGTCCCTTTCTGAAACGAAGCGAAGCAGCGGCCAGCAGCTGCTCTCTGCGTGTGGGTTCGGAACAGCTGCAGCAAATGGAAAGCTATGACTAGGGGTGATCTAGGCATCGTAGGCGATTACTTACTAATCATGATTATTGTTTATATCCTCATGTTTGGTTGTTTGATATATCAAGTTCCTAAGATCTTTTTTGCTAGGGTAAACCCCTAGCTTCTACTCACAACTTACCGAATCGTGATGGGTTGGTTGGCTACAGTTAGTCTGAAAATCTTGGCAAATGATAAATGCATTTTTTAAATGCCACATTTGGGACAGATTTCTTTGCTGCAATGGTTGTTCTTAAAAAGCATTAAACTATATAGTTCGATAGATCTACCACCAGCTCTCCAAGCGGATTTCATGGGATGATCTCCAGCTCGAAGAGTGGAAAGGCGGCGGCCTGCACTGCGGTGAGCTAATGGCTTTTTTTGAGCCTCGCATGGTGCTAATCATTTAGAAACCATCTATGTAACCCATAAAAAAATCCATTTTTGGTGAACTTATTTAGAAAGAAAAACATGTATAACCTCTCTCCCCATCGCCAAATGATTTGCATGTTGTGCATCATGATGAAACATCGGTTCATCTAAATCAAGTCCTGTCCCTAGGGCCTTTGGTCTGAGGCGCAAATCCATCAGGAAGCACAGGGTGCCGGCCAATCCTTCCTCAGCCGCAGGTGACAAGTGGTCACAGGTTGCAAGGCTTTGGTCATGTCCAACAAATTGATCTAAGCCTCAAGAATAGTGGTTTAAGCATGTTGAAGCCACATTCATTGGTTTCAGTTCTTGGTTGTTAGAAACAACTGCTAAACACATTCAAAATTGTGTTCAATTGGTCAGGAATGTGTTTGATCAAATGAACGTGTGGATTTATACCATGAGCGGCCCTAACCTCAGTGATAGCTGGGTTGGCTCACCCCATGACTGTAGATGACCCTAGGTGGAAGGGGGCGTAGCCCCATCTGCATAAGTGGCAAATGGAAGGAGCTTCCCAAGCAGGAAGACATCTTTCGACCCATCCAGACAGGGGATTCTGTAGATTGACATTTTTTCATCTCAACGGTCGCACGGTCGATGGCACTGGCACAGCGAGGGCGTCCCCAAAAATACACTTGGGATCACTTGGGACCCCGGGTCAAAGACAATCAAACTTCAAAGCCACAAAAAAGTTCGGGTTTGTCCCGTCATATAGCCTAGCTATAGATATTTAGATCTAGATTCAGAATGATGCAAATGTAGGTACAAAGTTGAACATGTACAGACATATAGATACCAAGGGCCCCAGTCCTGAGCCGAGCTCATCCTGGGCACGTTATCTGCTCACACTGTCGCAGCAATTGCAGGTTCCGAGCTGTTGGTGGCCCTATAAACCAACTTGCAATTACATAGAATCTACCATAAACCCTAGATATATGTGTTGTTGCCAAGTTATCCAACTATGAGCCACCACACTGGTTATGAAACCAGGCCAGTTATAGGGTCCATTCCAATACAGTAATCACATCCTCGGGCCGTAATAAATCCTTGCAACTTGCAACAAGCAGGACCCTAGTTTGAATGAGAATCCCTACGTTCCAGCAGGGGGTTGTACGTATGTCCTTCGCGACAAGGGATTCTATCAAAGGTATTCGGCCCCCAGTATAGGTGAACCCATCAATGAAAGATTGCAACAGTTGATACCCTCTGGCAATTTAACATAGCTATTGAAAATTGCCCATTTTTGGTGGATTTACCCATTGAAAATGGTGATTTTCTATAATTATGTTAGTTTACCAAAGGGTAAACCCTTCTTAGTGGACGTATGTGGATGCGGCTAATGAAGCCTCGAGGTACCAGCTCGAAGCCTGCAGGGAACCCGCTGCGAACGTTGGCGACTTAGGTGAAACGACCGTCAGTGGACTGACTGGAACCTGCATTCCACTTAGCGTATCATACGCCCGTCACGTAGGGAATATCCTCAATTATAATCAATTATACGGGTTGTAACCTTTTGTGAGCAACTGGATCTAACTGGGATGCACATCCAAGCAGGCCACTTGACATTTATGGAACAAAAAGTTTGTATTTTTCTTCACCTGCAATGATGAGAACAAAATCGTTTCAAGAATCTTAATAGTTAGCAGCGCGTACGTCGTTTCAAACAATGCGTCATACTCATCTGCAGGTGGCGATTTCTCAAAATGAGAAAACTCCTTATAAGCCTTGTCATCATTGCTTTCCCAGAAATATCCAATATTCTTAATGCCGGATTCATAAAGCCCGATAAATTGCATGCTAGGTTGTCAGTGAGAATTGAATCATCATCAACCTGCTACTGTTTATGACTGTTTCATGAAGCCCCGGGGTTTAATCCGGGCTTGACATTTAGCTTGGAGCCGCCATTGGGGCCCCCCCATCTCTCGGAGGTGCACCCAGACACAAAAATGTTGCCCTCTTGTGCTGACACACAAATCTTTGTGCGCGCAGGTGTGCATATTTAGATATATATATATGTGTGTGTGTGCGCGTGTGTGTGTGTGTGTTTGTTTTAATTCATCTATGTTTATCTATTTGTTTTTTGATTCATTCAATTTCATTCATATTTATATATTCGTTCATTTATTGATCTATGATAAATCTAGCGATTATTGATTGATTGACCTTTTGGACACACAGTCAGTGAGTCAGACAGGCGTAGGTAACGAATTAGATATATTCAACTAAGATACGGTATATTATATGTATATATATATATACAGTATGTCTGTGTGATTCTTTACGTGCAGACTCCGGGTGTGTGAGCATGCACCTCCCAGAGAGGGGTGAGCGGGGCTCAACCCTCCAGACAGGAAGATAGATAATATGGCTGTGCCTCGCAAATTCAAAATATGCCAAGTACTCTATTGGATAAAAGGCCCGCAAGGAGCTGATCACTCTTGAGTAAATGATCCAATGTGTGGGCTCGAGACTTTAGAGTCACAGCCTGTCACAGCCATATTTGCTTCCATCTTGATCCGCAGCGGTCGGGACTCCGCGAGGTAATGGGGGTGACTGGGGCAATGAGAAAGGATTAAAGTCAGAAACAGAACCTGAAGATCTGATAAGATTTGGGGGGATGATACCATTAATCAAAGGAAGTTTAGTCATCTAAACTCCGTGGTACGGACAATGAAAATGTGGAGGGATTAGAGGTTGTAGGAATAGAGTACAGTAGAGTAGAGAGTAGAGAGTAGAGAGTAGAGAGTAGAGAGTAGAGAGTAGAGAGTAGAGAGTAGAGAGTAGAGAGTAGAGAGTAGAGAGTAGAGAGTAGAGAGTAGAGAGTAGAGTAGAGTAGAGTAGAGTAGAGTAGTAGAATAGAGTAGAATAGAGTAGAATAGAGTAGAATAGAGTAGAATAGAGTAGAATAGAGTAGAATAGAGTAGAATAGAGTAGAATAGAGTAGAATAGAGTAGAGTAGAGCAGAGTAGAGTAGAATAGAATAGAGTTAGCAGTAGGGGTAGGAGTAGGAGTGGGGTGGGACTGGGAGTGGGCATGGGAGTGGGAGTGGTGGGAGTGGGAATGGGGGCGGGAGCGGGAGAGTGGGAGCGGGAGTGAGTGGGAGTGAGTGGGAGTGGGGAGTGGGAGTGGGATTGGGAATGGGAGTGGGAGTGGGAGTGGGAGAATAGAGTAGAGTAGAGCAGAGCAGAGCAGAGCAGAGTAGAGTAGAATAGAGAAGGGTAGGGTAGAGTGGAGTACAGTAGAGTAGAGAAGAGAAGAGAAGAGTAGAGAAGAGTAGAGTAGAGTCGAGTGGAGTAGAGTAGAATAGAGTAGGGTAGGGTAGAGTGGAGTAGAGAAGAGTAGAGTAGAGTAGAGTAGAATAGAGTAGAGTAGAGAAGATAGAGTAGAGTAGAGAAGATAGAGTAGAGTAGAGTAGAGTAGAGTAGAGTAGAGTAGAGTAGAGTAGAGTAGAGTAGAGTAGAGTAGAGTAGAGTAGAGTAGAGTAGAGTAGAGTAGTAGTAATAGTAATAGTAATAGTAATAGTAGTAGTAGTAGTGGTAGTAGTAGTATAGTATAGTAGTAGTAGTACTAGTAGTAGTAGTAGTAGTAGGAGGAGTAGGAGGAGTAGGAATAGGAATAGGAATAGGAGTAGGAGTAGTAGGAGCAGTAGTAGTAGTAGTAGTAGTAGTACTAGCCGTCGTCGTCGTTGTAGTAATCGTCGTAATAATAGTCGTACTAGTAGTCGTCGTAGTAGTCGTAGTAGCCGTAGCAGTCGTAGTCGGTAGTAGTAGGTAGTAGTAGGAGTAGCAGGTAGTAGCTGGTAGTAGTAGGTACTAGTGAGTACTAGCAAGTAGTAGTGAGTAGCAGTGATGTTTTTGGCATTAGGAATCGCAGGAAACCTTACGTTTTCTCGCACAAAGTGGCTCCTCCCTGCGTCGATTTTCGCTCGGACGCGTCCTCCCTTGTAAAGTAGAACTCAGGTGTGCAGATCGCAGAGGAATGACTGCATGCATCTTGTTGATTTGCAGATCGCGCCGTCATGGGTTCATCAAGATTCGTCAAGGTTGCTTGGTGCCGCGGCTGCGTATGTAATACTATTGTCTTTTGCAGCTGGACACCGTAAATCGTATTGGAGTGGCTGCATCAAGGCTGCGATAGTGATTTGCCATCAGATTTTCTCAATTTTGGCACTGGTAATTTTCCTTTTAAATTTGCTTTAAAACGTGCTTCAAAATCGTCTTTTTGTTGCTTTGGCGCTGAGATCCGGTTTTGGAGCTACAATTTCTGTGTAAAAGTCTCTCTGTGTAAAAGTTTCTCTGACAGTGCGAAAACTTCTGTGTGTGTACAAGCTTTTGTGTATGGGAAGCTTTCTCTGTGTAAAAGCTTCTCTGTGCATAAGTTCGTGTGTGTGTAAAAGCTTCTGTGTGTAAACGCTCTTCTGTGTAAAAGTAATTTTTTTTCTGTGTAAAAGCTTCTGTGTGCAAAAGCTTCTGCGTGTAAAAGCTTCTTTGTGTAAAAGATTTTCTGTGTGTAAAGCTTCTGTGTGCAAAAGCTTCTTTGTGTAACAGCTTCTGTGTGTGTAAACGCTTTTCTGTGTAAAAGCTTCTGTATGCAAAAGCTTTTGTGTCTAAAAGCTTCTCGGTCCAAAAGCTTCTGTGTGTCAAAAGCTTCTGTGTGTGTAAAAGGTTTGCTGTGTAAAAGCTTTTCTGTGTGTAAAAGCTTTGTAGTACGAAGTAGTACTGGGAAGTACTTCGTGCAAGCTTTGTTGTGCGAAGTAGTACTGGGATTTACTGTGTGCAAGCTTTGTAGTACGAAGTAGCACTGGGAAGTACTTTGTGCAAGCTTTGTAGTACGAAGTAGTACTGGGAAGCACTTTGTGCAAGCTTTGTAGTACGAAGTAGTACTGGGAAGCACTTTGTGCAAGCTTTGTAGTACGAAGTAGTACTGGGAAGCACTTTGTGCAAGCTTTGTAGTACGAAGTAGTACTGGGAAGTACTTTGTGCAAGCTTTGTAGTACGAAGTAGTACTGGGAAGCACTTTGTGCAAGCTTTGTAGTACAAAGTAGTACTGGGAAGCACTTTGTGCAAGCTTTGTAGTACGAAGTAGTACTGGGAAGCACTTTGTGCAAGCTTTGTAGTACAAAGTAGTACTGGGAAGTACTGTGTGCAAGCTTTGTAGTACAAAGTAGTACTGGGAGGCACTTTGTGCAAGCTTTGTAGTACAAAGTAGTACTGCGAAGTACTGTGTGCAAGCTTTGTAGTGCGAAGTAGTACTGGGAAGCACTTTGTGCAAGCTTTGTAGTACGAAGTAGTACTGGGAAGTACTTTGTGCAAGCTTTGTAGTACGAAGTAGTACTGGGAAGTACTTTGTGCAATCTTTGTAGTACGAAGTAGTACTGGGAAGTACTTTGTGCAAGCTTTGTAGTACGAAGTAGTACTTGGAAGTGCTTTGTGCAAGCTTTGTAGTGCAAGTAGTACTGGAAGTACTTTGTGCAAGTTTGTAGTACGAAGTAGTACTGGGAAGTACTTGTGCAAGCTTTTAGTAGAAGAGTACTGGGAAGTAACTTTGTGCAAGTTTGTAGGACGAAGTAAAGTACTGGGAGGAAGCACTTTGTGCAAGCTTGTCAGCTTTGTAGTTACGAAGTAGTACGAAGTGGTACTGGGAAGTACTTTGTGCCAGCTTTGTAGTAGTACGAAGTAGTACTGGGAAGTACTTTGTGCAAGCTTTGTAGTACGAAGTAGTACTGGGAAGTACTTTGTGCAAGCTTTGTAGTACGAAGTAGTACTGAGAAGTACTTTGTGCCAGCTTTGTAGTGCGAAGTAGTACTGGGAAGTGCTTTGTGCAAGCTTTGTAGTACGAAGTAGTACTGGGAAGTACTTTGTGCAAGCTTTGTAGTACGAAGTAGTACTGGGAAGTACTTTGTGCAAGCTTTGTAGTACGAAGTAGTACAAAGTAGTACTGGGAAGTACTTTGTGCAAGCTTTGTAGTACAAAGTAGTACTGGGAAGGACTTTGTGCAAGCTTTGTAGTACGAAGTAGTACTGGGAAGCACTTTGTGCAAGCTTTGTAGTACGAAGTAGTACTGGGAAGTACTTTGTGCAAGCTTTGTAGTACGAAGTAGTACTGGGAAGTACTTTGTGCAAGCTTTGTAGCACAAAGTAGTACTGGGAAGCACTTTGTGCAAGCTTTGTAGCACAAAGTAGTACTGGGAAGCACTTTGTGCAAGCTTTGTAGTACGAAGTAGTACTGGGAAGTACTTTGTGCAAGCTTTGTAGTACGAAGTAGTACTGGGAAGTACTTTGTGCAAGCTTTGTAGTACAAAGTAGTACTGGGAAGCACTTTGTGCAAGCTTTGTAGTACGAAGTAGTACTGGGAAGTACTTTGTGCAAGCTTTGTGGTACGAAGTAGTACTGGGAAGTACTTTGTGCAAGCTTTGTGGTACGAAGTAGTACTGGGAAGCACTTTGTGCAAGCTTTGTAGTACGAAGTAGTACTGGGAAGCACTTTGTGCAAGCTTTGTAGTACGAAGTAGTACTGGGAAGCACTTTGTGCAAGCTTTGTAGTACGAAGTAGACTGGGAAGTACTTTGTGCAAGCTTTGTAGTACGAAGTAGTACTGGGAAGTACTTTGTGCAAGCTTTGTAGTACGAAGTAGTACTGGGAAGTACTTTGTGCAAGCTTTGTAGTACGAAGTACGTACTGGGAAGTACTTTGTGTGCAAGCTTTGTAGTACGAAGTAACTGGGAAGTACTTTTGTTTGTAGTACGAAGTAGTACTGGGAAGTACTGTGCAAGCTTTGTAGTACGAAGTAGTACTGGGAAGCACTTGTGTTTGCAAAGCTTACTGTAGTACGAAGTAGTACTGGGAAGTACTTTGTGCAAGCTTTGTAGTAGTACGAAGTAGTACTGGGACTTTGTGCAAGCTAGTACGAAGTAGTACTGGGAAGACTGTGTGCAACTTTTGTAGTACGAAGTAGTACTGGAAGCACTTTGTGCAAGCTTTGTAGTACGAAGTAGTAGTACTGGGAAAAGCTTGTAGTACTTTGGAAGTGTGCAAGCTTTGTAGTACGAAGTAGTACTGGGAAGTACTTTGTGCAAGCTTTGTAGTACGAAAGTAGTACTGGGAAGTCTTTGTGCAAGCTTTGGTAGTACGAAGTAGTACTGGGAAGTACTGTGTGCAAGCTTTGTAGTGCGAAGTAGTACTGGGAAGCACTTTGTGCAAGCTTTGTAGTACGAAGTAGTACTGGGAAGTACTTTGTGCAAGCTTTGTAGTACGAAGTAGTACTGGGAAGTACTTTGTGCAATCTTTGTAGTACGAAGTAGTACTGGGAAGTACTTTGTGCAAGCTTTGTAGTACGAAGTAGTACTTGGAAGTGCTTTGTGCAAGCTTTGTAGTGCAAAGTAGTACTGGGAAGTACTTTGTGCAAGCTTTGTAGTACGAAGTAGTACTGGGAAGTACTTTGTGCAAGCTTTGTAGTACGAAGTAGTACTGGGAAGTACTTTGTGCAAGCTTTGTAGTACGAAGTAGTACTGGGAAGTACTTTGTGCAAGCTTTGTAGTACGAAGTAGTACTGGGAAGTACTTTGTGCAAGCTTTGTAGTACGAAGTAGTACTGGGAAGTACTTTGTGCAAGCTTTGTAGTACGAAGTAGTACTGGGAAATACTTTGGGCGGGTTTTGTGGTACAGGAAGGACTTTGTGCAAGTCTTGTAATACACAGGATGAATTTGGTTCGCAAGGCACGAAAAACGGCCTCAAGACAAAGGAGATGTCAAGAGAGAAGGTGTCAAACGAAACAATTTCAAGAGAAAGAGGTCTCAAAATAAAAGTGTGAGACAACAGGAAACAAGAAAAATGGTGCCAAGCGAAAACCGTGTCAAGAGAATGAGATGTGGAGAGAAGAGAATGTCAAGAGAAGCAGGCCTCAAGAAAAAGAGATGCCCAAAGATAAGGATGCCAAGAGAAAGAGTTGTCAACGGAAAGCGGCTGAAACGACATCGGTTTCAAGAGACAGCGATGACATCAGAAAAAGCTTGTCAGGAGAGAAGGGTGTGTCAAGTCTCTGGCTCCAGAGCTGTCGGCTGTCAAGATTCAGAAATGTCAGGAGCAAGCCGGATCAAGAGAAAGTGGCAGCATCAGACAAAGATGTCGAGAGCAAGAAATGTCAAGGACAAAGACTTCCAAGAGATCACGCAGTCAACGGCTGAGCCAGCCGGGGGTCAGGCGCTGTTCCTATACTATAGGCTCTCCCTTGTCTTTACAGGTTCTCCCCTCTCTCGAAACTTCCGTCACCCGGCTTGCCCGGGCTCTACTTGTATCATTAATCAGGTGTTACAATCCAAAACCTCAACTGGAAAGTAGTCTGCACCACAACATCCAAATCTTGCCGCTCAATCTTGCCCCCAACTTCGCCCATCTTCAGCCAGGACATTGCCCATTAATTCGCTTTCTCACTTGGACCACTGTCTCCGTTTGGCTCACCGTCCTTCATTGCTTCACCGTCGGCTTCACCGTGTTCCTCGCTTGGGCTTTGGCTGCCTTGATCGCCGAGCAAAGGGAGCTGATCATCCTCTGCGCCGTCATCGATTGGCTCCGCCCCTGGGGGCCCAGCTGGGCCCCCACGGCCCTCAGGGCGATCGACCATTGGTTGGTCTGGTTGGTCTGGTTGGTCCGCGGCAGGGGCCGCTGCACCCTGGGCAGGGGGAAAAGGGCCGACAGGGGCAGTGCGGCGGAAATGCTGCCATTGTAGCGGGGGCTGTTGGCGGAGGAGGTCACCATGAGTGTCCAACAGCCGCTTGGAAGGCACCTCAAGGCCCAGGGCGCGTAGAGAAGTCATATCACTCACGCGTGGCGGAATCCACCAAGCTGGTTGACTAACTTTGAGCCACAAGGTCTGCGGATGTCTGCTGGTCCGAGTATCCTTCCAAAAGGATGAAAACGCCACAGGTCACGGTCTAAGTCGACACCCCAACATGACCTGCAACAATCAAACGACGTCAAATGACTTACAGTAAATCACGGGGTTCGCACGTCTTTCAAGATGCCTTAGATGTCAAAAAGTTGATCTGCCAAGGATCGAAAAGGGAAAATGGATTGTCAGGAGTGCGCGACTGCTTCTGCACCTCCTCTGAAAACATCTGCCGAGCAAAGTGATGCGCGCGCCCCAGCCACCTGACGTCCTGACACCAGCAGAGCTGTGCGCAACAGGGACGCAAGCTGATGTCATTCGCAGTCGAAATATCAAAAGTCATGTCATGGTTAACCTTAGACTTAGACTCCTTTACATTCCTTTACATCCTTTACCAGCTTGAATCTTGGTATATTTGAGTGGGAGATTACATATTATATTCCCTTGGTGTAAGATTCAAAGAGGCCAAATCAGAGAAAAATGAGAAAACAACAACCAGCCGATTTCTCATCCTATCCCGGGATGACACTGCTCAGGTGCGACATCGCGGAAACTCTGGTTATGTCAACAGTTTGCTATTGAAAATGGCCATTGAGTTCGTTGATTGTCCCATTACAAAAATGGTGGATCTTTCCATAGTTTGAGTTATATGTGTTAGTTTACCAGAGGGTATATCCTATTAAATCCCATTAAATCACCATTTTCCTATGGTTTTAATGGCCACATGGTGTGCTTCTGCTGCCACAGCCGTGGCGCCGCCTCCGTCACCCGGTACAAGGTCAGGAAGCTGTAGCCGTTTCCCGCGATGCCGTGGCAAATGCCAGGGCCTCATTGGGAAGCCAACAGGTCTGTTACAGGTAGATGATGGTAGTAACATGTACAGATATGTAACATGTAGTAACTATCCATCAAAAAATGGGTTCGTTAACGATTTTGCTGGTGAATACCGAAGGTATCTGGATCTCGGTGGTGATTTTGCTACTGAGATTCGTGCTGGAGATCTCCCCTTTTGGTTTTTGGATCGTAACGAGCATCGTTTTTTTGATTTTGACAGTTTTCGTATCCCCCAAAAGTTTTTCATTTGAATGATTTTAAATTGCTCTTCGCCAACCCGAAAACTCTGCTGCAGTGCAAACACTTTGCGAATATGATATTCAATGGTGCTTTTGGCGGAAGTTGTGGAGGGTTTTTCTGGTGAAGGGATCATGGATATGAATGATCCAAATAGGAATTTAACTGCTAGCTCAGTTTCGGTTGCCCAATAAAATGGTGCGTAAAATCTAAGTGAAATACACAGTCGCTTCCAGCAGCTCTTCAGCAGCTCTTCAGCAGCTCTTCAGATTCAGTTGCATCCGACTTGGTGATAAAAAACATGACGAAAGGACCACTTTCCTGGTTGAATCCTGGCCTTTCTTCAGTAGGCCATACTTCCAGACGACTTCTCCTGCATCCTGATGCGTGAGAGATCCATGAAGCTTCCGCAAGATGGGCTCAATTCATAATCAATTTGTTTATAAACACATCCAACTGATATGTATACAGTATATACTCTATATTATATATATATGTGTGTGCCATAAGCAATGAAGTTACTTCGTTGTTTAAGCCAATCTCACTGCAGATTTGTTTCTGCATGTCTCTAGCATAATCCGAGTTCGCGTATTTATACACCAACTAACCCAAGGTTCAAACATATCAAACACTTCATGTGTGGGGTTCCGATTCCAGCAATTGCTGGTTTTTGATTTCATCTTATGCCCTATGCCACTAACTGTCCATCGTCCAAACATCTCCACGTGTGCTGGTAAAATCATGTAAAATCACAATCACAACACACACACACACATTCTACTGCATCAAATGACTGTTGCTTTCACATTTTTCACAGCTTAATCCGAGCATAATCCCATCTTTTTGGGTGGATTGGATTTCATCTTCATCATCATCATCATCATCATCATCATCATTACTGGGTGAATTGTTGGACCCCAAAACTGATGGGGAAAAAAAAACTGGTGGGTCCTTAGCCATCGCCAGCCACTGATCTTCTTTCAAAAGCTCGTATGCCTTGCAGAACAGCAGCACCGCGCCTGTCCTTGGAGCGAGTTAAAATTCGCGATAGACAGATTGGATAAACTTATGTAGGAGGATATATAGATATATTTGATATAAGGTGTATCAACTTGTAAATATATCGAATCTAATATAGATAGACCAGGTTCAAAGTGATTTGATTAGATTTGATTAGATTTGATTAGACTTGATTAGATTTGATTAGATTTGATGTGTATTACTACAATATATACTACAATATAGATTTAATGTCATACATAATTAGTCAGATGTGTAAACAAAGAAGTTGGATTCTTATGTTTTCTTATGATGTTGGAATTGAACTCCCTCCTGGGTAGCTGGTGTTGATCTCTCTGTTTCCACCATTCTGGTCAGCTAGCTGAACCCCTCTGCGGAGAAATAATATGTATAATGTGTATATACGTATTATAATATATATATGCATTATAATGTATAAATATAAGTACATAATGTATATATATATGTGTGTGTGTACAATATATATATATATAATTTGTATATATATATATATAGCAATGATCATTGCTTAAGTTTGCCGGTATTTGTGAGTTGCGTCCCCTTTTGCAAATGTCATCCTTTTCTCATCGCCGCGCCTTGCCTTTTCCGCCTTTCTCAGTTGTAGCCCTTCGTTGATTTCCATCTTTTTGCCCTGCTTCCACATGGATCTGGAACCCAAAAATCAGGTTGTGTTGGCCACACCTCCTGAAATTTATCATGGAACATGGAGAAAAAAAGGGTCTCGAAAATGATTCTAGAACTGATTAGAACTGGAGATTGGCCCAGCTTTGGGATTCCAGAGGACATTTACATACATTTCACTTTTGGGGTGGCAGCCAGATAATGCCAGAATATGCCAGGTAGATATGTAGTTAGTCTCATCAATTCGTGGCTTTTCCCGGCTTTCACTAGTCCTGAGAATCCCTACGCACCATGGCAGAAGTGAATGCAATCGCCGCCGCCCTCACCAAACCTAGGGCGCCAGCTCGGGAGTTGGAAAATTTGCGGGAAACCCCTGCATGATCAAACATTTCACCGTCAAAACTATGGTTTTCTGCCATTGGTATGGCATTTGAAAAAAAGAAGTGGTGGTTTCAACTAGTCAGTTCGTCCAAATAGAGATGGAAAGCAAACAATGTGTGAAACCCATAGGGATCTGAGTGCCAGTGCAGGGATTTGCTTGCCCGCTTCACTACTGGCATGAGTTTGCAATATTTTAGCCACCAACCACCCACCCCCAAAGATATATATATATATAAATAGACATATAAATAGAAATATAAATATATATATATATGTATATATCGCCGATTCTTGGCTCTCAACACCTCCTATCATTTCAACTAAGGGATTGCAAAGTCTCCATTTCATTGAGTCACCCAGCCACCAACCACTCAAGATGGGCCATTTTAGGTGATTTCACAGGGCTCCCCAAAATTTCCCCGGGCCATCATTGGGCAATTTATGTTATTCGGTGGCCCCAGATTTTTTCATCACCAGTGAACCAGCCAGAAACCAGCCAGGTCCCTCTCCCATCTCTCAGCCCAGGCTACACCACTGGCCAGTTGCCAGTGGATTCCCTCATGCTTCCCAGCCAGTGCAGCGCCTTCCGCAGAGTCTCCAGGTTCTGTCCCTGGAAGGATGGCGTTCGGCTTCCAATGGAAATTTGCAGCAAAAAGGTGACCGAAAAACGGGTAATGTTTGGAGTATGAATATGTATGAATATGTCATATATGTTGCTACATGTCGAATAGATTTGAATAGATGTCATAGTGGTCATAGGGTAAAACTTGGCTAACAGATATCAACTGCCATAAGCGACCAGCAAAGAAGGAGGTAGCCACTGTACGTGTGTGTGTGTGTGCGAGTCAATCCGCACGGTGCAATGGCTGATCAATGCTACGAAAAAAGAAAACCACCTGGTCGAGGCATGACAAAGTTAGCGGCAAATAAAGAGCCCTGCAGCGACAAACACTGGAACCGGAGGATCCCAAAGGGCACAAAAGTTGGGAAAGGCTTCTGCATATCTAAAATCATGAGCAAACCATTAACAAAACATGCATAGGTGTAAACATCACCTTATCGGCAGGCCCAACTGGTTTACTACCTGAGGCGTTCTTTCCACAGTTTGCAGCCCCGAAATTTAGCCCGAAAAATTCACATGTCCCCATGTCCAATCAATGACCGCTCCAACATTCACGACAAGTATAAGACCAAAGCCCGATTTCCATCGATTTCCGGGATTCCGGCGGCCCTGGATGGCCCTGGCCTCCCTCATGCTGGGCACATGCAGCAACATGAAGATGATGCCCATGACACCATGCGCTGCGCCCATATAGCGGTCACGGTACCATTCCCACATCACCGGGGGAGGTTTGCTGCTGCGCAGCTGCCTATGGCAGGGCCCATCCGATTCCCGTCGACAAAAAATCGAGAAGCGTATGGCAACCCAATCCAGAATCGGTGTCTGACCGCAACTTTTATTGACAAACTCTTATGCTACCTCTGATTGGCACAACTCCACCATCTAATATCTTCTGCAATTGCAACTTCAGTAACATAGTGTAACATGCGTCAACCATTGGTGTCAACTGCCAAAGAAAAAAACATTGACATGCCATAGTTTCCCCATAGTTTCCCCATAGTTTCCACCCTTTTCGAAACGGGCCTTGCATAGCTCACCCCACGCTGGAGCATCACTTCAGCGATCTCCTGGATGCAACGTCGAAGCTCCGCACTGTCCTCCATGGCCTGGACGATCTGGATCGACACGCCACGTCTGCGTTGACAAAATCTCGTTGAAAAGATCATGTTGGTCCACACATAACCCATATATCTCTATGTGTACATTATAGAGTTATGGACTTATATATACTTGTGCATACAGTAAATGATGATACATGAGTCGTTGCTACTCACCAACTAGTTGGGTGCTCCGGGCGCCTGTAAGACGAGGCAGCCGTGCAAGTAGCCCGCACGACCGTACAGCCATTCGTCCGAATCCTGGGATCCGTGGATTCTCCTGCATAGTCCCGGTAGTCCCCTACTTCAATGGATTGGTTTAACGGAAAATCTACAGGAAAGCCCCATGATCTTCATGGGAAAATCGATGGTTTCCTGTAAATGTTCCCTTAAACCAATCCAATCACTACTATCATTGAAGTTGGTTTATAGAACCCATTCTAGTTATATCAAGTTGGTTAGTTGCTTATCCTAGTTACATGTATATATATGTATATACACAATCTCTCTCCCAGATTATAGATGTATGTATTTACCGTGTATCTTGTTATTCTTATAATAACAATCTATGTACTGTATGTCTGTGTGTGGAAGAGATGTCGATATCCGATGAATGCTAGTTATATCAGCTGTACCCTCTGGTAAACGTTTACATAACTATGGAAAATCACCATTTTTAATAGGCAAATCAGCTATTTCTATGGTCCATTTTCCATAGCAACCTGTAAACGTTTACTGGAGGCGATCTCCCATTCGAAGCAGCCGAACTATTCCCGGGACCGATTTTTTTTCCTCGCCCAGCGTCCAGGCGCGGTTGCACCGCGATCTGTGCCAAAGCGACGTACTCCTGCATCGCCGGCCTCAGGCTGTTTGTTGGGAAAATCTTCCCCGGAAACCCATGACTTTTTACCATCACTGCTTGGTGCTTGAGCCCTACCCCTCTGAAAATGATGGAGTTCGTCAGTTGGGATGATGATTATTCTCAATATATGGAAAAACAAAAGCCATGTTCCAAACCACCAGCCAGATCAAATATAGGGGGGGTGCTGAAATTTTCCCATCATCCAATTCTGTGAGAAAATATTGAACAGAAAATAGAAAATGTAAAAGTGATTAAAATTCTGTATGACTTTTTTGTAGGGTGATAAACTGTTCTATACGTTTCTATGTTGTTTGGGTTTTTTTAACATCCCAGCAATGATATCCCATTGATTCTCATTGTATCCCCATCGGCATCCGATCAATCCAATCTCTATCTCGTAGGCGGATTCTGGCTGGTCGCGTGCAAAATAATTCTCGCTTGCCTTTACGCCCTTTTAGCATCAAGTAGTACCCACCTGCAATCGAACAAGGCATAAAAGAAAATCCTGAAATTGATTGAATTTTTTAGATAGGTTACTTCCCAAATATGCAGACTCTCCAGTTTTCTGACCTTGTAAAATGCGTTAAAATGCCAACGCCGAGGCGCTTGGGGTTGGCGTTTCGGGCGCGTGCCAACTGCGCCGCAGTGAGTAGAAAACCCGCTTGGCCGCAGAGCAACGAACAGCCAAGGTCTGGATGTTTCTTCGCCTGAAATCCCCCATTTCAATGGCTTAAATCATGTTAAATCATGTTCAACCCCCATGTGTCGAAGCAAATCTCTGTGCTTTTTCCGGTGAAATCATTTTGAATCTTCCATTTCTCACAATGTTTCACCATTGGCTGCTGACCTCCCCCGTCTCTCCCCATCGCCTGTTGCGCCACGCGTCCCGTCCAGGGCTCCAGGAAGCGTTGCGCCGCATCCAGCGCCGCGGAATCGCCGCTGAGCTGCGCCACACGGAGCAGGGCGTAAGCCACGCCGGGGCCGCCTTTGGACAGCTGGGCCGCAGCCACATATTGGTGCATCCTCCGGTGTCAAAACAGTCATGGCTGTGCAATCCCCAATGGGCTTAAAAAAGTACTCAATCTTGAGTCAAAACAGTCTTTTTGCAAGTTCCCATTCCATATATTCCATATATTCCATGTAAAAAATATATTCCAGTATTCCATGATATTCCATGTGTGACCACCCAAAATAGGGTCCTGGGATACACTACAAAATGGGATACTTTTGGTGAATAGCAATTTGTGTACACCAATGACAGCTGGTTGGTGGTATACCTACCCCTCTGGTAGCGTAGATTGCGCCTGTGTAGACACTCTCGTTGTTGCAGGCTCTGGGGAAGTTGCTGCTGATCAACTCCTTAGGTGCAGCAAGTGATTTGCTGCTTCCTGGCTGGATCAGTTGTTGCCCAATGTTGCCCAAAGTAGAGCTAGTTGGTGCGTTGTTACCTGTTACTTCGTAGAAGGTGCAAGCCTGCTCACTTCTTTCAATTTTTTGCAGGTTTGTTGAAGTTGCTTATAGAAAAAGTATAGAAAAAGTGAGGTGCAAATGTGGAATACCCTCCCAAAATGCTCCGGACATTTTCCCAGGTATGTCAAACTCAGCCAAGAACATTGCCGGGTGTCCATGATTTGCTTTTCCCACTGCTGCAGTTCAGCACAAGCACCTCACTGAGAGTGATCTTCGCGGCTTCAACGTTGATTTTTCTTGTGACTTGCAGCGTTTGTCGATGGATAAGCCTACCATTTTCAGGATCCAATCGCCCAGTGTCCTTTCTGCCCAGTTCTACCCATTTTCAGGAGGTCATCATTTTCCCATGACTGTGTCTGACTATATCATGGATATCATGGAATCATATCACATATCGAGAGAGAGAGAGAGAAAAAAAAATGTATATATATATATATATATTCACCACAAATTTATTGTATGATATAAATGTTCTCTCATATTAATGATATATATATATATTAATGATACCATAGATATCTATCACATTATATATAGAATGATACCTCACATTGATAATTTGATCATCCCAGATCTGATTTCCTGGACCAAAATCTGATGTGTTTCGGCCGAAGCTTTCCCAGTCTTGGTTGATCTTTAAAATATGTTGGGAAAACCACATTCTCACGACGTACGAATCCTGAAAAACCCCCAAACAAGTAATTTATTGGGTGCTGGATATACCTCAATTTATGCACAAAATATCGACTATGAAACTCCCCTGCAGCAAGGTTTACTGTGTTATCGCCATCTCCATAACTTGCGTCCGCCGCGCCTGGCGTGAGTGCCCCATCCACAACGTCAGCCAGCAGCGCCCGGTCATCGCAGCGATTTGCGAAACAGCGACGTGCCAAAGCTGCCATCGGCGCCAGGATGTTACTTCGGTTGGCCAACGAGAACTATAGTGGTTTAATATTAATAATATACATATATATATAATATCGGGTAAATATATATATATACATATATATATATACATATATATATATATATATGATCTTATATGGTTTAATTAAGTGAGGCATTATGCCTAGGTCTTGCATTGACTAGTGATCTGGGGCTACAAAATGTTAAGCCTGCCCAGGTATGCGCAGATAAACAATTTAATACGAGGCTTTACCCCAATAAAGAATAAAAAAGACGTGGTAGGCCAAGAAAGGTCAAGGGCCATTGGTATATCATAACAAAATTCCCGCAGACGTCTCTCTCGAAATAGGGCATGGCTCACTGATCCAAACGGAAATGACATACTGGCCGTTACTGGCCGGTGGTTTCCATTTAGTGTCGGACAGCGAAACATGCTGATCACATAAGCCCATGATGCCCATGGACAAACAGGCTAAGCCATCCATCTAAGCCCTCATAGGAAAGCAAATCTCCAGGCCTCACAAAAAAAACATGCTTTGTTTGTCGCCTTCTGGTTTGTCTTGCTATGTCTTGCTATGTGTGGTTGCTTCACTGGATTCACTCCGTCAGCAAGTCTGAGGTGAACAGCTTCAAAAACAGTTTCTAGAAGTCAATCACCCAAGGATATCCTCCGCGATTTCAGTGGAGGCATTAAGGTTATCTTCTACAAAATGTAGGAATCATGAACACCCCAAAGCTCGCTAAAAAACTGAGCCAACCAATGGGCCAATCTTTTTGCCACGATTGCTATACTCCTATCCCATCATCCCATCCCATTTCTGGTCGGTTTATGTCGGCATTCCCACAATTAATCACTGAAATCCAATGAAAACCAGGTAGGTTATGGTAGGTTTATTGAACCGACCCACATTATCCACATTTCACAAACCAAGAGCTGGATATCTTCTTCGTGGCGCCCTTCGGTCGGTGCATTTTCTCTCGCTTGGAGACGACTGGAGACTTCTTCAACGTCCTCAGAGCTCCAAATCGGCCTTCTGGTTCTTGCCTCGGAGGGGTTCGGAGGGGGTTCTACCCTCTGGTAAACGTTTACATAACTATGGAAAATCACCATTTTCAATAGGTAAAACCAATGTAAATCCACTATTAAATGGTCATTTTCAATAGCAAACTGTTAAATTACCAGAGGGTAACCGGAGGCCTGAGATTTTTTCCCGACTGCGGAAAAGGGGCAAAAAAAACCATCTGGCCCATCTGCATTGCCACGGAGAAAAAAAAAAACTCCATAGGTCATAATCCCAGTACTGGAGATTTTGATTCATCTCTACATCCGTACCCCCTGCAATATGCCATAAATTCAAATAATCCATCATCTTAGATACTAAAAAATTAGAAAACTGCAAGAAAAATTCCAACCCCCGTTGTTTTCCATCCCCCCATCCCCTGGCATTTCAGACTTCTCCCCCCTTGTCGCATCCACGGTGCTGTACTGCAGCGCGAAGCGCGGGGGCAAGACCTGCTTCAGATCGATCTCCATCGGACGATATGCCGCGTCCGTGGCGCCGCTGGAGGCGAAACCCACCAGGTTCTCACCTCAGATCGAAGGCGGCTGGGGCTGGTGGGGCTGGTAGGCCCAACCCACCATGGGGGATACTAATGGGATACTGATACTGGAAAATACTGAAGGTCATAGTGAGCATCCCATTTCTAATCATAATGGCCTATTTGACTATTTCGAATGTGGGGATGGGGGATATTCCATGAACCAACCACGGTTCAAATTGGAGGATCAAAAGGGGGGTTTAGTTGGTAAGCCATTTTCGAAGAGTATACCGTATGGTATACCTATTTCGAATGTGATGGGTGAAAATTGGGAGCAACTCGTCTTGGACATCTGTGGAGGGTAAACCCTGGAAAAAATCCAAGAGTTTGACCCTTCAAGTAGCAGACTTGCTACAGTACCAAGAATATAAGGTGGAATTGAATTCGATCATTTTAGTCTCTCCCAGTTTTCAACTTCGTTTTCATCTGGTTACCCTCTGGTAAACTAACATAGCTATCAAAAATGACAATTATTAGTTGATGTACCCATTAAACATGGTGATTTCATAGTTGTGTAAACGTTTACCAGAGTGTATATCTGGTTGATCATTGTATCCGGCAAAAATCGGCCTCACCATCGTCCAAGGTACCATCTTCACGCGCCTTCAGGGACTTGGGTTCACAATCATCACCCGCTTTGGCGAACTGCATGACCTGCCTCTCGCGATTGAAGGTGGTGTGGTAATAACCTCAGAGTCCCCCCCCTTTTTGGCCTGCAATGCGAATCGGAGTAATCTGAGGTGAAGTGTCTTCAAATATGGAACTCTTGAATATTCAAAAACAGCACGGAAAGAAAGAAGTAACACCTAATCAACTGTAGGTACGGCAAACATATCCACCATCAGGCTTAGCTAGCCTATCTTCTTTGTGCTTTCAACCCATTCCATCCCATTCCAACAATCAGAAAGTAAGAGTATCATAGCAGGCGGATGGAAAACATAAAGAGCACCCCTATATAAATACCATCTGGTTATTTAACATAGCCATGGAAAATGGCCCATTTATAGATGGTTTACCGTTCTTAAAAATGGTGATTTTCCATGGCTATGTTAGTCATAACCAGAGGGTAATGAACCATTTACCTTCTGTAAATTAACATAGACCCTGGCAGATAGGGGTGAGCCAAACAAATTAATGTGGTGAGCCAAACATAACCAACTGTAAATTACCAACTGAGATATGTTCATAATGTGGTGAGCCAAACAAATTCTGCCCATGGTCCAACATCTTCCAACCACTTTTCCGTTTCGCCAAGCCACGAAAGAAGGGCATGCCCAAAATCCACACGTCCCCCAGCTGCGTTTGCATGTCCATCTCCTTGGAAAACAGAAAAATGTCCAGTTTTAAGCTGCATCAATGGATTGGTTTAAGGGAAAATCTACAGGAAACCATGGTTTTTACCATCAAATATAGGTCTTTCCTGTAAATTTTCCCATCATCCAATTCTATGACTGCAATGATTCAAAGTTCTGCTATGATTTGATGCCAAAGATTCGAATTTGAATCAGCGAAACATGTGAATTGACCATGTTGTGATGGGTACGCTCCAGAAATCAAACATGGCAATGGCCGAATCAACGATGCATATTTTGTAAAACTAATGAGGAACAGGTTGAGCTGGACATAAATGACATGAATGGACATTGATGGAGATGTTCCATTGTCAATGTTTGACTATAGAAGGGTGCCAAAATGCGGAGATATGAGCTATACATAGCTATATATATATATATAGCTATATATCATGCCCAAAAGGGCTTGAGACATCGAATCACAGGGGAGAAAAACGATCCACCCATCGTTGTCCCGACATTTCTCCAGGGCAGAGTTGGCCAAAGTCATCTATCGTTTAGCGGAACATGACCCATGTGTAAATGATCTGCGTATGAACCGTGATCATTTGGGTGTGTTAGATTCCCAGAGCGTATTGAATGTATTGGTTAAACCATGTTAAACCACCATGTCCCCTTTTTTGCCTCAAATAACCCAGCCACCATGAAGGCAGGCATGCAGGAATCCACCTTACCTCAGCGTGTTTCGGCAGGCTTTTCCGCAGGGTAACTCCAGGCCGTTTTGGAGTGAATACTTTCTGGCAATCACAAAAAATGAAAATTGAATACCCTCTGGTTATTTAACATAGCCATGGAAAATCACCATTTTTAATATATAGGTAAACCATCTATAAATGGGTCATTTCCCATGGCTATGTTAAATAACCAGAGGGTAAATGTCATAAACATCCTCCATTATGATCCATGATGTACCTTTCCAGAATGGTCCCTTTGTCGCAGTTCCTCCGGTTGTCTACCCCCGTGCCGCGACTGCAACCCGAGTCTCGGATCTTGGGCTTGAAGAACAGCAGGTCCCAAATGCTATCGGCTTCGACGCTGGCACCCACCACCCTGCAAAGCGTGGCTGCAGGGCTATGGCTGTAAGCCGTTCCAACACACACAAAAAAAAAAAACATTCGAATTTTGGTGCTCTTCCAACTGCAGGCCTCATGACATAGGCCTGGGGAGGCAGTTCAAGCTCCTGCCCATCCAAGTTGAACTTTAAATTCGGCAGCTGGTGGAGGTTGGAGCAGTCCTCGCGTTGGCTTGGGCACTTACTCCCATTTTTTCTACCTCACCCCCACCCAAACAAAAAAGGAGACCCCTAGAGTCATATCATATCCTCCTGGTTTTGGTTGCTTAAAATCCACCTCCAACCCCTTACCACCACCACCGCCACCACTGCCACCAACACCAAGCCCAACCAATTTTCTTGACTCTAATGAATGTCCCCGATTTTTTGTTTGGTTAAACGGTTACAAACGGTTAAAACATATTATAGTAAGCCCCGTAAAAATAGAAAACTAATTGCCCTTTATTATTTGTAGTAGGATGTTACTTGTCTATCTTTTTGGGGGTTGCTTTGTATAAATCCCAATTCCATGTTTCTTGGTTTTAACTCATCTAAACCCCTAGTTTTTCCGCCATTTTTTTCAAACTGGTTCACCCCAGTCACCTCACCCCACTTACACCGCACCAAGATCATCAAAAGTCGTATCTTTTTCTGGGAACCACTTTTTTAAACTCTTTTTTCAGCATCATCACCCATCCCCCAGCCATCCCATCCATAACCCATCCATCCCAGCCCCCATCCCATCCCTCAATGGATCGGTTTACGGAAAACTTTACAGGAAGTTAACCCATCTTTGAATGGGAAAATCTATGGAAAAACCTGACGTTTCCTGTAGATAACCATTATATTCCCATGATTTTATCAGTATATAACCACTATCATCAATAAACCACCAATCAGGATTTTTCCAAACAACCAATTCATCCCCCAACCGATCCTCCTCGATCTGTCCGATGATATGTCCCAGTTCCATCAGCGCCGATGCCGGCGCCGCGATCAGCGAGGTGCCGCTGTCCACGATGGCCGCGCAGCCGCTGCGGCAGACCTGGGCTTGGCCAATTTTTATTGGGAAATCATGAACAAATAGAAGTGTGTCATATATGTAGACATGGATATAGATGTAGATATCTTAATTTATGTTATAATATATATATATATACTTTGATTTGGGAAGTACGGAAAACCGTTCATCATTGCAAAATATTATATGCTTAAATAATAAACCATCATTGACATTAGAAATGTGATCAACCCAAAAACGGTTGGGCTTTCAGCAAGATGAACTGCTGTTGCTTGGCGTCCTACAGAAACCTCTTTTCACTTCACCTCTAAGGATCCCTGCGGAGCTCGCATTGGCCTGGCACTGCGGCAGGGAAGCGTTCCAAATGTACAAAAATGAAACCCAGGGGTCCCAAACCAAATTATGGCCAAGAGAAAAAAAAAAAACGTTCTGAACGGGGTCCCAGACCCCCCCAAAAAAAAACAATCTCTCCAAATCTTCGTGCTTGAAATCCATTGAAAACATATCAATCTTGTTGCTGAAACTCCCCGTTGTTGCCAAAAAACACACTCCCCATGCCTGGCGACTTTAATCCCCAAGTTGTTTTGTCACTTCAAGTTGTCCAACTCCCCCATTTTCCAGATGACGCTGGGTTAGTTAAAGAGGCTTTATGTGGGAGTTTTCTGCGGTTCTTGCCCTCATCCAATTTCAATTCTGGGAGGATCATTGAAAAAGTATAAATATGTTTTTTTTAAAAAAAAGTAGTAGTAATAATAATAAACAAATAGATAAACATAGCAACCCCCAGAAGATAGACAAGCAATTCATCACAATTTCCCCTTGGGATTTTCTTTTTCGGTCCTTTTTGGGTCACCTTTTGAATCTCAACCGCCCCAAGCCCATTGGGGACCCGATGGGAGCCGATGGGACCTTGGACACCGAGATGTGTGTCAGATTGGTGGCCCAGTGGTGTTTCCCAAAGACCCGGGCCGTGGCCACGGACCCGGCATCCTGAGATCCGACGCGGAGCCGCAACGGGAAAAATCATGGGGAAACCATGGGAGAGTAGCATCAAAAATAGGTGAAAGTGACACTTGCTAAAGTGGGAAATATGTGGAGATCATCTAAAAATGTGTTAAAATGTGTTAAGATGTGTTAAGATCATTCATTAGCAGTGTCAATAATGGAAAATCAATGAGTGTAATAAGCAGCCTCAGGAGCTAGTGATGGATGGGATTACGGAAGCAGTGTATCACGGATTATCACTGTCAGTGCCCGTGTGCAGGAGTAGCAGTGAGCAAATCCCACAATCATGGAAGAGGTGAGTAACAAAAGATTGGGGTAACGTGGAAGAAAAACAGGAGTTGGTTGATATGTTGTAACAATCATGATGGGGATGATGTTAGTCGATTGAAATTCGGTTCTACCAGCAGCAGCCATTACGAACCAGCAAGCAAAAAGAGTCTGTCTTCACCATCAGATATCAGGACATGGAAAAATTAGAACTGTGAAAATATGTGAAAATTATACCAACAACTCGGTGAAAACCTTGACCTTAGCGGGGCCTAAACCAAGGTTTCTGGGGTGTTTTTTGTGGTGTTATGTAGAACACCGAGGTTCTAGAGATTCGTACCTGTTCTTGTCCTCATTAGATCTCATTACTATTGGGTAAAATCCTGGCATCAATGTGGCTGCGGCAATTGTCATGTTTGGGGTTCTATGAGCTCGTCATCACTGTTCTAGATCATTATATATCATTATCATCTTTGTCATTGAGCATGATTAGACTGATTAGACCCTTCCAAATGACTTCACACCTATTTCTTCGCGCCCAATAACAATCACATGAGAATGATATAGTGGTAGATTGTCCTAGTGAATACATAATATAATGTAACATATCATGTCATATCATATTAAGTCATATATATCATATCACATCACATCATATCATATCATATCATAGATGCGTATGTATATGCAGCATAATTGTACACATCACCAAGATATGGGTTTGTCTGAAAACATGCTAGCCCAAAATCACAGAGTGATCAGTGATCATCATGTTTCCTAATAATTTGCTATTTTATGGGCATACTGTACGGTATACTCCATTTTCAGACACGCCCCAAGGATCAACCAACTGCAGCATTGGTATATACAGTACGTTCTTCCATGTGTCACAAACATAATATCAATCAAACAAGAGTTGTATTGTCATACCATTTTTCTCATAAATCAAATATCGTGTATCATAATATGAACCATATATAACATAGCAATCACTATTGACAGTACAATACAAGCATGACTGGTTGGTGGTTTTAACCTGCTTTAGTAACCCGTCCCAAAAATATGCTTGTCATGGCCAATCATTCCGTTTGTTTAGTTGAAACACAATACTCTCCGGTTTTTTGACATAGCTATGGAAGTCATTGCCCATAGAAATATTTGATTTATGATGGCTGACCAAACTGAAATATGGTGATTTTCCATAGCAAACTACAACAAAATACTATATAGAGGGTAACCCTCGTCATATACCATTGTTACGAGCATACAGTCAGTTCCAGTTTCAAGTGGATATGTCAGTGATATGTCATTATAGTATATTATAGTGATTGGAACAGTTACTGTATGTCCACATGTTTAATTCTTAACCATAGTAAATATTCAAAACCATAGTATGACTATTTTCCAGTTACAAACCAACGGTAACTACCCTCTGGTTATTTAACATAGCCATGGAAAATGTCCCATTTATAGATGATGTTCCCATATTTTCCCATTAATACCTCCATTTATAAGGGATTTTCCATGGCTATGTTAAATAACCAGATGGTATTTGAAGCCCCCCCAAGCTATCAACAGATATCAACAGCTGCCCAGCCGCCCAGGCAACACGATTGGCCCCCCAGGTGAGATAACCATGGCGTCCCGACTCCTGTGGAGGCTGAGCCGTAGAGAATTTCCATGAATTTCCACAGCCGTGGAAAAACGGGAAAAGGGGAAAACAAAGACTAAACAGTACATATTTAACATATTTATATACAGTAAAGAAGAAAAGGAAAAATGGAAATGGATGAAATGGATGAAAACGCATGGGTGTTGTTCAAAGTTCAGATTCAGATGTCACAGTTCCGGTTTTTCGAGCCATCGACTCATCGTGTCGTGGTGAAAAACACAACCAACCGAGGTGCCAAGGCCCGGTTCAGACTATGAGACCAGCAGGCACCTTGTTGAGGCAAATGGAGAACTCGTCCACCTGACGAGTTGCGTGGAATGGCAAAGCCCGACCGTGGAAAGGGCCGCTAGGTGTGGAAAGTCTCATGATGAGCCATTAGATCATTAGATCTTGATGGATTGATGGATTCGGATGAATTTGGTGATCCTAAGTTTGACACGACCCCCTGCAACGCAATTGGATGCAGTATGATGCAGAAACCAACGTTGCAGCCACCGCTTTCGGCATGGAAAATGGTTCCCTCCGAAATCAACCATGGCACCAAGGTTCCCTCCGATGGAGGGATACCTCAAAAAATCGCCCAAGAAATCATGTTCACGGGGAAAATGATGCGCAAGCATAAGTTTTGGGGGGTACCCTCTGGTTATGGCTGACATAGCCATGGAAAATCACAATTTTTAATAAGTAAACCATCTATTTCTATGGGCCATCTATACCATGGCTATGTTAAATAACCAGAGGGTACTCCATTTTGAGACAAAGCCAGCACACTCCATCAGGAGTCGACAGCGTCCAAGACACGTGGTAGTTCATCAGCAAGGTCTTCCTCGGCGAGCTGAGCCATGTGCGTTGGTGTGGAAACTGGTCTGATTCAACAGGTCGCGGTCACGGTAGGAGTGATCCAAAATGACCAGTTGAATTCTTGGGCCTCCGGTGGCCGAATTTCCCAAGAATTTCCCAAGAATTCACTGAAGATCCCCACCGAACATCGAGAACATCGAGAACATCGACATCACCGACATCGGCCATGGCGGCTATGTCCATCCGAGCAGCTGCACGGAGTTGTAGCCGAACTTGGGGCCAATGCCCACAATGGCGGCGAACTTGGCGGTGTCCAAGATGGGAATCTCATGCTCCACAATCCTGGGAACACCGGATTGTGACGGGTGAGTTACGATGTGAAACGGTGGTGATACATTTATTCAAGCAACCAATGGGAACACCATCGAAGATCTGCCTTTTGCCGTTCTTTTCTTGTTGGCTGAGGCCCTGATGTTTTTCAGGCAGCCAGAAACTGGTTAGCTAAACCCATTGAATTTGTCAGCCCAGCATCTCCCAAATGGGCTGATGAGCGGCTACAAGGTGTGGGCCAACCTGCAAATCTGTGAGTGGTTTGGAAATGTCTGGAATCTCACGATCGAAAGGGATGATCATGACATATCATGACCCGGGCCACCTCCAGGATTGCATTGCTGCAAGCCACACTTCTCTAATCAAAAACCATAAAAACAGTTGGCTCAAGAAACTCCAGTTAATGATGGCCCTTTTGATGGCTGGTGAGGGGGAAAAATGGTGATGCATCCGATCAAGTCTTGTGCTTTTGTCAGACCCGCGCAGACTTGCACAGCTGGAGAGTTTCAAACTGTGTCGAACCAAAGCTGAATACAATAATTCACCATAATTCATCATAATTCATCATAATCATAATGGATGTTCACCATAATTCACCATCATAATTCATCATAAGATACCAAAATTCATCATGTTTTCTCAGTTTTCTCCCTGTGCTTTCACCAGAATAATGGATTCATCAGGGAGGAAAAACACACCTCCACAGTGTCGAAGCCCAGCATGGTGGTGCAGGGCCCGCTGCCGTAGACGTGCTGCGTCATGGTGCCGTTCTCCTGGGAAAATGCGTGTTTGTTTTCCCTATTGCCCTCTGGTAAGCCATTATAGCCAGGGAAAATCATGTTCTTTAGTGGGTAGATCAACGAACTAAATGGCAATTGTCAATAGCTATGTTAAATTACCAGAGGGTAATGTTTATATGGATTGATGTGGGTAAAACAATAAACCATCCCCCAGTCATCACCATCTTTATAGGTGGTATGGTTACCATTTCCAGTCATGGGTGGTTTATGACATTGTTTTTCCCACAACAATGGATGAACAAGCTTGTGAAGTGGATTAAGATGGATTGAGATGATGCTGTGATGTGATGTGAGTGGTGAAGAATGTCTTCCATAAATCATCCATAAATCATCCCCATTCTATCACCAAAAATCATCCACCAAAAATGTCACAAAACCATCCCCAGATGGAATCCCTGCGGCCTAACCTCAAATACCTCCCCATAAAAAGACACATCGAACGACACCCTGTTTGAGTATCTATTGATGGAATCATTTTGCGTCTCTTCTCTATGATATTCAATATTTCTTTTTGCCGGAGCTTCTCAGAGGGTTCGCTCTGGGCAAAAGCTGCAAAGGTTGCATGATGCTAAAATACTGTAGATGGTCTATATAGGGTCAAAAAAATTATGTCAGGTATGTGAGACAATGTCGGAGACTACGGTGTTGGCACTCACTCGCTGTCAGCGGAAACAATTGGTACCACGATGCATCCAACCCGCCTGGTAGGTCTTGCTGAGCTCATGGTCGTAGGGCGTGGTGGGGTGCACGCAGTGCTTACATCTGGAGCTACGAACCACGATCTCGAAGGAGCCAGTGTCCTCAATGCCATTAGTGATCCCATGGGCCGCAGTCCCATTTGCTCAGCATATGGTATAAAAGGATATAAACAGCATATGGTATAAAAGGATATAAAGGGTCCCTCAGTGAAGGTTGCTAACATATCTAACATGCTTTAATCAAGATCAAAAAGAGCCAACAATGGCTATAAGCATCAACAATATCAACATTAACATACGTTAACTATGATCGTTAGCTATTAACCATCAACCATGTTTCATCAACTACTGCCCAAGCATCTCAACTAAGTATATAATTACTAACATCATCATTACCAACCAATATTAATCAGCCATGATGATAACGTTACCTGCCAGTAAATTAACATGGCTATGGCTATGATTTACATGGCCCCCTTTAGTTCCATGAATTGCCGAACGCATATGATCAGAGGCGTGGTATCTATACCCCATTGCCCCATTGATATTCCATTATCTCACTATTTAAGATCCCATTAAGTCATCATGATAATGTGAATGAGCCGCAAAATGGTTACCCTCTGGTCATTTCTGGAAAAGTTTGCTTCCGAAAATCAACATGTCTGTTTTTTTCCGGTAAAAATCAGCGATATTTTCCAGCTAGTTTTCCATAACTCTATTGGATTTTCCATATGTTTCCTAGCCACTCGAAATTGGGTTTAGTCCACCATTTCTAGATCAAAAACTTCCCAGCGAAAATGCCCAAGGTGCAAAGATTGCTGCAATACCCTGACCACCGATCTTGAAATCGGCAAAGTACTGGACGTCCTGGCGCCGAAAGAAATGTGGCGTTTAAAGAGTGATGAAACTCAACAATTTATGGGGTGAATGATGGGAATATGTGGGGAATATATGGAGAAGATGTTTTTCCCAGACTTTCTGGGATGTAATCGGTGGTATATTATGGTGGATTTCATGGGCGCTGTAAAACTCACCATTCTATAAGGAAATTTCATGGGGATACACTGCGTATGATGGGATATATATTCAACAACGTGATATCGGGTTTTGTCTGAGAAGGGGTGGTACACCGTACCCCCAATTTCTGGCATGTTAATGGGAACAGCAGCTATGAGAAAACTGTCGCTCGCAAAAAGAAAACCGAATGCATTGAATGCTTCTCCAACGTTCTTTTGGATCCAAATTGCTTTGATTTTTGATGCTTCTTTACTTCTTCATTTATATGGTTTATCCATGTCTATCCTTTTTCCAAGCGGCCAGGCTTTATTGTTTGGTTTGCTGAATCCCGAGATTCGCCAGTCGTCTCCTGATGATTGTGCAGGATCTGCCTGAAGGGCTCAGACCTCGCGACTTGGTGAACCAAAAAAATCCGAAACCACAAGCTATCACAAGTGAACCATAATCCCAGTGTTATCCCTCATTTTGCTTTGAGTCTGGTGACTGTCCCCAATCTTATTGCTTTCAGTCTTTCAGCACATACATATATATATATAGAGAGAGAGAGAGGGAGGGGGAGAGAGAGAGAGAGAGAGAGAGAGATGTGTGTATGTGTATATATATGTATATATGTGTGTGTGTAGATAGATATCACTATCATTATCGCCATCATTTCCCCCAAAAAAACAATCAAATTGGAATCCACCCCCCCCCAAAAAAAAAGTGGAGATTACTCAGATCCCGTCATTTAGATGCCCATTTATCATCCATTTTGGGGTGGTTAAACCATGTTAAAGCTGCCATTTTGAACCCTGCCAGATCCCAGATTCCCCCCAGATCCCCCCCCGGTGCCGAGCGCCTCGCGGCTTTTCGGAGACGATTGGCCCAGCCCGGCAACGCCAGGGCGACCAAGACCTTGGAGTGGGTGAAAGCGCTGAGAAATTTGGGAACTCACTGGGTGAAATGGGAAAATCTCTGTATCAAAACATGGGAATCACTGAGAATCTCTAGGTTTCAGTGGTGATTTTGTGTGGATTCGATATTTTTTGAGGATTTGAGCTGCAAACATATTGTCAATGCCTTTGCAGATTGCAATTACGCCCTTCAATCCAAAAACCAAAAGTCTCCTTCTTTTTGACACTGCCGCGCCGCTACTGCAAGGCTGTGAGACTTTGGTGGTGAATTCCCATCAAAAATGCCGACCTATTGGGGATTGGTGAACTCAATGCCTACAATTTGCAATCTTTCAAATCAAAAATGTGTGTTATATATATATACACATAATTACCATAGGTATACCACAAAAAAATGTGTGTTTGCGGGAGAAGAGTTGCATGGATCTTGATGCTTCTTGATGCTTCTTGCCTGATGATCTCCGCGCTATGAGTTCTCTGTGTCGCGTTTCATGCCCACTCAGACTCAGTGTCCATCGCTTGCGGCCGCTTGTGGCTGGGATCCCGCCTGCAAGCTTGGCACCGCTCCCACCCAAGAACCTATGCATATCAATACTATATGCATCTATAAATATATAATATAAACATATATATATACACATACATGTACATATATACATATGTGTACGAGTACGTGTGCATACATGCATGTATATTTATACGTCTTTCTGTCTGTCTATCTATCTATCTATCTATCCATCCAATCCAATTCAATCCAATCCAATCCAATCCATCCACCTATCTATCTATCTTATCTATCTATCTATGTACAGTATATTTATGTATATTTATGTGTACATGTGTGTGCGCGCGTGCATATCAATACATGTCATTTGCTAACTTTGCTATATTTATTTGTCATGATTTATCCACTTCTATGTCTATGTAACCTGGAATTTAAGATTGCTATTTGGCACAGCCAAACCGTCCTCTTCATTTTTTGTGGTCCCATGTTTGAATGCCAGGGGTGTTGAGCCTCGAATGTGTCTCAAGTGCACTTTCAATGCCCCACCCCAAAGCCACAACCCACGCGCGGCCAGAAATCCATTGCCCCTTTTTTCGCCACGGCCAAGTGCCTTTTTTGGCAAGGTGAGAACAAACCTCAGAGGGCTCGAGGCTGAGATTGTCAAACCATGTCAAACCTAATTTTCAATTCTCAATCAAAAGTTCAGCCTTCTGCAATAACCTAATAACCTTATGCACCTCGTAAATTTATGTAAATTTCACAAAGCCCAAAAAAATCGCCAGAAAATCATCTTCCAAAGCCCACCTGACAGCGTCAGCCCCATCCGGAGCCCAGATTTTCGATGCTGCTGTCCACCTCGTTTTGGAGGAAATGGGCATGAAATAATGTGACAAAGCCAAGAATAAACATGAATAAACCATCCTCTATTTTGCTATGAACTTCATGAACCATCCAAAATCGGAAGTTGATAATCGGAAGTTGATAATCGGAAGTTGATTGTATCAACTATTATTGGGTTTACATGGGTTTACCACATTCACGGCTGCTTGGTTTGCTAACATGTAGGGGTTGATTGTTCCAAAATAACATGTATCAACCAAGACCAAGAAATGGGAAACCAGCCATGGCCCATCTTGGGCTCATTGTCGATGTACAAGCAATTTGCAGAACAAGGACTGGTTGGCAGTCCACCTTTAGAAGTACCCTCTGGTAATTTAACATAGCTATTGAAAATGACCATTTATAGTGGATTTTCCCATTAAAAATGGTGATTTTCCATAGTTATGTTAAATTACCAGAGGGTAAACAATTGTGCATCGCTGTGCTTGCAAGCTTAGTGACTAAGTCTGGTCTGAGCGCAAAAATATGCACAAAATCTCACAGATAGATTGGCAATAAAAAATGGCAATGGGGCCTTCCCGTGGAGCTAATCCGCTAATCCATTG